CCCTACATTCCGGCAAATAACGATGGTTCAGCCCAGATACATTCCAAGTACCCTTTATTGGATATCGTCGCTCTTCGAGAGGAGTTCCGGGAAAGTCACGCAGTGCCACGAGATGAGCATGTCTAGACCCCAGCCCATGTTCGCCACCAGAGAAAGTGAACAGGTCTCCGAGCTTCTGAGGTATCGCAAGCTCGGAAGCAAGATAGAACGCCAGATAGTCCCTGAAAGTGTCGCCAGAAGGGCTGTTCCGGAAATTCTTGCAAACATATGTGGAGAGACGGTTATCGGAAGGGCTATACAGCGGTCAGCACTCTTATTTAACGACAGTGTCCAGGAAGTTGATGGATAATTAGTGTGTCGTAACTACTTTGAAGCAAACAAAGAATCTGCCGTTGAGAAGACTTGTGTGCCTTCCGTCAGCACTAATATTATACATCGTGACTAGCCTTTGAAATACCTAGTGCTACTACATACCCGTCAACAGTAGATGATACGGGGGACTCGCAGGAACATATATATTCGTACTAGGTACTAATGAGCAAGAGCACTATAGTGCCCGGTCGACGGGGAAAATGCCAGCGACAGCAGCAAAGATTGCGTATCATGCACATTTCCGACTCCCGACTAGCAAGAGAAGAATAGCTCTGTTAACGTTATGATAAGAGGGTAGAGATGAGAGAGGGAGGCTGCTCACAGTCAATCGCTGCCAAGATCTGATACGATATTCACTCACAGGTGTACACGTCACTTTCGCCTTCTCTTTCCTTGCTTTTTGGGTCTTGAGAGCGATTCAGGTAACCATTCATTGACTGGTTCTGCCGGCGGAGATGTCATTTTCGAAGGAGTCACAGTGGATGAAAGTCCATTCTCCGCTTCTCGTTCCGCGCGTGCAATAGACTCAGCAATTTCCTCGGGACTCACTTCTTCTCCTCTCTGTATCCGTGTGGCGATGTCTGGCGTCACACGGACACGTCGTACACCAGTCTGGAATCCCGGTGCTAGTAAGAAATGATCGGTCGTGGCAAACACGTAGTAGCCCAGAGTACGAACCCCCTTTCCCAATGCCGTGAACCTTGAGCTTACGAGCTAGGTACCATTTGCGCGCAAAATATGCTGACGCGAGAACAACAGAAGGGACGCTGCCAGAAATCATTTACAAAAATGCCGCCGAGTGGGATAGTGCGACGCACACTATCCAGAGAAGCGAAGGGTAGTCGTCGATATCTTGGACTGAGGAGGTTCTCCTCGACATGTCGTAGTAAGTAATCAAGGAAAAGATGCTGCGGCCGTCTGGACACGGCCAGATCGGGCAGGTGTCACGTCAGTCACGTTTGTTACGAATGTGACTCGTGCTCGTCGCATGACAGCAAATTTCTGGCTCGCGCTCAACGCTCGGGCTCGATACGGACTTGGTCCTTCGATTTGCCATTCAAACGGAACGACCTCTTTTTCCCTCTAATTCATCTTTCCTGCAAATAAAGCTAACCGACATGGCACCAAATTTCGAGGAGCTGAACATGAATATTCCCCGTGCCGCTTTGAAGGCTACGAGAAATGCCGCTCTTCTACCTCCAGATATCGCTTTTCACAAATCAATGGACCCTACTTTTGCAAAAGACCTAGATGCATTCTCCTCCAAAGTCTTATTCTTGACGAATCAGCTCCTCGAGCTAGCGGCAACTGTTCATACTTCAGGAAAGGACAAAGGAAAAGGAAAAGTGCGGAGTGAAGATGATATTCTAGATAGCTTTGAGACGCTTGTCGTTGACCGTATGGACCAGCTGCTAGAGCGTGTCGTGAGTTCGCGTCACGTATGTTTGTATGGTTGCACACTGACATCCTGTTAGGACATCTCGCTGGATGAGTATCAGGGCAAGACGAAGCCTCCTGCCATTGCAATGAATGCCCTTGTCGACCTTCCCTCCATCAAGGTTTACATTCTCCCCAATTGTAGTTTTTCCTTACCTTCACGATATCCTTAACAGAAGAAGAAACCATCCGGTCGACCTGCACCTGTCATCCAACACGCTGCCGCTCTGGCTAAGCCTCAGCTCAAATTCAAGGTCCTTGTCGATAATACCAACACGCCTTGGTATCCTCGTTTGAAACACAAGTACCACGCGCGAGTTCCCCTGGGGTACAAATTTCTCGACCAGGATAGCGATGCATCTGACAGCATCAATACATTGTGTGTTCTGTATTCCATTCCCACATGTTCTCTTCTTAGCAATTTCGTAGATCCACTCATCCTTATCGATATGAAATCACCCACCTGTCGTACCCACCACATATGTTCCATCAAGCGCCTCCAATACAGCCCAAGCCCTTCGATACCACCTCTTTCAGCTGGGTTTCCGCACTGGAGGAGCTGCAAACCATGCTGGGCAAGCTCCGTCAAGTGACAGAAATAGCAGTCGACCTAGAACACCACAGTTATCGTACTTATGCAGGATTTCTATGCCTGATGCAGATTAGTACGCGAGAGGAGGACTGGATAATAGACGTTCTTTCCCTTCGAGACGAACTGGAAATCCTCAATGAAGTTTTTGCGGACCCAAGCATCATCAAGGTCAGTAGATCGTTCCTGTCATGACCTGTGATCAACCCCTACCTTCAGGTATTCCACGGCGCTGAAAGCGACATCATATGGTTACAACAAGATCTAAATTTATATATCGTGAACCTTTTCGATACGTATCACGCTTCTCAGATTTTGTGTACGTCAAAACAATTCGTGTTCAGTGCTAACAAAGCTGATGTTGGCCAGCCTTCCCCAAGCATGGTCTTGCAAATCTACTTGAGATGTACTGTGACTTCCTTCCAGACAAGCGGTACCAATTAGCCGACTGGCGCATAAGGTATGGAGTTCGTGCTTAGATATATTGAATCTGACAGCTTCACCTTAGGCCTCTTCCTGAAGAGATGCTGAAATATGCTCGCTCTGATACTCACTTCCTCTTGTTCATATACGATAATCTTCGGAACGCGTTGTTGGATCGTGGTGAATCCCAAGTTCGCTCTCAATCTCTGGAAGGCGGCCCATCATCTTCCCCAGTGTCCAGTGACTCCATCCTTCGTGAGGTCCTTGCCAGATCACAAGATACCGCTCTCAAAGTGTACGAAAAAGAGCTGTATGACGCCGCTGAAGGGACTGGTAGTACTGGGTGGGATACCTTGGCTCGTAAATGGAATAAGGGTGCTCTTCTTGCTTCGGCGCCAAATTCGGACGTCGATGCACTTCAAAAACAGATATACAAGACTATCCATGCATGGCGGGACAAAGTTGCTCGAGAGGAGGATGAAAGTACCAGGTTCGCTGATGCCACATATTCATGTTAGTTTCCTGTTATTCTGACCTCAAATTCTTCCAGATACCTTTTGCCCAATCATTTCCTATTTCAACTGGCAGAAAGTCCTCCGGCTGATATGGCTGCGTTATTGAGAGTTTTTCATTCCCCTCCGCCTTTAATGAAAAGACGAGCGAAGGAATTGCTAGACACGATCCGTGATGCTGTCAAAGTCTATCTTTCACGTTCTTCCAGCACATCAAGTATTCCCGAGCAGCAACCAGAGCCTACCGAGGTTGAGCACGTCGACGAAAGTCCAGTTCTAAAAACACAGGCGCTGCAGTCTTCTACTCTATGGTCTGGTTGTCAGTACTCTCAGACCCTAAGCATTCTTCTTGCCTAAAATCTGCCATTCATAGCTACTTCATCAAGTATAACGTCGAAGTCGTCACTCTTCGGAACTGCCCTTCCTACACTGTTTGTCCAGTTGTCATCCCCCCGGAATCATTCAGGTATCACAACCTCGCAAAGTGCACTTTTCGGAACAATGGCTCGCGTAAGGGTCCAAGAAATAATTTTGTAACTTTAGTACTCACCTGACTCAATAGAAATCGGACACGAACTACAGCAGCGATATGAGTCGATTCCGGGAACTGGTTACCCGGATACATAGTACTCTGTCCATCGCGCCATTTGTACCCAAGGTTTCTTTACGTCCGTTTTCATGCTGTGTCGACATTGATATATCATCCTGTGTTTAGCGTGTCAGCATCGAACCTCAAGAACATGTTATCCCCATGCAAGTTGACGAAACCGCTGAAGACGGCGGTACGGTAGAGATGCAAGCGGAGATACCGTTTATCCCGGCACCTCAAAGGCAGCCACGGGAACCAATTGAAGATACACTTGTCGTGGTTGGTCAGGCTAGGCAGAAAAAGCGTAAACGAGTTGCCCCTACCGATCCGGATGACGGCACTTCAGGAACGGAGGTGACTTCTTCCAAGAAGTCGAAATCTAGAGACGATGAAAACGCCTCCCAAGATCCGGAGCCGTTCGACTTTTCGTCTGTGCCAAACGTACTTGACCAAGTACCGGCTATCCACGGAGATAATAAGGTGAAAAAGAAGGGCAAGCAAAGGAAAGGTGGTGCTTTTATTGCGTCATATTATCTCGGAATCTCACAGAAAGAAACAGGCGACGCATCCTATTTCTATGGCGATTTCCCAGCCCCACCTAAAGGACATAGTGAGGTCAAGAGTGGAAATCAGTCTCACACATTCAAGAAATGACCCAAGGCTTGGATTTATCTCATTGATGTCGACGTTCGTTGCTCAGTATTCGTTACCAATCAATATGCACAGGGGTCCAGGGATTTGATGCTGCCTTCCGTTATTGAGCCAGAATGTTCGTCACAGAACATTTATCGCTAAGAGTGCCCCGCTGGGAGCAAATGTTTCGCGTAATGTAACGTATGTGTCATAAAATTTCTCCTAAACTTTTTCGAAGCCGGCAATTTTTTGAAGCGAATTCACATGAGGCAAGATCTTCGGCTTTAAGCTTCATGCCATATCTCGGTCATCGTCGGACGAGAGACGTGTTGCAAACTACTTTACTGGCCCGCGGTATGAACAAATCATATTATTCCCCATTTTTTCCTTGCCGTGCGCATCCAGGATCTTGAACAAACCCCTCACCATTTTACCCGACGATGACGAGTTCCGGTACCTCGACGCCCGCCACAGTGGCCTTGAACTCAATGACAGATGTACGCCAATCCAGCAATGCAGAAAATGACCACCAGACCGTTCCATCTGTAATTGAAGAGGCCGTCTCGGATATCGAGCATCTTCCGGTCCAAGACGATCCCCGAAAGTGGTCACCCATGCGCAAGGTAAGGCAATCTCACGGTCGCGTGCCAGCCTCCGCTTACTACGATCGTCGCGCCTTAGAATTTTGTCTTGGGCGTAATTGCTTCAGGATCGATGATTGCCGGATTCGGCGCCAACATACAAAATCGTGAGGTTGCCTAGAAAATGTATGGCTTGCTGTAGGGACTAACGAGCTTTGTAGCCGCGATCGAGGATATGGAAAGGGACCTCCCTGCCACAAGTGGGCAAATTAGCTTGAGCGTTTCACTGTTCATCGCCTTGCAAGGAGTCACACCCTTGCTTTGGAGTTCTATCAGTGAAGTGAAAGGCCGCCGGGTACATCGAATGCAAGAAGTTTGGGCACTTTGTTTTGACTGATAAATTACGCCAGTTCGTCTACTTGATATCGCTCCTGATTTTTATTGTCGGATCAATCATTGTTGCCACGAGCAAGACGATAGACCTGTAAGACTCCGCTCCAACTCTTTCTCCAGATATATTTGTTTATCATGTGCTTCTCTTCCCTAGGGTAATAGGGATGCGATGTCTACAAGCTTTAGGGTGCGTATTGTAATTTATCCACCTGTATTCTGTTCTCATTATGTCCAGCTCAAGCGCTGTGATGACTATCGGTGCGGCTAGTCTTGCAGACATCTTCGATCCGGAAGAAAGAGGCAGAAAGGTCAGTGCTCTCGTATAGGACTGCTCAAAGGCTTATCCCTGCCGCACAGATGGGTATATACTATATTTCTCCTCTTCTCGGCCCATCTCTAGGACCTGTATTTGGAGGAGTTCTCACTACCGGATTTAATTGGCGAGCCCCCTTCTGGTTCCTGGCCATCCTTGCCGGGACTATTTTTCTGTGCTTTTTGTTCTTTTTCAAAGACACGTACAGGAAGGAGCGAAGTTACGTATACCAAAATATTTTGAAACGGCATTTGAAGGAGCAGGCGCAGCAAATGAAAAAGGAGGAGAAGCTGCGGGCCAAGGAGGCCGAAACTCTGGAGAAACCCAAGGATACGGCGGAGGACGAAAATATCAAGACAGATGCTGATCTAGAAAAACAAGAGCCTATCTCTGAAGTCGGAGCCTCGACCCTGGAAACCCTACCAACAATAAAGCTCTCTTTGAGGGATGTCAACCCGGTCCATCCGTTATGGCTCGTTCTTCGACGGCGGAATAATATCCTCATGCTACTCTCCTCAGGTAGGTGGTATTTTGTTGACTGCGAATACATAGTAATACTACTCTTTTCTACAGGTATACTATTTTCATACTGCTTCATAGTGGTATACACAACATCTCGAACTCTTGGAAGTGCTTACGGTTATGACGCACTGACGATAGGATTTATTTTGTTGTCGTTCGGACTGGGTCTGCAGATTGTTTCTCTTCGTTCGCTTCGCACCACCGAAACTAATGTCATTGCTTGTTGTCATAAGGATCAATGGCTGGGAGCATACTAGGAGGTCGTTTCTCGGACCGTGAGCTAGCAAGACTCAAAAGAAAGAATGAAGGAAGAAGTCACCCAGAGGTCCGCGCCCTTTGCCTCCTCTCCTTACCTTCTCACTCCTGCTTTAATCAGATGCGCTTGAAGAGCACGATATATAGCATCTGGCTCTTCCCTATGTCCGTCGTAGGGCTTGCTTGGGTATGTCAACAGCATGTACATGTTGCTGCGATATGCGTTATGCTGTTTGTTTCTGGATTCTTTGCGATGTAAGTTAGCGCCCCACAATGCAAATTTTTGTCTTTGTGACCATTCGCTTCGTAATAGCTCCGCTTATGCTAGCGAATTGGCGTATATCGTGGATGCAAATGTGGGTCGATCTTCCAGTGCTGTTTCCCTAAACAGCTCCTTCCGTGGAATGGCGGCGTTTATCGGTACGGAGATCGCAGTACCAGTACAGGTCTGTCGAGCGTTCTTGCGACATTTTTTCCTTACTGACTTGCAACAACAATTACAGGATAAGCTTGGCGATGGTGCGTTTTCTTGGGTTATTTGAAATGGAGACTGATACGTCGTTTACCTACTTCCCCTCATTCCTGCGATACACACAGGCTGGATGTATACCATCTTTGCCATCATTCTTTTGCTCAGTGGGCTATTGGTGTTACTAGTAATAAAAAAGGGTGAGGAATGGAGAGTCCAAGGAGAAGCTAGCGAAGGCGATAGCAAATCATAGTGGTTAAGGTGGACTCCGTTTGAAAGGTACTAATCTCCCCTAGAACTTATAGAGTACCAGCAGCTTGTAGTTTGCACTTGATAAGCTAAGTATCGCCTGAGGGAGAGAAAGGGAGTGACTGGTCATAACACTCAAACCTTTCGGTAAATGCCGGCGGGCCGGTAGTGCCAGGAACGAACACTGCCACCACCGTGACTGCCACTTCCAACTCTTCACGAAGCACTCACCAAAAATTGTGCAAACCAAGACCGGTCCTCTTACCCGTGTGTCTGCAATTTAGCAAACGATTCAAAACTAACTAACACAGCGTACAGAATGTCACTTATTTCCGTTTCCAATGTTCTGGGAACGAACTATGCCCCAAATGAACACGACTCTGTTGTGGTCCAAAAGTCTTTGTCTGAACAGGAAAAGCTTCTGGAGCAGCTTCGAGCGCAGAAGGTTGATCTGGAACAGCAGCTTCTGGTCGTTAACCAGCGTGAAGCACAAATTGTCAAGACTGTCGCCGACCACCGTACACTCCTCCGGGCAAGTCCCATGCGGTCTCTACCGGCGGAGCTCCTGGGAGAAATATTTCTCGCTCATTGCGCAGGATATCCAGATTTTGATAATGATGGTGCTGTCTTCCGGATGAGTCGTTTACGACTCCTGGCGGTATGTACGAGGTGGCGAGACGTGGCATTATCAACACCTAGGATTTGGGCAGCTCTGTCCGTGGATTGCGTACGCTGGTATGGCTTTACGGAGGAATATTTTGAATCCAGGTTTTCAGCGATTAAGGGATGGGTATCATCGTCAGGCCGCCTGCCGCTCAGTATCGGCTTCCGATTCGTGGAGACTAGCCATCGACACGACTATCAAATTACTATGTTCAATACTATTTTCGCCCAACTACATCGATGCAAATCTTTCTCCGGCAGAATAAATTTCGATCCCGACTGCCATGATCCTGTCCAAAGGGCAGTAGATCAGGATATACCAGATGCTCCAATGCTAGAGTCACTTTCGCTTCGCTCCTATCGTATCAATACCGCCACCATCAGCTGGAGGCGAAATCTTTATGCCAAAATTCCTCGACTTCGTCATCTGGACATCGACGACGCCAGTGCCGTCGTCTCTTTACCGGTGCAAGATATCATTACGGTAAAACTGGAGACAGCTACGCTGAGCGATCTCTTTTATCTCGTAGAGAACGCGGCAGTCCTCGAGGAATTGCAGCTGGGAGTGGTGAAACAGAGTGACCTTCCTCAGCCCGGTCGACGTGACCCTCGTCGATTGGACAGTCTAGTTAGTGTCCATTTCCAGTACACCTCCAGTGTGATGGTCAACCAATTCATCGATTATGTGACGCTCCCCTCAATCAATGAGCTCATTATTCGGGCGACCCCATCATGGCCCGATACAGATGCCTTCATGCCTTTTTTCAGGCGATCAGCGTGCTCCTTGACCAAACTGATTATCATGGCCGCAGACGCCGATAAACACGGCTTTCTTCTTGGTGTACTTCCCCTCGTTCCGTCGCTCCAAGTTTTGCGCATCGAAAACCGAGATTACCACGGGCCGTTACACCCTCTTCCATCCACTGTGCTTGACTATCTTACCGGCAAGCCTAAGAGACAAAACCTTACGGCAGTCGCTGACCTGCAAATTTCCGTACAGCTGCGTCAAATGGCTAGTGTGAAGAGACTCCTTGATTGCCGTCATACAAGGTGGGAGAAACTCGGAGTAGCCAGGCTCAATTGTTTCTCGATTACCATCGTAACGGCGCGACTCTCTACCTATCAGATGAAAGATCGAAGACAGCAGATGTTGGAAGTTTTTGAGCCCTACAAGAAGGCCGGACTGAGCATGACGTGGACTATTCGAAGCCGGTGATTCTCTTACATTAATGCATCAGCCTTGCAGGGTCAAGCATATATCTTAGACGGTTTCTCCCTCTTTCGAACTACAGTCACCTCCCTTATAACCCATACCCCCTCCGTTCCCATTCGGCGCTATGGGTTATGAGGGAGTAATCTGAGGGAAATCCGCACTTTGGTAGACGGACCATCCTATGGGTTATGGGAGAGTATGGGTTATGAGGGAGGCGACTGTACATTCATCATTGCACATTTCAAGTTCTACCATCTCACATTCTCAGTCGGATCTACATTCATTTCGGTGTAATTTCGTAGCCGGCCTGCTGTGCACTCTGACAACTGGTGCACAACTTCCGCTACAACAAAGAGGTAGCCTGGAATTAGTATGCCAAAGGTTTTCCCGTAAATGCTAGGCGTCATCGGGCCCTAAACGGCCAATTTCTGATAGTGTCCGCATACATACGCCGCCGTGCCCCATCGATTATCTATCGGTCGTTCGTAGAGTAGGTGGCTGTCAAGCCGCGGAGGATACAGAACGGCGTTCTGCACTCAAGAAAGCCACGAGTATCATTGTTTCGCCGCGATCGGAGGAGAAAAGGCCTCCAGAGATGTTTTCGCGTTCGCTCTTTACCTAACTTGATACACAGGCCTGGCCTCGGTATGTTTTCGTTGAGGGTTATATTAAGACTGTGCGTGAGACGCCATCAGCAATTACAAAGTGCTCAAGGTTGCTCTTGATGTCGGATGCGACGGTCGTACTGGATAATCGACGCGTTACTCAAGCCTCCACATTTCTATCTGCATAGTGATCACGCTTCATGACATCTCTTCTACTACAGAGATATCCAATACAACCGGGAGACCAGCCGGATCAGGCTAACGCTCAATTGATGGATGGACGACTTACGATCTTCAAGTTTGTCACCATTGCTGTGTATGTATCACTTGTGCTAGTTAAACTCTCCACTCCATACTCGACGCACTGCACAAAAGGGTAAATGAATTGGGAAAAATGCCGAAGAGAAGAATTCCATACCTTGAATTGCCTCCACGCTCAAAATACCTCGGACATGTAATATAGGCAGCGATGTTTCGACTTCTTTAAGTGAACTCTTCAGAGATTCACCCCCTTTGGCACCTGTGCACAAGAAGCTATAACAATTATGTCCGTATTGACTGTGCAGCTTAAGATGCACGCTACGAAGCGATGGCATGTCGCGGCGACGGCCAATGTGTTCATCCAATGATGACCATTCATGACACGGCGGTACGTGATCGTCTCGTAAAAGCACCAGCAGTTTCAGCTCCTCCAATGTACGCGTCAACGGTATCATAGCGGGAGGCGGTACGAAATCAACGATGAGGTACAGCGATCGCAGACGAACGAGGTGTTCTGTCCTGAGAATGGGCTCTTGGCTCAGTGACGATTCCCATTCTGATTATCCATTAGTTCATTGTCCCACACAACATAATGGGGGACATACCAAAGAGTTGTCGATATTCTAGGCGTTCCAGAGTATTCGAAGCTTGATCAATGATGGCTTGCACCAAAGAACGCTGTCTCTCCAAATCTTTCCCCGTAAAGCCGACCGAAAGCTCGCGGAGATGATGGGTGTTGAATAGAGAATCCGGACCTGCCAGATACATTGCGCTGACTGGACAATCATATCCTGATAACTCCAACGCTTCGAGACGTGGACGTATGACGGCATCCCGTACATCTGCATCAGCCTGACCATCAGAATGGGAAGGGCGTGAATACTCGATCCAATTCAGGGAAAGCCGCTTCAAAGATGGTGATCCAGCAAGATGGGCCATCAAACTCCATGGCCGGTCAATGTCTTCCAGTTGATCAATGTCAATACATTGAAGACTGGGAAGGGAAAACGACCGAAATAAAGCCTCCTTGAAGGCCGATGGTAGCAAGCGCCATGATACCTTGCTGTCGTCGGCACCGACGGTGATGCGTCGCAAATTCTGCAGAGAGTCAAGGATGCATGGCAGTACGTCCTCATGATAGATTCCCCGAACACATCTTCCGTATTCAGCTTGGAAGTGCACCATTCGGAGTGAGACGACAAAGAATGAAATGTAGGGGGCGCTGCACAGAAGGGAATAGAAATTTTCGCAGGTATACGTTATTCCTCGAGATAATGAATGGGTACTGCTGGGGTAGTTCTTTTGAGCCAGGATGACTCGAGAAAATGTCTGTTTGCGGCTGGAAGGGAAAAAGGCACGAGAAACGAGAGCGCATGTCTTTAGGGTAGGTACATCGTCTCGCACGAAGCCGATGACTTCGTCAATGAGCTCCTGAGGAATATGGCCCATAGTTCGAGCAAGTGACTGGCGGGGATGGGGAACGTAACAAACTTTGGGAGTTGAGAAGCCAAAAGCTTGTCGCGGGCTTTTCAACTACCATCATGGAATACCTCATGGGGGTGCACCAAAATCTTTGATGTTGGTCTTGGAAAATTCAGTCGAGGGCCCGAGCCGGTGCCCATATTTGGTCATCACCTTCCTCTCTTGTCATCCACCAACTAAGGTCTGATATGCCAGCATCATACAACATTAATTATATTGCATCCTTTTATTGCTTCTCACGTATGTCGAATTTTTTAATCATTCCTTGTTCATCATGCTCATGATAGGTCCCCGGGTTTCGGCGACAACAGGAAAAAAATCTAGGCCATCTACCCGCTTCACGGAGACGACGACCTTGCATTTTCTGCCAACCTGTCGCTTTCATGTCTATTCCCCAGTAACATCGAAGCCTCAGAAGGTGACAACGCTCGCATACTCGCGGAAACCTCCCGCTCCTTAACCATGGGCACTTTGGGTCCCCTGCAAATGCTTTATACATGTACTTGGAACGCTTGTGAACTTGCAAAGGACTACTCCGAGTAGCACCCTTTCTGTATCATAATTTCGAAGCACATGGCGCTTTAGGGCTGGATGTCCACGTAGGATTTCCTCGCTACCACCCGAAATCGTCATGGAATTTTCGGCTGGACGGAACTATTAACGGCCTTACTTGAGGCGCTATCAAGTTCAAAGAATTATTCCTTGGAAGAACTTCCTTACTTTGGTTTTCATCTTCTGCTCTGGATTCCCTTGGAATCATGGAAAAGCGGAAGACCGTCAATGGGGTTGCTCTGGATTCAAGGTCGCTTTCTGGCTGAGATTGTTCATAATTCTCTCCATCACATTCCAGCTTCTCATCAACATCGGACAGCACATTCAGCTTTTTAATCACGCGGCGGGAGTGGATCATAAGACCTTCTCATATCTTTGATGCCTGGTCCGCATTCTAGCATCAACACCACATGGCTCGCGAAGGGTGGACGCGCCGGACCTAGTCGCGCACTAGTATACGCTGTACCGCCTCCGTGGCTTGCGGCAGGAATTCCGGCCAGAGAGCTTTACCTACGCTAGATCGAATCTGAGTCTCATCCCTAGCATGTCGGTCGACGCGCTTCCACAAGGAATAATGCCAGTCGCATCTGTAGTCGTCTGTGACGGAAAGAATTGTCCAGGCTTACTTTAATTGTGGTAAAGACCGTTAAGCAAGCCATTTTCACTGAAATTCCATGCATCAATTTACGCAGTTCGTTTCTTGCAGATAATCTAATACATACATCGAAGTGCATATAGCGAGTACCACACGCCCGTTGATGTTCCTTGTCGAGTACCAAAAACGTCTATTAGTTCACCACCAACAAGTCTTCTAAGTCTTCATTTAGGATCCAGTGCTTACGTATACCTCCTCCGGGTTCGGATTCCACGGCAGGCGCTACAGGTAAGCGATGGGCTGACATCGATTTGTGAGAAAAAGGGGGAGCTGGTAGAAGAACTCCACCAACGCCAACACCCACACTACTCAAGTGAACATAGTTTCAGAATTCAAAATAAACTCTGGTGGATATAAAAGTTGTCCAACACGGATCGATTTTCCAGTACTCCCTGTTGTCCAAACCACTTGTACATCAAAATTCTGTCCTCGTCTTTATCCAAGATGCGTAACACGTCGGTCCTTTGCTCGGTAATGCTCGCAGTGTCTTTTTCCACTGCATTGACCGTCAACCCAACTGAACGTTCCAATGAGCTTGTCAGGCGCACGCAACTGAGCCACGGAACGTCTTTACCATTTGGCAAAATCGACAACCTTTCTTGGCAGTTTAGCGGTGAATGGTGTCTGGTAGATCTGACAGACCACCCGTTTCTGATTACTAGGCCACTTGCTTTCGAGCGAGTGTGACAAAGGGATAGCCATCAGCAACTGCTATGGTTCACGACTCTCTGCAGACTCCAGCAAAAATTTAGAGGATTACAATGCGAATAGTCCCAGACAACGCATCAAGTTCCTGACACCAGGATCAGCAGGCGGAACAATGAAGAAGTTCAAATGGAGATTCTAGTAAGCGTCAAAGCTTTGACGTAGTTGGTGATCTCTCCCTCAGTATTGCGGACTTCATAGTCTGTCTTCCCAAACTGGGACGACAGTTCACTTCTTCCATCTCATGTAAGTCTTGTCTCGAGACGATGGCGGACCGATTATTACATTGGATGCCGTTACCGATGGACAATTGGGACCCCGCATTATGATAAAGAACGGGATTGCGACGTCACGGGTTGCCCTTCTATCCGCGTTGGACCGCTTTACCGACCGCACTACGGTCCATTTCACCTTTGGTCCGAAAGAGAGCCTCAAGTATGTCATTAAGGACGCCGCGGACGAGAGTGTACAGCAAGTGAAACGGGCGGTGAAAGTAGCTCGTGTGTCTTCATATTTTTATTATACCTTGAATGATACTCATCACTGGCTGTGCTATCAAGAATCAAATTTGGAACTTATCGTCTTGCGGTTGATGGAATGACGAAATCCTTGTGAGCTTTCGGTTACTGAGGGTTGCTTCCTTCTGACCCTTTCTTTCTCTCGTCGGAAAGAGCGTCTACTGGAGATTTCGTAGACGAGAGTGAAGCATGATTTATGGATAGTGGCACCCGGCCGATGACCTTTATCTACGTGTTCGCAGTTAAGTCGTCGAAGGATCGGGCCGTCCGAGTAAACGAATGATATGCGATTATATGAGTTGCTATGCTCACAATATCATTTTTTTCCAGCTACCGAGAGCCTCCCAACAATCTTACTAAAGGTTTGCGCACTATTGCTGGGACATCCAGACCGAAATTGAGTTTCGACGATTTTCTTGACAATGACATGAGGCTGTGCCTGTTCTTCCTCAAAAAGTATTAAATAACTAATTATCTATTTTTATTTTGGGATTCATCGTTTATGTACTTACTGGTGCTTCATCCTTTAGCTCTGCAACCACCACCATCTACCGCCATTCTTTGTTTTCCTCTCCTCCTTTCTGTTGCTTGCTGGTCCAGGAGTCGAGCTTTTGGTTGGCTTGATTTTCCTTTTCATTCCTATAATTTTCTTTATTTTTCCCAACCATGGCCCTTACCCAAACCGCAACTTTACCTGGCCCGGGTCCGTCTTGGGACGAGGAGGTAGTACCGGCGCTGCGAAAAAGTAATTTCTTCGACCCGCCATTCCATTGCTCGAAGCTACTGCTAATGAGATATATCAGGACTGGAGAAGGAGAGCCGAACACTTGCTCGGCGCATATCAGCGATTTCTATAACCTCGTTGGAGGACGTGTCGAAAACGACGGCGGGCAGTGAATTTGGGTACCGGGGACAAAACTCGGCTTTGAATCCTTATCAAAGCAATGCGGCAACCTCACTTCCTCGACCTTTTCAACAGCAAGCACGTACGGCCTTGGACCGTGGTTCATCGTCCTCACGCGTTACCCCCGCCAAATCTTCCTCAACTCGTTCGAGGACATATTCGCAGCCCTATTCGTCTGACTCACAGAAAGGACGGCTTAATGGGAAGCCCAGTAGTTTGCGGTCGACGTCTCCCCGGCATGTCGAAGCCAAACCAACTCGCATACCCAAGCCCACTCGAAGTAGAGCTGGTAGCACCTCAAGTCATAACTATGCCGTCCCTGGAAACAGCAGCAGTCCCTATGGCTCCCCGCAATCGACCACTATTGACCCTGACCTGTGGATAGTGCATGAACAACCGGCAGCTGCTTCGCGTTCGACTATATCCGAGACAAGTCGTCAGCAACCGGTTCTTCTCAACGAGCCACCTCCTTTCAAGCCAGAGTCACCAACCTCTCTCGACGCGTATCAATCTCAGGAAAGTTTCCGAGTGCTACTCGATGACCCTCCACGACCCTCCATGGATTCCGAAGAGCATCCGTTTGAACATTGGTATCGGGGAGATGTGTCACGGAACGGCGGTGTTGGTGAGCTAAGGGTAGGCCGGCGCCAAGAGATGCTGGAAATCGCCAACTTTGGTCATTCCCTTAGAACGAAAACGGAGGCTCCAAATGCTTTAACAAATGCCCTGGAGGAAGGTAGACGAAGACGAAGGAGAGCGGACAGCGTCGGCGCTACTGAACGGAGGGGGAGCTTTCACATGGAAGAGGATGGTGTTGCAGGCGTTACTCAGGTAATGGATGAGCATCCATTGACTGACTTGGATGGAGAAGCTTCGGACGCTGGGAATTCATCAGACTATTACACGCCATATTCCAATCACAATGGCGTATCTGATGCTTGGTCCACTTCCACTCCCGGACCTACTGCCACGCGTGGATCGCGGAGCGCTACGCCTACTTCTCATCGACCGTCTTCTCGCCAACAACCATCTCGAATACCTACGCCTACACATCAGATGTCTGAGCACTCTCGATTGGCCACACCTACGCAGATAGTAAGGGGATCTAGCGAGCCGCCTTTTGCATCGACTTCATACACACCACCTAGCCGTACACAGACTAAAACTGCCTCTCCTACATTGCAACAAAAACGTGGTGCCTCACCCGCTTCTCTTTCTGCTACATCAAAGTCGAGGACGACAATATCCAAAGTTACACGTGCCAAGAATGAGGCTTTAAAGAAAGAACGAGACGAGGAGGCAAAGAGGCGCAGCGTTGGTCATTATCCGACACCGAACGATGATATGCGAGACGCCATACCTACGTGGACGGAACCTGTACCTCGGGAAGGTAATTGGGATGACGTGAGCCTACGATACATCGGATCGTAATATCCACTGATGTACCGCTGCCCTAGGTGGTTCTACCAGTAGTTGCTAGAAAGAAAGGCCTTGATGGTCATTATGAGCAGGCAGACGGCAGTCCCAAGCCCAGACCAACAGAAAAGGTCATCGCACCTGCAAGTATTCTTCCACATACACCGCTAGCTTTTGGGTTTACCTTCTTTGATAGGCCCCTGGAACATTTGGATATGACCACTCCAAATACCGTCCACCATTGGACGGTAATCCTGATGACGTCCTTATGGATGAGTTCGGACGGCCCAATATCGACCGCCTAACTGTAGAGGATGTGGTGTACGATGGGGAACCGATGCAACAACGTCCGCAACCACCTCCAATATCTACGAATCATGACCGGACACCTCTCCCGGTTCGGATGCAGCCTCCGGCATCGCCTGTACCATTTTCACATTACGCGCCAAATACCACCGCAAAACTACAACCAGTTTCTGCCGGTGCGGCGAAGCTTGAGGTCCAGGAACCTCGTCTTGAAGAAGAGGATGCAGGAGGATGCTGCAAGTGCGTTGTTATGTGATCCTTTTCATATCTTATCATACAGCGTATGGATGTTCTCTCTTCATTGTCTCTGTGTTTGTTTCGCTTGTCTCCTCGTTCTGTATTGCTGTGAGCACTTACTCCTCAGGCGTTTAACTCGTCCTCCTTGCTATCGATTGCCACACAATCATGGCCACTGTCGTTCGATGGCGCATGTCAGCGCGTTCCGCATCCACTATTTTTGTGCTTTTATCCCCATGTATTCATATTTGCTTTTGACCTTACCATACAGTTCGTATCCTAGTGCGCTTACTGTGTGGACAGTTTACTTTCTTTCAAGTTGGTTTTATTGGAATACCCTACAGCACAGTATTTTTACCCCATCATGCAATTCATTTGGAAATCAAACATCGACATCTTCGCGAGCCATACAAAAATTTGCAAGCAATTCTGGGAAATTTTGATAAGGATATCAGTGTGCACATGTGTCTGTAACCATATATTCCATACTATCGACCAGATGGCCTTCCTTGTCCACTATCACTTCTGTAGTAGAGTATTTCGCTGTCACGATATAAGTCACGCCGGCGTCGTCGTCCACAATAAGAGTTGTTTTATTGGTGAATTCTTGGATGACCTCTCCGTCCCTGGACCAAGTGATAGTATAGCTTTCGGTCGATCCAATCGGCACTTGTCTGAATTGGGCCAAAGGAATCAACTCGACGCTGAGTGACTTGGATTTCCCAGAACAGCCCTCGGTCACGCTATCGATTAAGCTGACCTTGGACAGCAATGCGTGCCAGAGGCCTTCCAAGCAGACTTTGCAGAAGCCAGAAGTCGTGACAAGCCGCATGAGACAGTCCTCGTTGGTAGGGCGGTAGGAAGTCTTGTTCGTGACGGAGTAGCTGTAGGAACGGAGAGCCATCAGTTTTGACTCTTTGAGAACAGTGACAGGGAACCGACGTTGGGAATACACCGTAATAATTCGGTGTCGCGATGAACCTGCAACAAGTATGAGCAACATCTTTTTCTCACTGATGAGAAGGGGACCATCATCGCACTCATTTTCGTCACCGAATTCCAAGATTTCCACGTTGCACAACTGAGCCAAACCTTCCCTGTCCATATTGAGAAGTGTAAACTTGACCTCATGAGTACCACCAGCCAAGCCATTGTCTCGATAGACATCGTAATGCCATCGATCTACGCCCAATCCTTCTTTGGGAACCCAGCCGAGATCAACACCATCTAATTCTACCGTGAGGTCGGAACTCTCCAAAAGGCCCGAGAGCGAAAACCGGACAAGGTGGCGCGAAAACGTTCCTGATGAAACGAATTCGGTTGACCAGGGCTTTGATGTGTTGAGCATAGACCAGGCATAGTCTTGAAGAGGCATAACGGATCGTTCAACGCGAAGAGGCTGGCCATCCTCTTGCGGGTACGTAAGCCAATGAGCCCACGGAACAGGTTGGCTCAAGTCGTGATAAGCATCTACACCGCGGTATACTTCACCCCCATCATATTCCTCTCCAACGGGAATGATAGAGTGACCAAGTTCGTGGCGCAGAATCGAGGGTCCGTTGGCAATTGATGACGTGATGACACTGCACGACGATAAGCTTCCTTGTGAGGATATGATTACCTCGTACTGACGTGTATCTGCCACCAAGACCTATCGAGAAGATATTAGATTCAGGAATCTAGGCCAGCCATCAGTTTCTCACCCCCATACAATGGATCATTTCCTTGGAACTTGAATCGGTAAAAGTTTCTCTGACATGGGAAATTTTGTCTCACCTAGTAAAATCGGGAAATCACATTGGTCTCCCATGGAGGAGCACGCAGCTCCTGCCACCTCTGGTTTTGCATAATAGACTCCGCGAAGTTCGGTTCCGGGGCGATAGAGGCCGTATGTGGTACTGTGAACTGATTAGTCTGCTTTGTGAACGAGAGACGACTATCACATTACTTCTTAGGCTTTCCACCTACACCAACACCACTCTGAGGAGTAGGGTAAAGACACGTAAGAAACCTTTCATACGGGCACCCACCTCTTGACTAGGAGTAAACGCGGCCCAGAAATTGAGTATTGGCTGTACGGTGTTGAAAGTTTGGTTCTTGGAAACATCCTCCGCCAATCGCATTGCATCCACGATGAACTTTTCACGCTCTTTGAGAAGATCTACGAGAGGGCTTCTAGACGAGAATAAGGCACATAAGACACGAAATCTCACAGCCATCGGAGAAGAAGACCAGGTCGACGCGGTTACCGCTGGGCCCTGAGATTATAAGCGGTTCGATTTCAAGCGGAGGGGGCTCGACGTTGCTGTATTCCAGAGTTTCTTGATCAGGATACCAGTACGGGATGTATTCCTCTCTGTGGAATTGACGGACACATTTACCAGACTCTGGGGACTCAGGCTCATGGTAATGCGCCTTCGTGCCCCAGATTAGAGCCAGAACCAGAAAGGTAAACAGCATTCGTAGCACCACTGTCGCCCTGATCAATGAATGGCAATTAAGTCATTTTTCTTGAATAGAGCTGAAAGATACGAGGCAACAGGACACATAGATTTGAATCGGACGGATGGCGACTTTGAAAGTGGTGTCTCTTACTCACCGATTGCCAAAATAAGGCTACCTAAGAGCAAAGCTTGACCTATGCATATGTATCAATAAATAAGATATACAAATAATTTCCGCGAGTGAAGTAACTGTACCTGATTCAGGTAATTTCAGGACGAGAGGTTCAAGTTGAAAGCTAGTCAAAGTTCCTGATCAACTTCCAAGTTCGTGTTCCGGATTGGACGGGCCGAAGGATCCAACACAGCCACGATCATATACAGCCTCTCCGAGCACGACTACCAGTCGCCAACAAGGTATGGTGGTTTCTTACTCACAGTTTTCGCCATTGGCGCTGGTACATAACCACAGCAATTAATGAATCACTGTATGGCTTCCATCCCTTTCCCCAAACACAGGTTCGATGAGAGTTTGGACTCGTGTGCTTCAAGTTCGGCTACTTAGCTTGTTCAATATTTGCTCGTCATTTCTTTTTATTGTCATAGCAACCCTGCCTCTCCCGATGTGACAGATGATTTCATTCTTCTGAAATTTGAAGCAAGCCTAGCTCTAATGAATACTAGACTGAATTGTCGCATGCGTTTATATCCGGGCTCGGTCCGTTGATTTTTAAGTATGTCAATAAATAGCGATTTGAGGTCCAGTGGCGCTGGTGTACGCAGCAAAAAAGCTATAAAGGTGACGTTAGGTCACGGTACCGGTGCTTTCTTGACTGGGAATTGGTCAGTGCTGGACGCGACACTCTCTCAGGAAGCGCGTTCCAGCTTCTGTTCTCTTTCTTTCGTCGTGACAAGCGATTTTCATTTTCGTTCTGGCCGCTGAGGACGAAGGGGCTTTGACGACCTGCTCATACGGACATGGCGACACCTGTAAAGTCGACAAGCAGCTCGAAATCCCTCCATGATTATGTACGCTCTATCCTGATGCTCTTGTCGTTATCCTCACCATCGAGTAGCAACTGGGAGATTCGCTGGGCAAGGGGGCATTTGGTCAAGTCTACCGTATGTATTGATTCTTCGACATAGAGATACCACTCAGCTTTTGCAAAAGGTGCACTCAACTGGGCTACTGGGGAAACCGTCGCTGTCAAGGAGATCCAATTGAGCAACATACCGAAGAGTGAACTGGGAGAGATCATGGTGCGTTCACTGTCTATTCTATCCTTTCATCTTCCTCACCTTTTCGCCTTTGTAGTCCGAGATTGACCTTCTGAAGAACCTCAACGTAGGTGCAATGTTCCCACTTACTACTATCTCTTGATCGACCTCCAGCATCCCAATATCGTCAAGTACAAGGGTTTCGTCAAGACGCGGGAGTATTTGTACATCATCCTCGAGTGCGCATTTTGATCTGCCTTTCCGATGCATCCTTCATCAGTGGCACAGGTTCTGTGAGAATGGCTCTCTTCACAACATTTCCAAACGATTTGGAAAGTTTCCCGAGAACCTAGTATCAGTGTACATCTCTCAAGTGCTGGAAGGCCTTGTCTATCTCCATGACCAGGGCGTCATACACAGAGACATAAAGGGTGCTAATATCCTCACGAACAAAGATGGGACTGTGAAGCTTGCGGATTTTGGAGTGGCGAGCACGACCGCCAATGGCGCGCTGGATGATGCCGTCGTAGGGAGTCCTTACTGGAGTGCGTGTTATTTTCATACTTGCAGGGATTCACATTGATTTGAACAGTGGCGCCGGAGGTAATTGAACAATCTGGCGCAACAACGGCGTCGGATATATGGTCTGTCGGCTGCCTCGTTATCGAGCTTCTGGAAGGAAACCCGCCTTATTATACGCTTGAGCCAATGCCCGCATTATTTCGCATCGTCCAAGATGATTGCCCTCCTATACCAGAGGGCGCGTCTCCCATCGTCAAAGACTTTCTATATCACTGCTTCCAGAAGGACTGCAACTTACGAATATCCGCCAAGAAGCTTCTCAAGCACCCGTGGATGGTCTCGACGCGTAAACAAATGTCCAACGGTGAGACGGCGACAAGAGCGGCGGATCGAAGACCGTTAAGCAACTACAACTATGATGAAGCAGTGCTCAAGGTCCAGGAGTGGAACGAGGCCTTGAAATGTCCGTCGAGTAAATTCCTTCGACTTTACATTACTAACGAGCGGTTCTTTTAACTCAGCCCCTTCACGTCCATCCAAGCACCCTCACCGAGGACAACGATCGCGTCCACCTTCGCCCAATCGCTCCCCTACCGACAATTCATTTAAGCCATCTTTACCCACGTCCACGTCTGCTGGCTTGGGTCCATCAACGTCAGCTCCATCGGCATGGAAACTGGGATCTGCTCCCAAAGCCAATGTAATAGGCTTAGTGGAAAAGATTCAGCCTTTGGTCCTGCAGCCACCGGAAGTACAGACTGACAACTGGGATGATGATTTCTTAGAAGAGATATCTTTCACCAAGTTGCAAGGTTCGTCACAGCACGTCTTCTGTGATTTCCATATTAATAAATATTGCATAGCCCTGGAGCGGACCCCGCCCGACGATGATAAAACTGAGACGGAGGACAATGCGCAGACTATTCGGCCAAATCGAAGTCCTGGCACCAGCGCCATACCTTTGGCAAAAGCACCCGCATCGGAAATGAACCCCATAGTGGAAGACTATTCTGACCTGGCGGAAGAGAACGAGTTGGAGAGTAAGGTCGCCGATTTCAAGGTAAACTTTCTACTGTTTCCGGATACCTTTTGAGGATAACAAGCGACTTCTATGTCACAGATGAAGAACTCTTTCCGCAAAGGCCTCTTTCACCCAGACGACATCAAGACTTTTGCTTTATCTAATTCCGTTCCTGCGCCACCAAAGTCCGCGCCAGAATTAGCAAGGAAAGCCTCACGTTCTTCTCTTAGTCCCATCAGGTTTCCATCTGCTCCTCCCCCGGGACCTCCTTCCGGCACCATGCGAAGCTCTCATTCACGTTCGTCGTCGTTTGTTGGGACTATTGGGAGCAGCGGGGGCTCGTTTGGTCGCGCGGAAGCAAAGCGGGCTCAGAGCACATCAGAATTTGATAAGTATACGGAGGGGGACGATGAAGATTATGAAGATGTCTTTGGAAAGCCAAATGGAAACAGTGCGTGACGTTATAGACTGTTATGAGCCCTTGAACTGAATGGTTAACCAATAGCATCTGAACAACCCATGCAAGCATTACAGCTAAATACAAGACTATCCAACAAATCATGGGTTCGTGCTTTATCGCATGATGTTAACGAGTGCTACTCAATTGTTACGTTATAGTTAGGATATGAGGATTCAGATGAGGAGGACCCATTCTCTGAGATTGATGAGGGCTTTGCAGAGGATGACCTGGAAGCGAACCTGCAGAGAGACAAATATGCTCGACTGTGCACCCAAGTCAATCAGCTCATTGACGAACTTACGCCTTCCGCACCCGACTTCCAATTGCGGGACGCTTGCGACCAGCTGGTTTGTACGACGGCATACTTGATATTACTATTGTACTGACAATTTTATCGTTCCAGCTTGGAATAATGGCCGATACCCCGGAGATGCAAGTCCAGCTGGTGTCATCACATGGAATGCTTGCCATTTTGGAGGTCCTCGAGGGCAAGTGCTCGCGAGACGTCAACATGAAGTTACTGCAGATTGTTAATCTGGTAAGTTAGGCATCCATTTAGCTGCCGCACGCTGTTTACTGTATCTGTAGCTTGTGACCGCGGATTTGGGCTTTCTTGAGAGCTTCTGTTTGATAGGGTGAGTGAACCAGCTGGCTTTGGTGTACCGTTCGTTCGTTCAAGCTATTCTAGTGGGATACCAGTCATGATGGGTATGCAATACATCCACCGCTTTAGCCAAAAAACTCATATACGGCAGGTTTTACTTCCAAAAGGTATCCGTCCGAGTGCCGGTTGGAGGCCTCGAATTTCATTAGACTGTTGTGTCATACATCGGTTCTGACCCTACAGATGTTCATCTCGTAGGTCGATGACGCCGAGACTATTGAATTTTACTTATACCTTTACTTAGCTGTCGAGGTCTAAAGGTGCTCGTAGATCTGCTCGACGAAGATTACGCTGAGCAAACCGAGCTCGTCGTCCACGCCCTTAACGGGATCGGAAGCGTGTTTGAGCTACAAAGTCCCACAACGAAGAACGATTTCTGCCGAATGTTCATTCGAGAAGGGCTTCTCGACCCTCTTTCATCAGCACTCCTTAACGTAATGGCCAACCGGGGAACGCCGTCTACGGATATGAAGATGAAGATAATACAGATTCTATTGGTATTTTCACAGGTTTCACAATCGGACATTCACGTCCGAAATGCATTGGGTACGAGGAAGGTCATACGCCGTAAGTTCTGAAGCTTTGAAAGGACAGACTCTTGCAAATGTTTTCCCCAACAGGACTTCTACGTGCGTGCGAACTGTTGGAGCCAGAATGTCTCGTGTTGATGCTGAAGGCTGTGAAACACCTCTCGATGAACTCTACGCTCCTAGATGTGTTGCAGAATGCCAACGCCATTGAGATCCTAGTTCGCATTTTAGATGAACAATCATCAGGTCCTCACAGTACGGTATGTGTCCTTGTTATCACCACAATGTTATTTATTCACCCTTGAACGCAGGAAATGTCCAATCATATCTTCCAGACCTGCTTCAATCTGTGCCGTCTGAACAAATCGCGTCAAGAGGAGGCGGCGCAAGCTGGAATCATCCCTTGTCTCAAACGAGTTATCCAGACGAGTTCGCCGCTGAAGCAGTTCGCATTGCCTATTTTGTGCGATCTAGCCAGCGCCGGGAAGAGTTGCCGAACGTATCTGTGGCAGCAAGATGGCCCTACGATGTATTTAAAGCTACTCGAAGATCCTTATTTCCAGGTTAGCGCCTTGGAATCTATCTTGTCTTGGTAAGGCGCACCTGCCCTCCAAGTCTTGTTGGGCTGACCTAACACTTACGACAGGCTACAAGATGAAACTGCACGAGTCGAAGACGAACTCATGAAACCGGAGTCTATAAACTCCTTACTCCAATGCTTTGTTTCTGCCAAAGCAAATTCGTTCGAGAATCTTCTTGATCCTTTCTTGAAGATGACACGTCTCTCCACGCCTATCACTATCGCGATGACCAAGTCATCAGCCTTCTTCAAGCGGATCATCGACCGGCTGGCACACAACACGAAAGCTGTTGTGCGGCTGAACCTCCTTCGCATATTGCGAACAGTCTGTGAAGTCCACCCCAATCGCGCCGTTCTCGTCGAAAGGTACGGGCTCCTGGGCATCGTAGAAAATCTCAGCCAAAGCGGTGGAGATGGAGCCGTACTTGTTCGAGAATTGGCGAGAGAGATTGTCCCTGTTCTAAGGCCAGGGCTAAAGCCTGTGGCGAAAAGCACTGGATCCGAGTCTCCGAGGACCGTCGCTCCCAAAAAGACGAGAAGAACAGCGTCTGAAATCTCGGCAACTGTGTACGGACAGGGGCTTGTAGGAAGTACGTCCGGCACCATGCGATTTGGTGTGCCACGTCCAAGTACGAACAAGTCAGCCCGGGATCGAATGAGGTTGAATGAGATCCCGTGGCAGACAGACAGCGGCTCTGGAAGCCAGCTTTGAAGTATGCTTGTATTACACTCTTTTTTTCCTATCCCTCTGCTATATCGTCGCATGGTTTTCATTCTTTATTTGGGTATCTGCATCGTATACGTACTTGACCTCTCATTAGCATTTTTATTGAACACTCTCATTGCATATGGTATTGATATTATTATCAGATAGTCTAATACTGTGGAAACTGTAAGTTGTGCGTGAGACGACATGAACTGGATACTTACCAGCGCTTCCTTTACTGCCGGATAGTACGAATGAATGGTATTTGGAATCCTGATACCAATGCCCTTGCACGGTCCTGAGCTCCAATCCCTTGAGCGTTTGTGATAAAGTGAATGTGCATTCCGTATTGCCTAGGATAAGCTTCCTGATTCACTTCAATTTGCGGGAAGAAGCCCATGGCTTCAGGCGGCAGACCCATGGATACAACGCCGGAGACTGAGCTGGGCTTGTTGAGACTGGATCCGGCGATGGGGAGGGCAAGGCCATCGAACTCTCGAAGACGAGGCAGAACGAACTCTACAAGGGTGCCGATAAAATCGTACATGTTTTGGCCCTTCATCGTGACCTTGGCACCAATAGGAATCCCAGGCCTCAGCCAGCCACCAACCTGCTTTTTTCCCTTCACGATCTGCACGCCCTCCGCTGTATGCTTCCCTCCACCACCATTTTCCGTCTCTCCCGACAGCGCCCGAAGAGCCATGATCACGCCAAGAACCTCACTTTTGCTCGTCATCGCCTGCTTGATCATGGTGTGTATTTGGATCTTTTCCAGCTTCGTCACGTTTTCTGGCGATGAGGGCGGCGGTGGCTGTCGTCCTAGATGCGATCCACCGACTGGAGGGTTTTTCCGGTATTTGGAGTAGGGATCTTCTGGGTCGAATCTTAGTCGAATCTGTCGAGGTGGTGGTCGAGGACCGCGTTCGTGGATGTAAGTCATGTACATGACATCGTCTTGTAACGTGTTGTAATAGTGATCCTCATAGCGGCTCGGTGCGAATTGCCTCGTTATGATATTTGTCGGTGGGATGGGCAATCTCGTCCGTTTATCTTTCGGTAGGCCCTTTTTTGGCGTGGGTACCAGACCGAAACGCGTCAGTGAGGTTGCCTGGGTGTATTTGGTGACAGCCTCTATCACAGGTTTTGCGGCCGGTGCCGCCATCTGAATTTTAGTGAGTGAAAGTACAGCATACAAGAATAATTCATACCCTGAAAACCGTAGGCCTACCAAGTTAGATGAAGGCCGGGAGAGAGTCGTTGACTTCTGAAACAAATAGACGCAAGTTGCTACACTGCCACCGATTGCCAAAGAAGATGATGTGTGGAAAGTGCCAGTACATACGATATTGTGTGCGTTCTTACATTAACGTGTATCTTCTGACCTTTTTAAGAAATCCGATGTCTGTCGCGAAAAGCTGCACTTCATTGATGGGAGTGCTTGGGTCGAGGTGTGTAGTGAGCCAGCTTCAGGATCACCCTCAAACAACAAACTTGTAGGAACATAACTGGATCGTTGAATGGGCGACTCTGGAAGCCCTCCGCGTCCACACTACCTACAGTTTTCTGCAGCTCGATGTGATGTACGGCGACCTGACCAGGCTTGGGGGAACCGCCGGAACAGACTATTCTTATACAAGACATCCATTACACCATTTTCTGAGGCGTCGTGGCTCACAAACATGGGAGTTGACTTCAAGGAAGCCCAAGAGATTAGGGCTAACGGCAGAACAGGCAGAGCCTTTGCCTTCGTCTGTTTTCGATGGGAGCGCGATGGCCGCATGATGGCATTTCCTCTGAGGCTTGACCTGACTGGGCCTCCAACACTTGGATATCAACATAACCCTGCCTGGAAACCTATACCTTACGGTGTTGTCCGTACACAGATTTCGATGGACCACATACTGCAGGCGGGAAATACATCGGCGATGGATCTGAATGACATGGATTTTGAAGATATCATCAATGGCATGGGGTCACTTTCGATGGTAAGCGGTATGATCACTCTGCCTTACGTTCCTTGACAAGTCCTGTAGGATGTGTAGATGCAGCGGACTATGCTTACTCTACGGTAGGAACATATCCCTCGGAACAAATCCCTTCATTGACTCTCGATGTTGCCAGTACGGTAGTCAAACTAGCATACACACTCCTAACACATTGGAAAGCTAGTCATACCTCAACAGTGTGCTGTATCTCCTTGCGATGTATATTTGACGACCATGGAACAAGCCCAAATTTTTCTTGGGTTCTGCTATCATAGAAGCCAAGTTCCGTGATAGTCCTGCCCTAACTCATAGTGAACTTATGCGGTGTTCACAAGATTGACATTCGAGGGTTCTTCGTTTCTCAGCTCCTTGCGGCATCATTCCTCTTTAGTCTGTCCACGACTTGCAGCTAATAGTCAACCGTCATCATAGATCTGACCTTTGCATCGAAAGGAAATATCAAAATTATACCCGATCATTGGACAAATGCAAGCAACAGTCGATATCCTGCACGTATCTCTTTGGATGCATGACGTAACGAAGAATTCAGCATCTTCATCTCACCGCCATGCTCTATCGTCTCTTAATACTTCTCTTTGCTGCTTTGCGTGTATCAGCTCTATGGCCTCTGCCACAAAGCATCTCAACGGGCTCCACATACCTACAGCTTTCTACTACCTTTGATATCACGCTTTCGGGCATCTATTCTCCGCCTGCAGACCTTACTGATGCAATATCTCGTACCAAACAGTATTTGTTCAACGATAAACTCCAGCGTCTGGTGGTGGGGCGTGGGGCGAACAACGCAGATGTCATCACTAGTGCTGCCAGCCTGAAGAAGCTCACACTTGTCTTTCAAGGAATAGAGGTGTCGAGCATCTCGGAGGAGGCGGTGGCAGAACTGGAGAGCCGCGTAGAGAGCTATACTCTCAAAATCCCTGCCGACGGGTCAGATGCCATCGTCACGGCCAATTCAACACTTGGCCTGTTCAGAGGTCTCACGACATTCAGCCAGCTGTGGTACGACTGGGAAGACACCATTTATACTCCCGAAGCGCCAGTGGATATTATTGATGCTCCAGCTTACGTATGATGTAGAAATCTTACGTTTTCCCTTCTTTTCTAACATGAATCCTAGCCATACCGTGGATTGATGCTTGACACTGCAAGAAATTTGTATGCAGCTCTCATAATCTGCTGCTTTTATTTTCTCCTGACCGACCGTGTATCAGCTTCCCTGTCTTGGACCTCAAGCGCACGCTGGATGCCATGAGTTGGGTCAAAATGAGCACGTTTCATTGGCACGTTACAGATAGCCAAAGCTTCCCTCTTGAAGTTGCAGAATTCCCCGATCTATCCGCCAAGGGTGCTTACTCTTCTTCGATGACTTACACTACTTCTGATATTGAAGACATCGTTGCGCATGCCGCTTCTGTACGTAACTCCTCATTTGCCAACCCCCCCTCCCCCCCATTCTAATGGCTATCTAGCGCGGTATCGACGTTTTGGTCGAGTTTGACACTCCAGGGCACACTGGCATCATTGCAGAAGCATATCCTGATCACGTTGCTTGTGCCGGGGCCACTCCATGGCAGAACTACGCAAACGGTATATCCTTTCAGCTTTCCTAACGCCCTTCTGAAACTGATTGAACAATGATGAAGAACTTCCTGCTGGACAGCTTCGCATCGCATCCAGTGACACTGTCAATTTCACGGCCTCCCTGGTTTCTGCGATATCATCCATGTTCCCCTCTAAGTATTTTTCAACTGGCGGTGATGAAATCAATTTCAACTGCTACGATGATGATAACGTGACGCAAGCAGATCTAGCAGCAAAGGGAGTCACAATAACCCAAGCTTTGAACTCTTTCACTGAATCCACCCACGGTGCCCTGCATGTGGCTGGTAAAACGCCTGTTGTATGGGAAGAAATGGTCCTCGATTATAATATTACAACCCTTGGAAACGACACGATTGTAATGGTATGGGTCTCGTCCGACGACGCCGCAGCGGTTGCGGAGAAGGGATACAAGTTCGTTCATGCAGCGTCCGACTACTTTTACCTCGACTGCGGCGCTGGCGAGATGCTCGGGAACACCGTGGATGAGACTAGCTGGTGTGACCCATTCAAGACGTGGCAAAAGGTTTTTTTTAAAATCGTATCTTCATTATATTGGTATCGCTCACCTCCCTTTAGGCATATTCATTTGACCCCACTGCCAACCTGACGGAGGAACAAGGTCTGTTGGTATTAGGTGGTCAACACCTTCTTTGGACAGAGCAATCATCGCCATCGAATCTGGATCCAATCGTCTGGCCTCGAGCTGCAGCATCTGCAGAGGTGTTCTGGAGCGGCTCGGGACGGAATGTGAGTGAGGCGCTTCCTAGGCTTCACGACGTTCGATTCCGCTTCAACCAACGCGGCGTCGGGGCAATTGCTCTCCAGCCGTTTTGGTGCGCCATAAGACCTGGCCTTTGCGTTGCTTAGACCTTCTTTTTGACGCTGTCAAAGTTAATGTCATCTTCTTTTTTGATGTATAGGACGGATGTTTGGTTATAGCCATTTTGACTGTCCGGCGTAAGAGTTGATCGTCGTAAATGTGTGTCTATTTTCTGCGAGTACCTTTCAATATTTATTTCGCTACTCTGGTTCCGTTTCGGGTATCCCTGACAGCTTGTGAAGTCGTCAACGTTTCCTAGGACGACTGGGTGGAGGAAGAGCCATCTCGAGGGGGTGGTTCCGAGACCGCTGGCGGCCGTTGCTGAGCCTTTGAGTATGAGCGAGGTTGATAGCGTCTCAATTGACAGCGAAGCATTTAAGTACCGGGAAATTGGTCGGTCTGTCATATGCATGCCGGGAAAGTTGTATCATTTCATTTTCATTCATGTTCACTGAATACACTTTTTCGCAGACCATATTGTCAGGCGCCTTATGACGCAGAATCCTATGCGGCGATATTCGGGTTCTGCATCCTTCAAACATACGACTCGAATATTCAAAATGATACGACTTGAGTAGGGCCCATAGTTATGATTGCAAGGAGTCTGGAAACGAAGGGGGATTTTGGGCTGTGCCAAAATGTGTTCCTGTTTTTCCCGGAGACCGTTACCGCTAGTCATGCCGGCGGTCCAGGCCTGACAACCGACCGGGTTGGAGAATCGACCCCGCATCGAAGCATTCGAGGCTTCTTGGTTAATATGCACGGTGTTGATCCGTGGTATGTTTACAGCGCTTAAGTAGTGGTTAGGCTTGTCGAGCCTCGTCTAGATGCTCACCGTACCCATCCGACCATCACTTGCATGAGGTATATAAACAAATTCTGTCTCATTATCTGTAGTTTGTTTATTCACTCAACGCCTCTACTCAGTCTCTGGCGTCTGCACTCCTCAGTTATTTTTTAATTTGACGTTAACGTTAAACCCATTCCAAACCTCATCATGTACTACACATACTTGGCCCGCCGAAAGGTTCGTCTCGGATGCTTTCATGGATATTACGTTTGTCCTGATGGTCTTCGTTCTAGTCCCTTGCTATATGGGTCGGTTTGCAGACGAGCCTTGCCAGTTTGGTATATTACCGATACCAGGGAACAAAGAGGTTTGTTTCCACGTTCTCTACAGGCGTTTCTTCTTCACTAACACCCCAATGCCTTCCAGTTTGACCACCTCTTCCCTTTCATCAAGATTGGAGCAGCTAAGGGCTGTACCCATGACGCATTAATGATTTGAGCGTCGACATTGGATGTTTAATCCTCACTTCCACTCCGGGAGATCCGTATGATGACTCGGGAGGCAGCAACAATTGACTAATTTATTTTGTCGTACTTGTATATACGTTCCGGATATATAGGATAATTCGAAATCATAACGAAAATAACGGAAAGGCAGATGGAGGCCTATATCTATGATAAGCGGCGTTACTCGATATGGAGCTTCGACCTGTACTACCACTCATGCCCAGCCGCTATCCGTAGCCCCTTCATCATGGTACCCAAACGACGAATAGTCGTCCTAATCTCTGGCTCTGGTACTTGAAATACCCGTATATTTCGACCTACTTTGTGAGCTGAATATCTCAACTCAGGCACAAATCTGCAAGCCCTCATCGACGCTCAGAACACCCCGGCCCTTCCAAACGCCAAAATTTCTCTCGTCTTATCGAACAGAAAAGCAGCATATGGTCTTACCAGGGCAGCGCAAGCCAACCCACCCATTCGGACCGCATATTTGGCTCTCCAACCATTTCTCAAAACCAACCCAGGGAAGACACGGACCGACTACGACGTCGAAATCGCGAAAATCGTTTTGAAAGAACAGCCTGATCTTGTCGTGCTAGCCGGGTGGATGCACATTCTCGGAGACGGTTTCTTGGACTTGGTGTATACAGTCAAGAGGTCAATTCCAGTCATCAACCTCCATCCAGCCCTTCCTGGAGAATTTAATGGCGCTAGTGCCATCGAGAGGGCGTACGAGGCATTCAAAAAGGGCGAGATCACTCGCTCTGGGGCCATGGTGCATCGAGTTGTCAAGGACGTCGACCGAGGAGAGCCGCTTATCGTCAGGGAGGTACCGTTTGTGCAGAATGAGCCACTGGACGCGTACGAGGAGCGGCTGCACAAGATCGAATGGGAGATCATCGTGATGGGCACTAAAAAGGTTCTAGATGAAGTAGAGGCAATTTGTGAGCTAGGTTCTTCGTTACTCGGCATGTGCACTAATAGTCTGGTAGAGAATAATATCTATACAAAATGGCTCTTAAAATTGTATGAAATGCGTCACAACACAATTCCCACTGCCCCGGACATACAGATGAAATGAAGGCGCGCGCAGAATGAGGGGCAGAGAACGGACTATCATCTACTGCGATCTACGAAAACGCTTTGGCGGTGATTAGCTACATATGTGAACAGATGTGTACGTACTACACACTTTACCTCTGGCGTTGATCGACCAAGCATTAGGGCACTAGCACTCTGTATGGAGATTCATGCTCCTACCAGTCCCTCGCTGCCTAGTCTGCTTTTGATGTGTGGTAGTATCAGGTAAAACAAAGGCTGGTCACAATATAAAAATCTCAACGATGACGCAAGGCTTTTCAACGGTCGCTTCAAATTAATTATAATACACACTGGTCATGATACATTAACCTCCTGGACGCCGTCGACAAATGAGGATGCTGACCGCTGACGCTTTAAAGTAGGCCCATCATCGACACTCTTCCTTTTCACTCCCGTATATACCCCCAGTGTATGTCGCATTTGCTACGACATCCTCAAGGATATCCTTCGCGGAGAATTTCTCAGTTATACTCTGAACAAAGCGGGTGTTAAGCTCAGCGATAGGGTGTTCAGAGTCGGCATCCAAGCGGTCAAGCTTGGCATCAGCACAGAGCGAAGCAACCACACGCAGAACACTGTATGTGCCCACACCGTGGTTCCGGCTAGGAAGGCTCTCGAGAAGTTCGCGAACGACATCTGATACTTCAGACTCTTTCGAAGGATCAGAAGACTCGGACTTGGCAGTGGAAGAGGTCTCAAGCGGAGAAGGAGGAGTCTGCTCTGTGGTCGGAGACTTAACAACCTCCGTCTTTACGATGGTCTGAAAACTGTCAATGACACGGCTGAAATTAGATGATGCAATGACTTACAGGTTCATCGAAAAGAATCTCGGGCTGTAGGGCTTTCAACATGTCCCGAAGCTGTGCTTCGGGCACGAGTTCCTCAGTCTTTCCATCAAGATAAACATGTTAAGAGCAGCCGAATGAGACTCTTGTCCGCGAGCCTTAGGCAAAATAGCAAAGCCGGGCTGTCAAAGTTAGCAGAATGGATACAAAACACAGTCCTATGCTCATCTTTCAGCCAGGAAAGTGTGTCGGCGCGAGTTTCAGCAACGTAAGCCAGACGTCTAGAGGTGCCGGGTGTGTATTGAAATACACCAGTCTCCGTCTCGCCAAGATCAGTTGATGTGAAATCCACAAGACTCGCGGTCTGGTTAGCCCCTTCGGGCTTTGTACCTGGAAAAGTAAAGACATCTGCTAGAGCTTGAGGCTGGCAGAAGACGTGAGCTAAACAGAGCGCCACGAAACAGGTGGCAGAAAGAGGGCGCTGGTACTTTCGGTCCACAGATAAGGAGGAATCAATGTCTGTGAGGGATTTTTTCTTGTCGGCGAACCACCGAGCACATGGCACATGTCACAAGGCAGAGAGGCTCGTCAATGACAATCTGTCCCATGTTGGGATCAACAAACCGACCGACACCTCGGGAAACGGCGTCAAAATTTGATCAATCCCAAAGATCAGACGATGATCAAGAGTAACGAGGCAGTGCAGTGGATAAGAGCGTCATGGACGGCTGCCTTAACAGAGGGATCTGGCACAGTGAAGTCAACATCGATGAAAGCAAATTGGTAGACTTACAATATCGTGGGTCTGGCATTTCCATAGGCATGTAAGGACGCCTAAAGTCCCTGTATTCTTCTGCATGGCTATAGACTTCGCCATCGCGTGGTTCGTAACCGGTAGATAACCAGACAAGATAGTCAAGGAGGCGATGAGGGCTCTGGAAATCGTTGAATAGCAGCTGGGAAATCACTGACGCCGTAAATCTATGCCTGGAGGTACGTCATCGCAAGTGGTCTTTCAGGACAAAATCAAAGATGCTAACCTCCCGCGAAACCATTTCCACATGCGTAACTGGAATTCTTCGCCAGAAAGAATCGATGCCAAGGACGGTGGCAGGAATTTAGATATGTATTGTCTCTGTAGTTCAGGGACGCTGAAGTCACCAGCATCTGAAGTCCACTGGTAGTAGCTCCACTGATCGCCTTGGAAATGCTTTCGCGGAATTTCGGTCCCAGCCACAATCAGAGTGAAATCATAAGCCTTCAAGTGATGCTGCCAAACCATCAACATCTCGTGAAGAATGGGTCGGCCACCCCAAAACGCATCTAAAAAAGTGTATCCACCGCCATCGGCAAGGGAGATTTTCCTCATCGATCACGATGAAAAGTGGCATGCCTGGCTTCCTTGGACAAAGAGAAAAAATGGCGTCCAAAGTTTCACGTATCGCTTCATCAAAGAATTCAATGGGAACGACCGATTCCTGCATCAGATTCCAACAGATTCATGCCCATGATTCAACGCCAATGTTAACTCCTTCTTCAACACCTGAGGCCACTCAACATGATAACGCGGACCGACTATAATCTGACGAAGCAGCTGCACAAAAGCTGTGGCGAATGATTGGCGCACGTGTTTCAGCCTTATCGGTCTATTTCTGCTTGTAGGGAAGGAAACAATAGCAAGCATCGACAGGCTCAAGTCTGCAGTAGACAGCATCGACGAAACCAACGAGGAGAACCAGTATTTGATTCGTATGTCTCCAAATCTTATGTTATTTTCATCTTCATTGACAATTTTTTTCAGTGGGTTACATATACGAGCAGTTCTCAAAGGCTCAAGAAAATTCAGATGGGCATATAGCCTTAGAGCCTGTTATGACTCTGAAAGATGGTACACAAACCAATCGTCAATTCTTCTCTCGTAGGCTGATTTTTGAATGTTTTCAAGCTCATACGCGAAATCTCTTAGACTGACTGGATGTCGAAATCAAAAAGGTTGTATACGGAGAGATTACATTCCAGGCATGGCAGATACCGAGCACAGTGCCTTCCGACGTCCTTCCTCACCTCCGAAGCCTTGAGATCCCCGCATTGACACAAAGTCCTGATCGCCCTGAATTGTTATTGTACAAAGCTGGGCACTTTCCAGAATAATGTGGATTTACAGACACGAATTCAACCGTTTCTCTGGCGTCATCACCAGTAAGTACACATTTCAGTTGATTCTATCCCTGTGTTGACACATTGCCCTAGGATTTTTGTCGACAGTGCTGGCTCCGGGAAGACTCGTCTTATGATGGAAACATTCTGTCAATCCTGGGGCTTCTATCTTTCATGTCGACCACCCTTCGCACACAATCATGACCTATCGACGTCTTTATACACGGCGGTCCTTCTCGCCCGTCTAACCATCTTCTGCCGATTTCTGCGACATGTTCCGCGGGATCAGATATCAAACAACGTTTATAAAACACGGTGGACTGCTCTCCAAGTTCAGCCATGCTTGATCAGAAACTACTTCGGTGACATATTTGTTAGCCTGCTCTCACATTTTCGCAATCTTGACCAAAGTGCCCTTGAAGAGGAATGTAGCTCGACATCTATCTGCATCGCTGAACTGCTTGAGTCGGAAGGCAACCATCTGTCGATCGTGATCGATGAGGCTCAAATCGCTGCCGAGCTCCTTCCTTCTGCGTTTCTATCTTTATCTTCCACCACTACCGTTCATAGGCCGCTCCTTCGACAGATTGTCGAATGTTGGTGCCGTGCTCTGGGCAACTTATGTCCCGGCCTTTCCTACAATTTCATTATTACTGGCTCAGCCTTATCATCGAAGGAGATTCAGGCCGCCGTGGCATCGAGTCTACGAAAGGGCATTTCATTCTTAGAACAGTGGGATACCGGCTGCTTTAATGATCGGAGTTGTCAGCGGGACTATGTTCTCTAGTTCATTCCCGACCATCTCAGGGATGACATGTCCATTGCGGTGTTACTGGAGAGAATCTGGATGTGGCCACGTGGTCGGTATGGGGTGTTTCCTAAACTCCGACTGGACATTGTAACTTAGCTTGCACCAGGCATCGGTTTACTTCGAGCCTCCTGTCCGTCCTTCTCCGCCAAGGCTTTCAGAATCCCTTGGTTGTCTTCAACGCATTTGTTGAGCACGTCGCAGGATTCACGCCGACCAATTTCGCCCTCCATCCCAAACAACAAGTATTGACTGCATCCATTCTCATGTTTACCGAGCCGTTACAGCGATAGTTTGATCAGCTCGGTAAGTGGACTTTCCCTAGACTACTGGCATATTCTCATTGTGACTGTTCTGTAGAAGAAGAAATGAAAACAGAACTTCGAGATGTTGCGTACAAGTACTTTGTGGGTGGGACTCTAATACCTTTCCTCAAGGAGAGCACTGCGAGATTTCTTGAACTCGGCATTGCGCACTTGCTTCCGAGCTCGCGGTACCTCAGAAGCTCGGAGACCTGTTCACTTTCTCTGGTGGCGAACATGGGCTGGGGTCTAGACATGCTCATCTCGTGGCACTGCGTGACTTTCCCGGAACTCCTCTCGAAGAGCGACGATATCCAATAAAGGGTACTTGGAATGTATCTGGGCTGAACCATCGTTATTTGCCGGAATGTAGGGGGGGGGGGGGGGGGGGGGGGTCTTCTGACGTCTCAGGCAGCTAATAGCAAAATACGGGAACTGACCAATAACTATTTTGGTTTTGTAATTCATAACAGACCAGACGACCATATTGGAATATTCTACCCAGAGACGGCGATGGGACCTAGCATGCTCTTTCTGGTGGAACTCGACGATGATTTGCCCGACACCTGGATAACCGTTGAAGTCATGATCGGCCAAGCGAGCAGGCTCAATCGTTTCCAGATAAAACAGTGTGTGGACGCCGTTACTCCCAAACACCTCTTTAAGAAGTACTCTGTAAGTTCTGTTTGTTATATCAGTAGATGTTTCAGCTCAAATTTTCGGTTAGGATTGTTATGGACACGGACACCGATCAGTTCTATTGAGGGGAATGATTGAAGGAATTCCAGAGCCTAACATGTGGACGGAATATTCTTCGTGTGCTTGCAGGATTTCCGGAACCGTTTGAAGACGCGCACAGGAGCGATGATGAAGAAGGACATCCTCTGGCCATTTTGAGGATGGGCCGGCTTAGGCGTCCGTCACAATCGACGAACCCCGGGCAGTTCATCGAGATGATGGAGGAATAGTTGAAGGAAGACAATTGGTCTCCGCCTACCATCTAATAGAATACTTAATCACGTTAACCCAAACGACCAGCTGAGATTGCCGGGATTTTCATCCCAAATATTAGGATATTTTCAATGTCTCACAAGCCAGCAAATTGTTATTTAAATACCCTATGTATGTAGTTACAGAAGTCCATTTGGAAATAAATGACGCCTTGGCGTGCCTCTCAATGCGGTCAAGTAAGTCAGTCCCACCTTGCGAAATAATGTGGAAGCGTGGATGTGCCGAAAATAATGGAAAACCACATCGGGCATCGGGCATCTGTTATAGCGACAAAAGAATTTCACTGATAAAGTAAAAGTTTCTGCAATGACAAAGCGATATACACGAGTCTTTGTTATGAAGGACTCTTTAATCTATGATAATAAAGTAAACGTGATCATGATAAAAATTTCTTATGCTTCGTCCTGAGCAAGCCGAGGACTGCACAGCTTTCAACCCACAAACATCCCAGGTTCCTGATCCCGAGTCTGCCTTACGACAAGAGACCACAGCTCCACATCCCGATGCGTCAAACCAAGCCGTCGTCGCACATCCTCAATCTCCCCACAACCGCTCAGCCCACTGCAATGATGCTTCTTAGTGCCCACTAGATCGATAATCACCGGGTCCTCATCTACAGTCCAGATGATGTTATCGTCGAATAGTTCACCATGTTTGTACCCCAATTGGTGAAGCAGCCTGACAGCGTGGACGACTTTACCTCTGTAGACAGCCTCGGGGTCAATGTTGGAGCAATTCCGGCGACGACAAAGTACCTTACCGATGGGGCAGGCTGATCTGCCTGAGATCAGAGAACGATATGTAAGGTGGAGGAGGTTGGATATACTCCAGCAGGATCCAAGGCAGGTCCCCTACATACCCGAACCCATAACACGCCGGAACAATACTGCCCTGCAACTTCTTCAGAGCTATATACGCACCAATCTCCGCCCAGCCAAAAGCATCAAACCTGTAGACTTTCAAAACGAACCTTCTCTGAAGCCCACGGACGTTCGCCAGATATGTATAACCGTGAACGCTGCTTTGTATCCTGGACCGAAGGACGATATCGCATTCAATCAGAGAAGGGATAAAACAAACAAAATTGCAGTGCCAGTAACCCGGATCTGTCCAGAACAGATTTGCCCTGGTCGCACCACAGGCTTTATCAAAGGTCCGAAACGCACGAGGCACGACAGGATTCCAGATTGAAGCGGGTGTATAGGCTGAATTTTCATCGATAGACGTATCATCGTCAAGGTCTCGCCCATGGATATCATAAACATTCGATAGCACCACAGGCGGCGGCACTCGACGCCTCGATCGAAAGGCCTCCAGCGACGGGAAATGAACGGCATGCAAAGGGTTCGCAGCCAGAGCAGCGACAAAAACTATCGCCAAGTAGACATCGTGGATGTGGGGATACGACTGGTATCCGCCCTCGGGCTCTGAAAATATCGTGCGAGCTTTAGCATCACTGATCGTGCCAGAGCGAAACTGCTGCTCAAGAGAGTTTCCACGAAAGTTTCCCTTCACGTCGCTGATGAAGATATGGTCCGGGAATGAATCATTACGCTGTCGCCACATGATGAGAAAGGCGTTGCAAGAGTAGTACATCACAATATCAGCTCCAGCGGGGTCCACATCTGTGAAGTACAATGCGCTCTGTATGAACCGGAAATTGTTTTTAAAAAAATCAACTGAGTTGAACTGGGAGGAACGGACCTTATTGAGGAGTAGCCACCAGTTATCCTGATTGTTAACGATGGTATGAGGATAGTCCAACCGCGCTAAGCCGACACTCTTGAGCCGCTTGATCAACTCATTTCCCGCTAGGTAAAGGAAAAACTGGTTTTCGCCTTTGTTGATCACGATATTAAACTCAGGAAGTGTCGGAGAGCAATTCGGGTAAGAGAGCATAGCATCGGGAACAATCCAGAGTCCAGGAATGCTTTCATGAGACACACTGTTTCTGTACTGAGACCAACATCTGGGGATAAAGTGCAGGACGGTTCTCTCAGCATGTTTCAATATCATTTTTGATAATTTACTATCCACCGTCGATTCTGAAACTTGCGGTATAAGAGAAGGTAGGAGTTCGTTGTGGGAATCGTCCAGCGCCGAGAGCAGATCCTCATAATTGTCTTTAACGGCATCGCGATATTTGGCATACTGGTCTGAGAAAGCGGTTGAGCGGGAAAGGTCTTCGTCTAGCGCCAACAAAAGATCAGAGAGTAAAGTTGGCTCAACAGAAGCAGTGAATGTCCGTTCGTCTTTTTGGCTAGCAGAAAGATGTTCGAGGGTCATCCTTTGTCTTGCGGATATGGGTGTCATGCCGCGGGAGATATGAGAAGTGTCCAATTTAAGGTATGGCGGAGGGAGGAGATCCAACTCCTGCAGGGTCCGGTAGAAAGCCATTAGATGAGAGTGCAAGAGAGAAAAGAAAGAGGTCCTAGTCGACGTCATAACTGTTTATATAATCCGACAAAAGAATCACAGGCCAGATATAGGTACCCACCCGGCGTATCCGGCCCGATCCTTCCTCGATATTCCTTCCCTCACTCACTTACAAATGGAACCCGCCGCGTCCGTCTGGCTCTCAGCGGGACTCCCAGAAGCGAGTCTGCACCACCTCCACCTCGATGAACCTGCAAATCCGACATGGTCTTCATTCAAACTCGGAGACGCTGCACAGGTAACCCGTCTTTTCATCTACAGCCTGAGACCTTTTTTAACGCATTCTCGCAGACAGCTATAGGTCTATCCGCCCTATCCGCTGCTTATTTCCACCAACTGCAGAGTGGAGTCGAGCAGGACGTGTGGGTGGATTCGGCCCATGCGGCATTGGAGTTTCGTGAGTAGTACGAAGCTCAATAAAAGATTCGTAGTGCGTGTGATAATAAATGATAATTCCTGGCAGACAGTGAAGCACACTATACACTCGACGGCGTCAAACCTGGGTCAATCTGGGATACCATCGCCGGGCTGTACAAGACTAGAAGCGGCGGACACGCTCGGATACACACAAACTTTCCTCAGTGAGTGATCATACGAATCAACCTAAACGCTCCACAGTCATCGCAGAGGCATCCTCGACATCCTTGATATCCCTGACACGCCATCAGTAACACGCGCCCAAGTCCAAGAGGCACTCATCCAGTGGGACTCGGTCGACTTTGAAACAGAAGCAGCACGGTGGGGGATGTGCGCCACTGCTTACCGGACGTTCGACGAATGGAATGTCCACCCACAGGCGGAGGCTCTTCGTGGCGTCCCGCCGGTTATGCTGACGAGGATCGGGGATGCTCCCAAGCGCCATACAGTTCCAGGGACCCGACCACTGGAAGGCATCCGTGTCCTCGATCTGAGCCGCGTATTAGCAGGACCCGTAGCAGGGCGCACACTAGCAGCACACGGCGCAGACGTCCTCCTCGTAACCTCTCCGAACCTGCCCGCCCTACCCGCCCTCGACGCAGACACTTGCCGGGGCAAGCGCACCACCCAGCTCGATCTGAATACCCAGCAAGGAAGGGACAAGCTATCCTCGCTGTCTCGCCACGCGGACGTGTTCCTCCAAGCGTACCGCCCAGGAGGGTTGGAGGCAAAAGGGTTTGGTCCCCGTCCCGGTTCCGGGATGGTGTATGCGAGTCTGAATGCCTGGGGATGGGACGGTCCGTGGAAAGACCGACGCGGGGTGAGTGACTGAATAAACTTTGAACGTGCTCTGATGATTCTCCCAGTTTGATTCTCTTGTTCAGACTGCGACGGGCTTCAACGCAGACGAGGGAGCTGCATTTGGAGAGTCCGGACCGCGTCCATTGCCGATGCAAGCGCTCGACCATGCGGCGGGGTACCTATTGGCTTTTGGTATCAATGCTGCGTTGTGCAAGACCGTGACGGAGGGTGGGACGTGGGACGTACGCGTCTCTCTAGCAGCCGTGGGACAGTGGATCCGGTCTCTGGGAAGGGCGGTGCCGGTAGCAGGAAACGAGCTTGACGTCTCCGAGCTGTTGGTTGATTGGGAGGGAGAGAGAAAGATGAGAGCACTGAGACATGCAGCGAACATGTCAGAGACGCCTGTAAAGGTAGGCAATGCACCTGTCCGCCTGGATATGCATGAGCCAGAGTGGTATTAGTTATTTGCGGGTCACACATTGTCACATATAACCGACGCGCAGTCCATCCGACTTTCCTCTCTCCGCCTTTCTTCCAGTCGGTACGCAAAATGAACTCCGGGATACCCACACTAGAAGCGATTTTGATTATCGACGGACACTCGAGGCACATGCACACGGATGTATAGAACCCCTCGTCCTTGATGAATGATGAAGGATATTGAATACAAGAACATCAAGCACGAGAACGGGGGTGAGTTCTATCCAGCGCGGTGAGAACAGGCCTAAACATAGGCATCCAGGTCCTGCATAAAACTAAGCCCCATCTTTCGCGATCGGACCTCATCCGCCGTCTCGCTTTATTATAAAATTGTTCCCATTCGCGAGGGCGCCTAAAAACCAGTCGTCCTTTTCTTTTTTTTTTTCCTCTCTCATGCTCTTCCGACGGTTTGTGCGTAAGGATGCGCTGCTGCTGCTCGCGGGAGCGTCGATGATGCATCTCTTTAGCTTGCTCTCGACGCCTTCGATGACGCCTAGCAGCACCTGGTTCTACGAGGCTCCGGTAGACTTGGAGCCGTTGCCTCCTCCGCCTGAGCCAGCGGCGGTCCGACGAAACGTGGAGACGGAGACCGTGACCGTAACGATACCCGCGCCATCCGACCCGACTCGGATCCTTCCTCGCTCGAATACCCTCCCCCATACGTCTATCGTGCACCACGCCCCAGGATGGACGCTGTTTAGGAACCTGTATATGTCGGACGGGACGCTGTTCATTCTTTCGAGTAATAGGTCCTTTCCGGAGATCCGGATGATGACGAGCACGGGGTTGCCAGCAGAGAATACACGGGAAAATATCGCGTTGAGGGAACCGACAAGGCATCATATGGATATCATCACTCCAGAGTCGGCGAAGCGAAGATGGGGAGAGCGGGTCCTGACCGTTAAAGGAAACACGGTGTGTTGTCTGTTTTTGTTTCTGGGAGATGCTCATCTCCTGTTACAGCTCTTAGTAAATGAACCCAGCCAGTTCCTCCGGCACTACTACCACCTCTGCGCAGAGCTCTTCTTCGGCGTCCAAGCCTTCTGGCACGGGGCCCACTCGGACCCATCATCGACATCCCCCGACCGAGAATCCCAAGTCCTCACCCACCCCACCCCGCCCCCCCTCGACCGCGTCGTATTCGCCCACGCTACCGTCGACGGATGGCGCGACGACCCAGGCTTCAACGCGTTCTTCCTCCGCGCAGCCTATCCCTCGCTGACCGTCGAGACATGGGACGACTGGGAAGACCGGATAGCAGCGAGCGCGGGCGGTGACCGTGCGTGGCACTTTCCCTTGCTCCTCCTCACAGACCGGAGCGCCGCGCACCGTGGGGAGATTTGCGGGAGCCAGACGCAGCGCATCGCTGCCGAGGCGTGGGACTATATGCGCCGGCAGCGTCTGTTGATGGGTATGCGCGTCGGAGGGTGGTGGGAACCTGTACGCGCTGCTGTGCTCAAGTTTGCTGGGGCACCCGTCAGTCGGAAGGGGATACGCGAGCTACCGATGCCGGATAAGATCGTCATCACGTATATCAGTCGCCAGGGTGGGCATCGGCGGAAGCTGGTGGAAGGAGACCATGAGGTCATGGTCGAGGCTCTCGAGGAGCTCATGCAGCGGAAGAAGGGCGACTTGGTAGAGTGGGAGCTGAATGTGCTGCAGGCGGAAAAGATGACCAAGGACGAGCAGCTGGCTATCATCGCCAGGACGACGTTTTTGGTCGGCGTGCATGGGAATGGGCTCACACATTTGTTGTTCATGCCCCCGACGAAGCTGTCGGCTGTTGTTGAGATTTTTTATCCCGGGGGATTTGCACATGACTATCATTGGACCACGAGGGCTTTGGGTATGACCCATTTTGCGGTCTGGAATGATACGTACGTGGATTGTTCTCGTTATATAGGGAGGTTGGCTGATCTGTCGTAGATTCTACACATACCCTGAAGAGCCAAAAGTAGATTACCCGGAAGGATTCCAGGGAAACGAGGTACCCGTATATGGGCCCACTGTCGCTCAGATTATCGAGGATAGGGTGGATGGCAAGTTGTAAAACTATTTATTTAATATCCTGTATTATTATACCAGCCAACAATCTACGCATTTTGCTTTGGGGACAAATATATAGGCTTCAATTTTCTTGGACCTTGTTGTTCAGGCATTCAAAGCTTAGCAAATTGGAAAGAAGAACACGACACGGGGCACCCAACTACCAGTCCAATCGAGCTTTTTTTTACTCCAAGTCTGGTCGATGGTTCACGTTGATATACTAGATGCCTAAAATAAAAATATATAAAGTCCATGGTATACACTCCAGGTGTAAAAAGGAAACCGATATATCATCACAGCACCAACAGCGCACCCACCAATACGCCCACCACCACCGCCACACCACCACACACCTGTGCCCTCGCCACCGCCCACACCACCGAACTAGCCCTACTCGCAAACGTCGTCACAAATCCCTTCGTCGGGTCCGGCGAGCCGCTCACGGTCACCGTCGGTATCGACGTATCCGTCGAACTAGCAGACACTGACGAAGACGACGTCACATCCGTAGAAGCATTCACGATAGAGAACATTGCCGACAAGCAATGCCTAACCCCATGCGTCGAGTTCATGAGCACGATATAATAGTCGTCCCCCGTCGGCACGTCCTGTAGGTAGATATTCAGGGACGAAGCAGATGAGGGATAGGCTTGGACTAGACATCCCATCCATGAGCGCGAGCCCTCACAACTTTGCGCAGGAACATACACACACCGTTATACGCGATATACGTTACCCCATCCTCGCTCAGCCTCGTCATCTCGATATCAAACTCTGTGATCCCATCCCAGACCCCCTTCTCCCACGTAAGGATATTCACAGCATCGTTATACCACTGCCCGTTCCCCTGGGGTTCCTTGACCACGAAATACGCTGGGCCCACGGGGAGAGGTAAGCCACGTACACCTAATAAAAGCACGCCAAGGGGACGTACAATGGGAGACGCACGAGGCGAGCGTAAAGAGAGATAGAAAGAGGGGGAGAGGGACACGTAGGGGGAACATTATTAGCCACTTGGAGGTCGTCGTGAGGTTCAAATTTGAAGAGAGCTGCTGCGGAAACGAAGCTGCACGGCGCCCTTCATCGCTGCGGCTCGGTCGAGCAACGTAATTTAGACGAGGCGTCGCAAATATGAACTGTGCTGGATGAACTTTAGTGAAATGACGAGGACCCGTCCTTGGCGTTTACTTACTCACTCAGTGCCTCCACCATCCAAAGCTTGGACCTGCCTGTCCCAGCCATTTCTTTGCACCACAAACGTCGAGTGAATGCATGCACATCAAAGTGGACGTCCTGAATTTAACTGGCGTAATAATTGAGGATCGTGGTGGTGGTGGTGGTGATGTTGACCATTCGTGGGAAAGCCATGCAGCCCTCGATCAGACTCCGCTGCCCGCGCACCACCGCCGCAGTCTGTCTTTCGAAATCCCTTGCTTGGCTAGTCATCCTTGTTCATAACAGGCGTAACTCAAATTCTCCGGCCTCGACGTCTATTGCGAACCCGAGCACGCCGAAATACTCGTCGGTTCACCAAAAAGACTGAAGGGTGTACGGTATATGTCAGCCACTCTGGTCTCCTAAAGTTCGGTTACCCAGCTACTCAACGTACAACATCCGGAGGTCCTCGCCTTCCTGGATGACCTTACCACTGCCAATACCCCCCCGCAGTCGAAGATCCCAGCAATCCTACGACCACCCATTCTCCCCAAGACGCCATACCTTTCTCCAGTGGCACTAAATACGACGTCTCAAATCTAACTTCGGAGGCTATAACATCTCGTCTCTGTCCACTCGCCAAACAAGAGGTTCCGTGCAGGTTCATATAGAGACGCTGCGCTTACATCCATGGAGCGATATCGCCAACGTCCGAGGAAGACCTATCTCAAAGACACCGGTTATCTGGGGTTTACTTGTTTCGGGCGCGGCAAACATAAGCTTCTCTTCGTTTTTCTTACACGAGTCCAATTTTCTCTTCGTGCGCGAGGACCCTGATGAAAGACTACTACTACATGCTGGCTTGAGTCCGGGAACTAGCTGTATGGGGGGGGAATGGGAAAAATTCACGACGCCTCCAAGTAAGATGCAGATGCCTTTGCCCATATCTTGTCGGGTCGTTTTAAACCATTATTCGGTTCGGCAACGACACGCTGTACTACTTGTTCGACTTCTGATACGGACAAGCTTTTCAAGTTTGCGGAGAGGTATCCGACGCTTCATGTGTTTATGGAACGGGCGGTGCTTTGGGTTGCGAGGGGGACCAGCAGATTCTTTCGGTGAACCCGTTTGCGGAGGCATAGAGATAATGGCAGTGCCAGTTCCAGTCAGCAGGTTGGAACTTGACTGGGGTGAAGAAGCGTTGACTTAGGAGATATGTTTGCGAGTTTTATTTCTGCAGCCTTCTGTGTGCATGTAATTCTGGACTCTCAGTGTGTCAATCTCTACTTCTCCCAAGCCCACCTTGTTTTCTTAGTTGAACTAACTGTCTTCCTTCTGTTCAAACTCAGCTCCCATTTGTCTCACGAACCATATGAAGGGCTCTTCTATCAAGAGGAAACCAGTGACCTGGATAAAGTATAATACCCCCCCATATCTATACCTACCCTAGGTCATTCCTCCTCTCAACAGTACCGTACCGTCAATGTCGGGTCAATCAAAAACCGATAAAAATGGGTGGATAACAGGTAACATTTTGTCCAAGCATCCTGAGCGCAGCGAAATCCGTCGGCTTTACCATTAAAGGTAATCCCGAATCATCCCTTGCAGTCGGCTGTCAAGAGTGATACTGTACCGTCGAGGACGTTTTCGCATACAGTTCATCGTGATACGGTGCCAGTACCAGTGGGTATCATAATCCCTAACATTGGTATTGTCAGACCCCGCTCGACCGGCCTATGCTGAACGGCTTACCCATGTTTCCATTTTCAACTATCCGTTTCATTACGTCGAGGGAAAGATATGTCGCAATCTAGTTATAGATTACAACCCTGAGTATCCCGGATCACACCGTGGTCCTCCCTGTGGATCGAATCTGACGAGGAGATCACGCGTCATCATCCTGTCCTTTCGTGTAACACGTCGAAACTCGTTTTATAGCGGCGAGTTAACTCAGTCAAACTCTGGGTCTCGCCCTTCCGTAGCATGCTATAAGCAGACGGACTCGGAATCGGAAACATTGCAAAAGCGGATCAATATCTTTTTCAACTCCCACTGTTTATCTTCGCCACAAACGCGTCAACAAGTCGTCTTTGCATGTGATACATGGGTATCAATCCAATAGATAGCGAAGAGCAGAGATGACCATTAGTGTAAACTATAAACTTCCGAGAATAAGTCCCAGGATTATGCCTGAATATATATGTGAAGTAATGATATGCGACAGATTCCATGAGTGTGTGAGTGCATGCGAATAAAATAGCGTGAGTGAGATATGGGAGAAGCGCAAAAACTGCCTGCAGGTTCCTTTATGACTTTTTTTGTTTTTTTTTTTTAGAAACAAGCCGCATTGCCGCCCCGGTAAGCATTCGCACGGCCCCCATCTGCCAGGAACACACTTCCGTTCATATAGGCGCCCGCACGACTACCCAGGAATAATATAGCACCAGCCATATCCTAGAGAAGGAGGCAAACATGTTATTAACCCGCCCCTAGTAATTCGGACCGGCCCGACTCACCTCTTCTGATCCAGCACGTTTTAGTGGCACATCATTGCACAGCACACTAGGATCCAGTCTGTAGCCCATATCCGTAACAGGTGACGTTGTCATTTCTATATTACAAGCAGTTAGCCCAACTCCGGGACTGACGAAAAAAAAAAGGACACTAACCACTAGGGAAAACACCAGGAGCTAGAACATTGCTACGAATTCCCCAGGGGGCCAATAGATTTGCCATCACTTTTCCAAGGTGTGTGCACGCCGATTTTGACAGCGTGTACGACATTGAGAGGATTTTTGGGTCTATCCGGAAGGAGCCAGACGACGATATTGAGATTACTTGGGAGGAGTGGTACGGAGGCTGACAATGACTGAACGGGTCAAAGCTCGCCGCTTGCTGACGGAGGTTGCCTTGATGGAGAAGGTCAAGAAACGCGACGGTTGTGTAATACACCGCTGTCGTGTTGGTCGCAAAGACAGATGCAAAATCTTCAGGCGAGCCCGTATTCCACAGAGCAGACTGGAAAGACTTGATAGAGGGAGGGCTCGGAGGTGAAACGGGAGAGCCGGGAGGTGAAAGCGGGCTCTGGGTCGGAGATCCAGATGGTGAGGGGAGAGGATGGGAGTACAGGTTCTTGGCGATTCCTGCATTGTTAACGAGCAGATCGATGTAGCCGTGTCGTGCCTTCACGACTTCAACCATCGCGAGGAGACTCTCGCGGTCAGTCACATCTCCGGGAAGGGGAATCAAATTGCCGAATCGCTAAGAGAAAGATTAGTGAGATGTCGGGAGATAAGCACACCGACATACGTTGTGTTCTTTTGCGGCTTCTTCGAGGACATCTTTTCTCCGTCCGGTAATGTAAACGATGGCTCCGTTGTTTTCGAGGGTAGCTGCCATCATTAGTCCGATGCCTGAAAGAAAATGTTAGGACGTGTCGAATGAAACTTTGAGAGAGACGTACCAGTACCAGCACCGGTAATGACGACGACCATGCCATCGACTTGGAATAGGTTGCAAGGCATGTACCTGTTATATCTCGAGGACGCGTTGCGAGACTCGGAGCAGCAATGAGGGATAGAGGCGTGCATCATATCTAGAAATCAAGGGGTAGAAACGCAGATATAATTCGGATCGAAGGGCGTGTATATATGTCGTCGGTGTTAGTGGCAAGACCGGGTAAGTCACCAACGAGGTTGCAGGGACGACTTATTCGAATGGGGTGATGATCACTCCAAGCCAAAGGAAGAGGGCCTTTATAGGAAGAATTGCCAGCCGTCCTTTCAGGACGATGTCGTGAGCTTTCAGTCCTGCTTACTGCATCGTACCTTTCTGCGTGCGAATAGAATTACGTCCGCGCATGTCCGTGTCTTCCTCTTGATCCTCCATGGATGTACGACGTTATGAAATAGTAAAAGAAGCCGTAAGGAAGCTCAAACTCGCAAGAAGGCTGCTCGTGATGACGTGCTCTGGGGAACAATTTTTGAAAATCATCCTTGGTCTTATGAATTTCCCAATCAGGAAGTTAGAGTGGTTAGATTGAAGAACCGTGAAGCTTGTGGAAGACTCAGCTATATCTTACAGATTCTGCCCCCCTTCTGAGCAGTGTCGATAAATTCTATAACTTTAGCATTCATGACTCTTCGGATACCATCATGCTTTCTTACTGCACCATGAGGCTGAACGTGGGGTTGCTGGTAAGTAACAAGAACCTCGGAGTTTCGAACGCCAACGAGTATTCCCGCTATATCCGACGTTGTGATGAAATGCACTACTCTGCAGCGAGGCGTGTTTCCAGTGTCCTTCCGTGGTTTCTGTACACCGCGCGCGGATCGCACATCACTCCAGTCCACGTCCGACGATGCTGATACTTCGCAAACAATGTGAATTCCGCGGGCAGCGTCCACCGCCATCCATAGTGCGATTATGTTCGTAAAGAGTCCTTCACCTTTCTCTGGCCGTTGCTCAAGGTTGCTCCGTGGCGTCGAACACTGACACGCCGACGCTCGTCTCACTTTCATCCGGTTCATCGGTAGGCCAAATGTGAAGGGTCGCCCACGAGGAATTTTTATAGAGTCACATTGATGACGGGATCCCGCTTGGAATCGGGCGATGGCGTCACGCTCGCTGTTCGATAATCATATTTAATTACGGTTCGAGTCGACTCCAGATGTATCGTCGATTGTCATAGCCTTGGCTAGTCCTATTTTGTACTGCAGGCAGCGGATTCGAGATTTCTAGATCCATATGGCCGTGGCTGTGTCGAGGCAGACACATGTCGTCAAACCCCAAGGTGGACCTACATCATCTTCACCGCCGAATGAGCATATGTAGCGTCTAACCGAGATTTCACATATTCCCCCGCGGTGACAACCTCGTACTTGGACGGATGTTCCGGAGACACACAGCTGGGAATAGGCTACGCCACCAGTTTAATGTCTTCAAATCCTAAACAGAATGGGCCGCACCTCGAGTAGTACATCATAATCGGTACCAAAAAATAGTGGCATAGAATATCGTTCTTGTCCAGATCTGTTGATTGCACGATGAAGAGTGGATTTGAATACATCGTCTGGACACATGGCCAACACGATCAGATCGATTAGAAGGGTCGCAGCGTGAGTACGTACTCGTCCAACGCGCAAACTGGTCCCCTAGATTTAACACCAATGTTCCGGGGATAGGAACTGCGTCTATCCATTTACCAGTCGCATTCTTCACTTGCAGTGCGGGAACCTTGTCTTGCCAGAGAATCGTGAAGCACTGAGAATGTCATTTTTTTTTGTTTAATTTTTGGGCGGACAATGGCAGATTGCATACTAACTTCATAACTATAAAATTAAGCCGTTAACTTCCAAGGAAAATTTAAACGGTAGGAAACCGTACTCAGTGTGTGCTCCTATGCCAAGCACTTCCTCCTGTTCATCTATCCTTGATGGATTTTGAGAAGGGTAGTGCAACAGTCGCATTATCGCAGCTGGTTTCATCGTCTGCCAGGGCATATGCAGCTTGATCAAAGCGACTTCGAATATAAAATAAACTACCTTATCATCGAAAAAGTTCTCTGGTAGGTCCAATGCTAGCGCAAAAAGAGGAAACAGATTCTGACCTAATCGAACGGCTTCGTGGCTAGGATGCATCAGTAAACCACAACCAGATAAAACCGATTATCGAGGATTTACTAGTAATTCAGTATGGGTTCCTTGAAACCTGGAACCGCTTCGGGCCAAACGTTGCCACCTGACATGGCGCTCTCATTCTTCATCTCCTCTAAGTCCTGTTCTTCCCATCCCAAGTCAAACCCTACCGATGAAGATCAACTTGAGAATTTTTTCTACGTAAGAAGATAGTACTTCCGTCTACCTTCATGCAGATCACCATGTCCTTTGGGATCGGTATTTTCTCCCAAGAGAGCGGTGTAACCTTTATAGTTAGATGATCGATGAATATCGAGCTTGGAAAAAGGATGAGCGCTGAGAGCTGCGCCAGGTCTCGGCATCACACACATCCATCTTGGAAGACGTTGGCAACGCAAAAAACTTCTTTCCTGCATCTATGGCAGCTGTAATGGTATCCTCAGCAATTCCATGATTTTTTACTGAGGCCATTAGCTCATAACGTCGTTATATAGGCATAGAAATAGTCACTAACTGTAGAAAAAGCCGACTAGCATTATATCAATAAAAGATTCAAAATCAGAAGCTCGCATCGTCTTACCATTGATACATGCATCCCTAATCTCATTAGCCAAAACGCGTCGTGCCACCGGATCGGTACTGCTCGCAGCAGTGATATCACTACATTTCGTCAGTCGTCGAACAGGTGGAAATCGCGAAAACTCTGACATGATAGGTATCTTTTCGAATGAACTTTCGGTGCACTGACTGGACAGAAGGAAGCCCGGGACGGATTCGAAGTGCTCGTGGTTGTCCATGGCTGAGTTTCACGGACCGGTCTGCGACGGATGTGTATCAATCATCACGTGGAAGTAATTCCCACTTCGGCACCGCTAATTTTTTGAACTTGAATATGCGCTACTTGGGTAACAGTTGAAACACGCCAGACTAGTATGTATTAATATCTCTTGACCAGACGAATTTTAGGCTACTCAAGGAGGAACTCCGCATGTTATAGATCGCCTATCCGGTGGAACGGCATTCGAAGGACAGACGGCGCAAATCGCGTAGCGGTACATTGCGCTATACGGCATCCCATCCTTGTAACATCCAGTAAGTCACCGGATGACGAGAAAGTCTAGAATCAGGTGAAGTCATGATAGGCACACACAAGTTGACATTAGAAGGCGGACAACTTGAAAAAAAAGGAGGGATGTTCGGGACTCAGGCTAATCTCATCCAATCGCTTTTGTCGCGTAAGCTTGCCTGAAAGATAGCGCCATGTTTCCTCTGCTTGTATTTCATTGTCAACATCATTGGCATGCTCAGGTTGGGTATAGTATAGCTCACTTAACTTCGAACTTTCCTAATTCCGTGATGAATACAGTTGCATTCTCGACGGTATCATGAACAGGCCGGCACTAGGCAGCTTCGACAGTCTTGTTATTAATCATGGCGGGATGCCGTTGATGGTCCGATGAACAAAAGAAATATCTGAATTCGACATACACTTCCTCATGTGGTTGCGTAGATCGGTGACTATAAGGACAAGCAGAAACACTAAGAACCCCGTTCGAGGACAGACGAACCTACGTACCCTGATGAATACGCGTTTATGTGCCCGGGAAAGCTGCCAGGAAGATCGCTTCGGTTCAGGATCCACTAGAAAGCTGAAATGAGTAACGGAGATAACGAACACTAGCAAGCAGAAGGAAACTCCTCCAGTGTAAGAGATCGTTCGCAGTTTCGCCGTAGGTTGGATAGAGGGACAAGTCCACTCGTTGTCTCATCATCAGTGTTCCACGAGCGTCAGCCAATTGAGCAAGAGATCAACAGAAACGAATAGTCGTAAACATGGGTTATATTCAAAGGGACTTTGCCATCAATGTCTGATGCTTAGTGGAATACAAAGCATTGGCTGCAATGTCGCGAACCCAGAAAATGAGAAACGGGAAAGCCCGACGAATCTGTATTACATCTTTCTTCTTGTACACGAAAGTCTCTAGCAAAAGTAACCATTCAAAGTAATAGCAAATCAAGGACTTGCCAAGTCCCGAGCAAAGTGGAAGAAGTCTACACTTGATCCATTCACGCCATACTTGTAAATCTGCGTGGCGGGGATTCAGCCCATAGAAATAGGCTGTCATCAACAAACTCACGAAATGCGACGCGACCCAACTTGAAAAGAGGGCACGCTGGTAGGGTTCAGGTAGTCTGTTCAACAACGTGTCCAACCCGACCTTGTCTACGAGTGTCTTGGGAATCGCTCGTCGCATTACTCCTCTACGGCTCGGCAAGTCATCGTACAGATCTGAACTCTCTAACTCTGCTTGAAGGTTGTTGAGAGTGGAAGATAGCTCGTCAGAGATAATGGTGCGAGGTTTAGCACCCTGGAGCCGAGAATGTTCCCGCCAGATACATTGGAACTCAGAGGCGGCATTCTCGGTAATCTTTTGCTGGATATCTCGAACGTAGCTCTGATAGAATTCCGAGGGTTTCCCGTTGCTGAATATCATGAGGTCCAAGTATTCCTGCGTCGAAAGGGCTAGACCCGCCAGGACCTCCAGGGATGAACTGGTGACACCACCTACAAGGAATGTCACTAAACTTGCATCGAAAAAGATGGGATGGATGAGCGCACCCTTGTTCGTGCTTGAGTCCTTGAACAACAAAACCTTTCGCTTCTCAAGATGGAGGCGCGCTTGCTGTGACAAAAACAAATTGGCACCCTCAACAATATACTTGAAGTGTGCTTTTCCCTCGCAGTCGACGAGGGCCGCGACATTTGAAATGTTGACAGCTTCCGGACTGTTAGGAAGTAACATCAGCAGCATATACATAGGTCAACGAAATCCCATACGCACCGACCGCCACAGGGAACAAATAAATCTGCCTTGTATCGCAAATGGGCCCCATTACGGAAGTCAGTGCCATCCAGCACTACCTCTCCAGCTACGACCATTGATCATGGCGTTAGACTGAAGGGAAATATGGCACGAACATAGTCTTACATGGTAGTTTGATATCATTTTCCTCGACCTTGACCAGATAGCCGTCCTTGCTCAGCTTGGACTTGTCAAAGTTGGTGACAGGTACGCGAAGTTTCGCAAGACGGATCAGCTCTTCACGGTTAAGGCCAGCCGGATCGGCAAGTACACCGCTACCATCAATAATGGCAACCGTCTTGTCAGAACTGAGTAAAATCTCATCTAACAAATGCAATGAGCAACCGCGTGCATAAAGTGAAACCAGTGGGATTTACTAGATCCGAGATCACCATCTAAAACGGATAAAATGACGAGTGAGCCGGGTACAGCTGTCTGAAAGGAATAACCTACCAGGGCCGCCGGTCTGAACTTTGGTGATGTCCTTCTCTTTAAGGCCGAGCTGTTTGTAGATACCAAGGACATACTGTCTGATTGACAGTGACGTCATTCCATAGGTGTCGTGAGGTACACCGCCGAGAGTCTCCGCGCTCTTACCCGTCGTGAACGACTTCCACCAGGTTTCAGCGCCTCGGGAGCGAGCATGCACTTCATTTTGAAATGATGAGGCAAAAGCATCCATGAAGCAAAGAAATAGGCTCACAAGCTGCCCAGTCCATCATATCCGCGGTACCCTCTACCAAAGAACGGTCGATCAGCAAAACTGAGCAAGACGCCCTGATAACGAGTCGCACCATCAGGACCAAAGAAAAGAAGCTCTGGCTTCCCGTATAAATCAACAAGATGTTCTTTAATTCCAGGAGTCTGCCCAGGAATTAAAAGGTCGATAATAGCCTACACAAGCAGTAATTAGCATCTATCTCACATACATCATCTATACCTTTCCGACGGTACTCACATCAACGTATTTTTCGAAACACAGTCGCGGAGTGGCCCCCAGTCTAGAGGACAGTCCTCGATATTGATGCGTTTCTGTCTGAATCGACTTCACTTACGAAGGTAAGATGGTACCCTTGGCACCTCCTTCCGGGATATCTTTGTTTTTCAATGACTGGGTCGATGCCAATCCATAGTTCTCGTCGAACCTTATGTAGTTGTGAGCTCCTCCCGACACGTGACGCAGGATATGAACATACAACATCCTCTGGTTAATGGAATAATTTTCTTTGTTTCTTGACATGACGATCCGAATACCACCACGAGCGACATCGCGGAAGCGTATATGGAAACCCCGGAATTCGTTTCCTGAAAATAGAAAATGATCAGTCAGAGCACAGTGTCGCGGATATAGCGAGGAACATACCAATCACGATGAACATGCCGAATGGTTTCTTGGGATACTCTATCTCAGGAAGGAAGCCGGGCGCAAGCCGGAAAGACAGAGCTACTTTAGTTGGCTGATAGAAGTTCGTCTTCAAGACGTGTCTACAAGGCGTAGCTCCTTCGGTATGTGCCAACACACAGTCCGATACGACTTACTTATTGAAGATCAAGAAGCTTTCCAAAACTTGCAGTTCATGCTTGTTGGGCACGCCACGACGGAGCTTATCATGCAACTCGGCATCCGTCAATGGTTGGGTAGCCCGGAGTCGCTGATACGACAGAGTCGGCCTACAAAAATATTATCAGCATACTAGACTTTCGTAAATGGTAAGGGGTCATACACCAACTGGGAAGCATCGTCGGCGGTCGGATAGTGCGTCATTGCAAAATTAACATACAGAAGGCGGATCTAAAGGGAAAGTCAACGACTTTATTCACGCGTCAGCCAGATACTTACCAGTTCGGGGTGATTATGAATGGTTTGTGCGATGCTCTCTCTCGTAAAGGTTTCTTCCCTGAATCTCCTCTTGATGTTATTCAATACTTCTGCTTCAACAGGGTCGTTTTCATTTAAAACATTCTTGAGCTGCAAGTATGCTGGTCCCAAACGGTTGCAAAAATGCTGCGCAAATATCCAGCCACAATCTAAAGGACAGCATGAAACTCATTGGCTGGCAACGATGATATGTGATTAAACCTACACGCATAGGTAGCTTCCTGCACCGCATGACTTTCTGACGCATTCGGGAGGAAGAATGGGTTATCAGGCAGACAGAAGAGCAGTGAAGCTTCCTTCATGACTTGGAAGATGGAATTCTCGACGGACGGTGCGTTGCCATTGGGGATAGGGTTGAGGTAGAGCGAAATGATGGTAATGCCGTTAGAGAATTGTTCTGCCGTGCTTCAGCGTCTACTAAAGTAGAAATAGAACAGGAATGATAACGCACCGACATATTTACGCGCAGAATACAGGGAATAGAAGTGGTAGAGGTTCGACAGCGCGCTGAAGAACCGGGAGGTACCACCCATCTTGTAACCGATGACAATTCGTCGTTCCCGCGATCCTTCCACCTCATAAACTTCAATGACGGGCCCATAACGTTCTTCGACGCTAGACATGATCTGAATAAAAACAAGGGTGAGGCCGAGGCGATTGCACACAAAGTGAATGAGCTAACTTTCTGATAGACTTGAATCGTGTTCTCGCTAGCCTTTTCCAAAAATGCCCTGTCAGACACGCTTCTGATTTGGGTCTTGCCGTCGGCATCCTTAACTCCCTGACGGGTCGTTGGGAAATCGCATTTTGTGACGAAATAGCAACGGAGCTGCTGCAAAGCCGTAGCAGAAATAGATCCGGCGGAGCGGAAAGTTTCGAGTCGGTAGGCCTTGTCTGGCGTAGAGTTATCAAGGAAGAGCGAATCGATCCTGAAAGTGAAAACGTCAGCACCAATAATAGTATTAGGCAACAGAATGGACGCATATATGCGTTAAAATTGGCCAATGACACTGACCTTGACTCGCACGTTGCTCCGGGACCTTCCGTCGAGGTCAAACCTGGCTTGCTGGAGTGAATGAACGTCGCCCCGTTTCCGTCAATCTTCTCGAGGTCAATGACGAGCTTGTTAGGGTCGTGCTTCGTGTACGCAAGGATTTTGGCTCCATACAGAGCAATGATATGATCACAAATGACTTGACGAGATTCATTCTGGAAATAGGTATCATCGATGCCGAGGTTAGAGTAAAACCAGTTGACTTCGTTGGCAACCAGCTCTGGCGGAATGAAGCCCTGAACGACGAGATCGAGTGAGATACGACGATGGAAGAAGGGAAGGGCATGGTTACCGTACCTTGGCCGCTACCGAGGCCTGCACCAATGCGCGCTGCTCCTCCTTGCCTTTGAATACTGGGGTGTTGTACCCTGGCACGTTCTTGATACGGTGCACTGAGGTATCACTGCTGATCCTTGAACCCGGAACGGACAAATGAGCGTAGGGACCCTGCCCAAAGCGCGCGGCCGCTGCGTCAGATGTGGTCGATGACATGAAAAGGGATGAAAAAAGACGATGTGGATGATGAGAGTAAGAGGAAGAGAGGAAACAAAACGGAACTGTTTATATAGGAAAAGAACAGGTAAACCGATGTAAATTAACACCGTAAAAAATGCGACGGCAATTTCGCGTTGCGCTCATTATTGGTCCCGTCCAAGATCCGGATCCGGTTCCCCGCCGCAAAAAGGTATAAATGACAATTCTTCGGTGCTAGCTGGTCGTGCATAAGAGGTTGGTGCGTGGTAGGATGGCAAAACAATTTGAGTAACGTTAACCCTGCCATTGATTTGCGCATGGCAGCCAAACGCGGAAAAGCACATGATAAAGCGCGAAATTGTACCAGCAGGAGGTGCTCCTTCTAGGGGGGGACCATCGCAGTAAGAATTAGCTACCCCAGCTGTTTCACATCGTTAACGTGTCGTCACGGATGGCTCTAGAGTTCTCCTCAGATGACTCGGACCGCCTTTTGCCCCACTTTTTTTCCAGGGCCCGTGCATGATTTGGTCTCACCTGACCGGATCTCCGTTTATTACGCTGATCTTGTTCAGCTTTTTCGCTCACAATTACGCCTAAGTCTGTCACGATGGCGTTCGGCGCGTCACTTGACGAGTGGGACGGCTTTTGCCAACGAAAAAGTACGACCGCCGCAACCACGCAAGTCGGGGGAGGGGGGGAATAACTGATAACTGTTATGGCACAAATTAAACAGTGGGTCCTTGCGCAGTTCTTTTTTTATCGCTTAGGCCTACGAACATGGCATACAACATCATGATGGTCTCATATGAATCAACAATTCCCACTCTGCTTCAAGATGTCCAGCTTGAAACTTCTCCGAAAAGTGGCACCCTTCGTTCCCATTGTCAGAAGCCAGGACACGGTTACCACCCAAACATCATTTGATTCGCAGTTCATCATCATATGGCCAGTACCGTGAGCAGCAGTGTCAATATACGGCTGACGTACATCTGAGGTAGAATCGACGTTTGTGCACGCGACTGAAAAATACCAGTCGCTGCTCTTTCTATACGTACGGTCGGTCGGATCATACGCCCCAGATTTCCGACTTGTGCGTATTTTTAATTTGGGCGTCCGTGCACTCCATTAAGCAGATCTGCACCAAGAAGGTGTCGTATCCTTCGCTAGGAAGCAGTGGCCAGTTTCGCTCCTGATACCTGCTCTCCTTTTTTGTCTCAAAACGGCATCGCAACCCTTGATATCTTAACGCAAGGTAAGGCATGAAAGTATATGTACTTGTGTCTTCTTGTACGTTGACGGATTTTCCCGATTTAGGCTCCTTGTCGCAATACTTACTTACTGTCTTGACCGCAAGTCAGCGTTAATATCCAGCCTTTTAACCGTGATGTATGCTAAAGTTGCTTGCGTTCTTAAAACTAGGCCCCGGCCCCGCATTTGGTCCGTCCCTGGTGCAACAAGACTGTGTGATTATTCTATCATGTTCGTCAAAAGCGCATCTGCCTTGTGTCTCCAAGCGCCATTTGTGGTGTCCGAGCCTGAGGCACCCACCTTCTTTGCGCTCAGACCTTTTCTACGACTACGACTAGTAAAAACACATCATTTTTGGGGTCATCTGTTGACACCGATATCTTTTCTTCGCGAGTAGCCGCTGACTGGTGGAGATATCAGAGATCCGAGCGCTCATCGACAGCTCTCAGCTCCAGCGACGTATCGTTCTCTTCTCTACGACGCAATGAAATCTTTACGCACTTTTTGCTTATGCAGATGGCATACGCTGATGGGATAATCAAGATTCTAGCGCCGCATGGTTCAACAACTTCGAGGCGGAGCTTCGTCTTATCAAGGTCGGACTGAGAAGCAATGCATCTGTAGTACGATTTTTTGGTAATCGTATCTTCACTTCAAGAGCCACCGCCATGACTACCGAACTTGCTGTACCTCCTCACCTTGGACCCGCTTGGCTACCACCGTCGCTGGTCCGAAATTGTCCTACGAGATATCTGTTGCCCCAAGCGATATCTTTTTCGCAGCCAACTCGCGTAAGTCATTAAAAACTTTTGCATGCGCGTTTTCTTATCTTTCAGTCTCATCTCGGTTGCGATTCTGTCCTCTTGTCTGCAAATCCTAACCTCGCAACCTTATCTTTACGGTCTGGTCTTTATTCTGTCTCGGTTACATAGGTATTTTCCGAATTATGACGACGGCTTTCTCAGTTTAGTATCATGTCAACCCTGGTAGCAATAAGCAGAGGTAAAGGATTTTTCCGTCCCATTGTGTGCTGCAGTTATCTTAAACTGAAAATAGACGTCTCTCTCCATCGATGGTGACCGTCGTCAACCTGAACTTGATCGTCGATGTCTATCCAATTGATTCGAATAATGAGACAAAAGTCTGCTTCTTCCTGTTCTTGTTAGGTTTCAGTATAGTTGAGGGTTCGGATGTACTCGAACCTGTACGGCCACACGGCATTAATAGCGCGAACTGGTCAGGTTGTGACAGGTGGGGCCGTCAACGAAGGAGGGGCATCAGGGGCGATCTTCGCTAATTCCAGCTTGCTTCATATACAGGATGGTAACGGGACTAGATACTCGTCGCTCCAGACGGCGATCAAAAATATCAAGCTGAACCTGGATGATTTTTTTGGCGACGAGAAAGATTTGGCGGCCCTCAACGAACATTTCATTGAATGACAGACGGTTAATCAGGCTATTGGCGAACTCGCTCCGGAGTATCTCACCCGCAAGTTCCCGACTTGGTCTTCACCTCCTTCATGTCTGGCATTCACCATGCCATCGATTCGTATACACGCTAGAGTAAAATCCTTCCTTCCTTCCTTCCTGCAAAATAGAGACTTTGTTCGACATCATGATGTCGACTGGCACGCAATCGTGAACTTGTTACGACTTGGAGCGCGATGCTCGTAGCTTAGTCTTTACCCCTCCGACTCTCGCTTTTCCAATACTTTACCAAGTTGTGTTAACGTCCGGCGATTTGCTAAGTCCTGATAGAATCCATGACTGCAACTGATACCGCAAGGGTGTCGTACTGGCTCTCCTTCTTTCATGTGCTATAAAACTTTCGCGGGTGGGCCCATGAATAGCTCAGAGATACATATATTAAAAACCTTACGGTGACAGGGGAGTAGCTCAACGCAGTTAGAAGAACGACGCGGCGTGTTTCCCCCGTATAAGCGTCTCCCAATCACCGTATTACCGAAACATACTTCACGTCGGCGATGGACATAGGATGGCTAGCATATTCTGAATGGATTTCTGTTCAGGATCAGGCATCGACTCCTGGAAAGTGACCTGACAGTCGAACAGATCTCATACACGCCGCTACTGGCGGCCGCTTCCATGATATTATTCTGCTACTCATGATGGTCCATTCCAGATTTCACAAGGTCGCCCTCAATTGCGATATCGGTGATTCCTATAGGTTTATTATTCACACTCCACTCTGAATGTACCTGTGGCCGCGCAACTTGACAACACCGACTCGTCGTAGAACTTGGAAAATTCCTGGTTAAGCATGTGCCTGTGTCGGCTGGCAGTACCTCGATGCTCTGTAAAACAGTTTGAAGGGATTAGGATCATGATCAGTTTAACTATACTATACAATTGGCGTTCAAGTCCCCGGGTCAGTATCAGAATACAAAGGCAACCGAAAAGGCAAGTCTAGGCCGTAAGCCGCAACGTGAGGTCTCAGTCACACCCCCCCCACTTAACAACACGCCAGCATCGGTCCAACTCGTTTTTTTCTTCTTCCTCTTCTTGGCAATCCAAGTCCAAGTCGATTCTCCTGCCATTCCTTGCGCTGACCACGTACGCTAGACCGGCAGGCTCCGCTGGTCTCGTCTAGAACCCAAACGCCCAGCAGCACCCACCCAGTGCTCCAGTTTGTTTCTAGCTACTCTCATCGACCGACTCGACGTCGGGAACATCTAGCCCACCCCACCAAAATCGGTTTATACGTCATTCTTATCTCTTTTCATCTTTCTCCATCAACATGAGTCTTCGTCCACCTTCTACGAGTCGCAGCCCGTCCCCGGCAAATGACAGTGGCAGGGCCGCCACTGCACGTCAGTCTTTGGGGCCCTCCACTAGGGGTAATGGCGGTCTCGTGCCCTCTTCTCCCCGCCCCGGCGGTATCAGTTCCAATGCCCGTCCGACCAGTGAGCTGCTCGGCGGTTCTGGCATGTTCCAGACACCTGAGGGTAAGTGACCAGTTCCTCACCATCTCTTCAGCTAATAATCCAAAACACTTCGAAATTAGCGGAAGCGCTCGACCAATGGTTCGAAAACCTTCAGAGCTACGAAGCCACCCTAGAAGAGATGGCCGCCGCCTCCTTGGACGTTAATTTTAAAGAAGAACTCAGCGCCATCGAGCAATGGTTCAAGGTTCTCTCGGAAGCAGAGCGCACAGCCGCTCTTTACAGTCTTCTCCAACATTCCACTCAAGTTCAGATCAGATTCTTCATTACCGTCTTGCAGCAGATGGCTAGGTCGGACCCAATGACCGCTTTGCTCAGTCCCGCAATGGGTGGTGAGATTTTCTTTGTTTGCTGTGCACTATTACTCATCTTATTCAGGTTCGATGCAAAGTCAGATGGAGGCCAAACTCGCGTCTATCAAGTCACCGGGCCTCAAGTCTGGTCTTCCTGCTTCGCCTACTACCCGGAACTTCAGCGGAACCAATCGTCAGTCTCTTATCTTGGACAACTCCTCCAATTTCCTTTCTCCTGATTCTGCTGCCAATCCCTCGCCATCTGCTGATGCCGCTGCGACTCTGGCCCAGCAGAGGGCCAAGTTCAAGGCGACCAATGCTGCGCATCGCATTTCGGCACCTGTCCTTTCGTCCCCTTCAGTTGGTGATGGACGTCCGACTACGTGGGGCTCGCAACTCAGTCAGCTTGCTGAACAGAATGGGCCTTCTCAGGAGATAGCTATCAGCTCACGCCCGAAGAGCACCGAGTTTGTGGCATCGCCCCGTGCTTCCAATGGGGAGGTGACGCTACCCCCAAGTGACAGCTGGGCTAGCATGGTCAACACACCTCTCATCCCCATGTTCCAGAAAGAAAATCGCTTGAACACTCAGTCTTTCGATGCCGCGAGCACCAAGCTGAACGATTGGAACAAGTCTGCTGCGCCAGGCGTTCCCATGATGGGTGACCCTACGATTCACAAACGCACCTCCAAACCCCCTACAGGTAACGACAGCCGCGATGTTCAAAGTAGTATCTACGACGATAACGGAAACATGATCAATGCAGGGCAACAACAAAATCAAAACCGCGGTGGTGGCAACTTGAGGAACGCTAACTTGGGTGCTGGTGCGCCTGGTGGGTCCAACTGGTCTGGGGCAAGGAGCCCGGGGCTTCCAGGCTCGGCCTCAAACAACAGTCGATACGACGACGGTGCCGGGAACCTCAACTCGATGAATGGACTGGGCATGCAGATGGGCGGATTCGGGATGAGTCCGCTGGGTATGCCCAATATGGGTGGGATGCCTCCGTTGAATCCGTTCAACAACGTGTTCAGCGCCTTGGGTATCTCCCCCGAGACGCAGCTGTTGGCGGCTCAGATGGCTGCGAGCGGATTTGGTCAGGCGAATTGGTTAGGGATGCAGCCCCAGAGTGCAGGGCTGAATAATAACAACAGACGCCACCAGCCCAAGTCGGCTATCATGAAGAGTCCGACCAGTGCTGGAAGCGGCGGGACGCCCAAAGCTGAGGACGACGTTGACCCGCAGCTATTGAATGATGTTCCTGCGTGGTTGAGGAGTTTGAGGCTACACAAGTATACGCCGAACTTTGAGGGTATGAAGTGGCAGGATATGGTTGTGTTGGATGAGGAGGCATTGGAAGAAAAGGGTGTGGCTGCGCTTGGGGCGAGAAGGAAGATGTTGAAAACGTTTGAGCTGGTTAGGAAGAAAATGGGCATTGAGGGTGGTCCGCCGCAGTCAAGCTCTGCCATTGGCTCACCTTGAAGTTGACCGAGAATAACAGACTGGATCCTTCACTGTGATTCGAAAAGGCGAAATATCGCAAGAGGTGTATTTTCTGTGTCCATTCTCAGTTTTTCCTTACTTAAAAAACGTATCCTTTGTGATGGCCAAAATTGGACTAGCCTACATATGTATTGGTTCCCATTTTCTAATATTCTATACCTCTCAATGAATGAACGAACGTTGCTCTATTCCTCTCAGACTCGTGTGCGTGTAAGCATTCTCATTGCTATATATATAACTGTGGGTTATTTTCGCCAGGGTGCCATGGGCTGTTGTTAGCATTGTATTTAGACCTGGGGCGTGTCAAAATCGAGCCATGAGGTGCGTTTCATGCTTCGGAGGCGAGAACCTTTTACGTACCGCAAACGTGATCCTTTCGCAAGTTGCACGAGCATTGCATAGAATCGATTGTCGCATTTGTTAGGCAATATTATTTTGGCTCCACCCCTTTATGTACTTGGAATTCTGCGGAAGTACTTATAACAGGGTCCATCGCAAAAACCCTAACCACTACTTTGGCTCCTTACCACCATTTACCCTTTACCGGTCACCGTTCTCACCGTTCTCTCCTACCACTAGCTCTTCGCACACGCTGTTCATTGTCTTCCCTCGCCATGCCGATATCAGACCGTAGCAGAAACGGCTCCCCTCTCCGCCCCGCCTTCATCGCGACGTCGTCATACAAACCCGACAGCATGCAGGTCGCCGACGAGCTCCACCCTGTTATTCACTCTGGCCGTGTCGTCGTCATCACAGGCGCCGCCAGCGGGATTGGCAGGGCTGCTGCGCTGGAATTCGCCAAGTCGGTCTCATTTTCTTTGTCTCTTGCTCGCCCCGGTTTCTCACGAGGTCGTCAGGCTTGAGCTGAAGGTCGCCCTGGCTGATATAGACGAAGAGAAACTAAAAGCTGTGGGCAAAGATGTGGCTGCCGTGGTGGGCGATGCCAACGTGCTCGTCGTGCCCACGGATGTGGCCAAGCTTGAGGAGGTTGTGAGGCTCAGGGACAAAGTCTACGAGCTCTGGGGTGAGGTGAGGATCATGAATTGCCAGTGGTCCTGCTCTCCCCCTTCATCACTCCCCCGGCCTCTGGACCCCGTAACGTAAACTCATCTTTATCTAGGTCGCTGTTCTGATGAACAATGCTGGTATTGGTGCTGAAGGCACGTCGTGGGATGGCATCGAGAACTGGAAGAAAATTTTTGATGTCAATCTTTTTGGGTGGGTACTCATCGAAATCTGTACAGCGTTGTCTGATTTTTTAATTTTTTTTTCGTGCGTCAGAATTGTAAATGTGCAGCAGACTTTCGTCCCGGTAAGTCTCATTCAGCGCCCTGCCGGCAGGCTTATTCATTCAATCACCATGATTTAGTCTATGCTTCATCAAGAAAACCAAGCCATGATCATCAACACTGGCTCAAAGCAGGGCATCACCAATCCTCCGTATGTCTTGTCGTTCCACTTTTCGTTGCCAGTTATAGGTTTCTCAGATAAAATCTGACGTCATTTTTCCCAATCCCTTCTACAGGGGCAATGCAGCATATAACGCATCCAAAGCCGCTGTGAAGAGCTTGACAGAGGGTCTGGCCTATGAGTTGAGGGAACGTCCTCATTCCAACGTGACCGCTCACCTGTTCATGTGAGTCTTCATCGCTCTCGGATCCTTCGTTTAATTGATCCAATACGTAGCCCCGGATGGACCTTCACACCCCTAGCTGGTTCCCTTCACTTCACAAGCAAACCGGAAGGAGCATGGGCTCCCGAAGAAACAGTGCTCTACATGATCGACAAGGCGCGGAATGGGGACTTTTATATTCTCTGTCCAGATAATGAGACGAAGAGGTTAGTAGACGAGCTGAGGATCATGTGGAGCGCGGGGGATATTGCTGAGGGCAGACCGGCGCTTAGTCGATGGCACAGGGACTATAAGGCATTGTTCGAGGAGTATATGCGAGACGGGTTGGCGAGCAGTGATAGTGGGAGAGCGTGAAATGGTGTGGTAGAATCACTGCGTAGACAATTTGTTCAAGAGACTCTGTAGTAGTAGTACCTTTTGTTCTAGTACCTTGTTTTCTGCTTTGTATGGATGGATGGATGGATGTAAAAGAAATTACCTTTGCATAGTGAAGATCGCAAACGGGAGCAATGTCGCACGAACAGCCGTTACGTTGTGAATGTGCGTCGAGGAGGAACGTTTGAGTGTATTGTGATCCCTGTTGGTGCTTCTCGTAAACATGTTCGCCAGAAGAATCTATTCATTGGGAAATCTGGATTTGAGCAGAAGTTGCACATGAAGGTGCGTGACCTGACGCCAAGCACACAGAGCCGGAAAGAAGCAGAAGCTCTGATCATTCAGGCTCATATTCAGGTCTCAGGAGGACCGCAATCGACCTATGGTGCCATTTTGTGGTCAAAAGACGTGTCATTCGACTGAGTTTCCCTAGTGATCATGATGGCCATCGGCATACAGTGCTCAGGTTGCATAATAAATGGGAAAGCTGGTCAAGTAGGTGTTGCAGGCAGGTTATTAGTGCGCAGTGAATAACAGCCAGGCTGAGTACGACAGTCAATTGCTTAAAGGCAGTTGGTACGTATGACTACTACTCACCTGAGTACGACGGTCAATTGCTTAAAGGCAGTTGACCGTCGACTCAGGACAAAACTGTCTATGCTTATATAAGGTTGACATCAGGTACTTGTGTCGTCCCGCAACAGTAGGTAGGTGCTGTGATTGTGCAATGAACATCTGGGTCTATGGTAAGGCTAGTGAGAACGTTACGCTGCAAGATAAAACTAGGTAAAGAGAGTAAACTTGAGTAGTCTCTGAGGCTTCACTAATAAAATCCTAGATGCTTCTAGCGGCGTAGATTGTACAGCAAATCCCAGCATAACGATATGCTACCGCATTGCATCCTACAGGCTTAACAGCGGTATTTGACGAGGCAACAGTAATTTTGACCATCCAGGTTCCCCCTCTGTTGGCCTTGAACAAAACTGACGCGATCGTGGATAGGCGCGGGAAGTTCCGACCTAACTTTGCCGCTAGGCTTTTTCTTGATTTTGATTACAATACACTAACTACTAACACGCGGTGGAGGTGCTGGTTGTCTCAGAGCCACCAGGTATCGTCACATCCCACCATGTTCATCCTACCAAAGCCAGATATTTTTCTCGCTGGGTTTCAAGAAAGTGATCTGTTCTGCAACATTATGCGGCTCAATGCCGCTGCCTGATGACAGAACTCAACTAAGCCTCAACGCTCAACACTCAGCAGTGTTCATTGATTCTATCTTTTACAGGTCAAGGTCTTTGAACTCCTCGACAAAATCTGCTCTTCGCCATCCTCGGTCATAGCATCATCGACCTGTATGACGAAATTACATTTCAAGACAGTGGCGGGGTAGGCAGAACCACAATGAACACCGAAGACAGACCTCGTTATCGCCCCTCGTGTCTCTAAGGGACCATATCTGGTCGTATTTCTTCATGACTCCGAGGGCGCCAATGCCAAATGATGATCTACTCCGGCCTGTTGACATGATTTTTTCCAATCCAAATCTTGATAGTCTCGGATGGACGGCCGTTTATCGCGTTTAATCCGGATGGTGCGAAGCGATTAGATGCATTTCCGTCACTTATACATCCTTGACTACCGTTTTTTTTCCCAGTTCAGTGACAGCATTCTGCCGACACCTGGTGCAACTGCATGGATATCGTTCCGGACGGAACCACAGCTGGGTTCCACAAGGGTTCACAAAGTCCCCCGAGGTCAATAGTAATTTGTAGATCAAGAACTTCTGTCCGAGGTCAAAATATCAATGAGTCGAGGACCTGACGATCACCTAGCCGAGGCGACATTCCAGTCATCACAGGTACCGGAGAAAAGGGACCGACGGACATCCTCAGAATGGATCTTTCGAGCCGAACTGAGAGTTCTGAAGTTTGTTTGTTAATTTCACGGGCATATTCGTCTGACTACGATTAGTAAAACCTCTGAATCGTCATGGGAGCACTCGAGAATCTTCATGTACACGGCGCAGCATGACACATAAGTGGTGTCATCTCATGGCAGAGACGCAAAACTGTACTTGCGCCTCGAGGTGTTGCTATATGAGGTGCGGACCGAAGAAATCAAGTCGGACATTTATTATCCGCTTAGACGCAGTGCTGGGAAGCCATTTTTAACGACTCCGAGAGCCTCGACAGTGATATGTGTCCGCAGTTTATAGAGGTCTATTCATACAAGGAAAAGAGAGGTATTGTATTTAGGCACTGATAGAACGCAATAAGCGCAGTCTGTAATATTACGAAAAAGAGATATTTTTGACTTCAGATAGCTAGCAACGCAGTAGCACCTAGGGCAGCAGCGGCCAGCACCGCAGCGGTTCTCGAATCCCACAAGTTATTGCTCATGGCACCGCTGCTGCTGCTGCTTGACGCCGTCGTATCGGTCCCGTTAACGCCGTACACACGCACTGAAGCAACATCGAAGTAGGCAGTGTCATAGTAAGAGGCATTCCCGATGACATAGTCGGTATAGCATGTGCCCGTGCAGGTTTCATTAAATATAGATGCGGTGCCTGCAAAGTCTGCACCAAGAAACTTAATATTAGCTAAATCTGATAGACCGCAGTTACTTACCTCCGCAGAGAGTGATATCAAATATCAGATTCTGTGCGGTGAAGTACGTGTCAATATCGCATCCACCTTTGGGCCAGTTCGCAACAGGGGTACCGAGGTTGTCAGTATCAATGGTACTTGAGTTCGAGGAGATGGAGGAGGGAACACTGGAGCGGCTAAAGAACCAGATACTACGCAAGACATGTCAGCAACCAGAACGGACTGGTACTAAGGAACGGGAAGCTCACGATATCCCGGTCTCCGCGAATTCTGTGACGAAGACACCGCCTTCCGCAGCAGCGAATTTGGCTCCATACGATGCTGTGGACGGGTCTGTCACGACGCAACCGTCGTTGTCGTCTACTTCGTAATCACAATCGGTGGTATTGATGAGGGTGGACGATTGGACTGGGTCTACTTGTTTACAACCACTCTCAGTATGCAGAGCCATTTGGTTCATGGTCACAAGATTCACCCCTTCAAAGGTATCGATCTCTCTGCGATCACAAAATTAAAAGGATCGATCTGAAAGAGCGCACCGACTTACCCCCCGGTTGGCCAGTCAGGAGCCTGGGACCACCTGTATAATTAAGCATGAGCACCAGTATGTCACACCAATTGATAGCGAAGTACCACGCCGGCCAGACCGAACACTGTCCCACGAAAAGAACAGTTACTGCGGAATTCAGAGGAAGAAACTAGGCAAAGCTTACGCCGTATGGAACATGGTACATGTCCGCTATCCAAATGCTTCCAACCTCGTAGCGATCCTTTGACGCAATTCGAACGGTGTCACGCTTGTAGTTGTAAGCCACGGTGGAGGTGTTGTCGACTTTCATGATCGCACGGTTTGTGGTAGAGTCTATGTATGTGAGGTCGGAGCCGGAGCCTACGAAGCTGGTTTATTGTAGATATTAACAACCGAAGGAACCTATGAGCAAATGACGAACATGGCATCTCCGTTAGTGAGATTGTCGTCTGCAACACGATATGAGTTTCGGCCCTTAACGAGAGCGTGGACACGCACAATTATCATAATAATCCCAGTCATCAAAGAAGCCCGACCCAGCATATTCTTTGATCATTTCGTATGTAGTTCCTGCGGCAAGTTCGCAGGCGACGACGCTAAGCGCGACAAGGAGAGCCAGGTTTGGCATGGTAGTCAAGAAGGAGTGAATAAGGGTCGGTGGTGAAGAAGCTACTTATATGATTGCCAAAAGAAAGATTGACTGTGCTTTTGTCGGCAAACTTATCGGCAAATGACTTTTGCAAAGGGAGAATGGACTGTGATGGTGCGGCAGAACCGTGGCAACACTGCGGATAGGCACGACCGGCGTGTTAGGGGGACCGCTAAATTTGAGTGCAAGTTTCAATTTGTCGTGCGCTGCAGCGACTGAAGTTCTGAAGGATAATAATGAGCTCGAATAGCGTATACAGAAGTTGAAGAGCTTGCGATTGTCTGAAGTGAGGTGTCGGTAAGCAGGTAGTTAGATAACCTAGCGACGATGATTTACGTCATGATCCCTCGTCTTCGGCCACGACTTGTTATTTCCTTGGAAGACTGTTCCGGACTATGGTCCGGTCTATTCAGTTCAGCGCCGTGAATGAAAAATTGGAGTTTCAACAGAACTTGAAAAGTGCGGCACGTGAAAAAAGAAGTCTTCTGATCCGTCGGTCTTACGGCCAGAGTTGCCATACGAGTAGTCGCTGCTTACAATATAAAGGTTTGAACTCGGAAAGAGAAAGTGCCAGGGAGGGAGAGCGAGGTGATGGGATTCGAAATCTGCATCTGAACCATTGTGATATGTTAATTGTTCTTCAGTATGGCGATCTGATCTCAATCCCATGGTTATAGAGACATAATACTTATAGACCGAGCCTGAGAAGCAGGCAGAAGGGAGTCCTATAGAGCGGCAACAATTAGAGAGAATCGGAATCGAGAGATATCCTAGCTGTCACAGTGTGATCATCGAGAACGTGACCGGGCCAGACCGACAAACTATATTTAGGTTCCAAGTTCATCAATGGACAAACGCTTGTTTCCTTCTTACTCCCACTACTTTCTCTTCAGCCCGTCGACAGTGTCGGCACCCTGCTTGACGCAGGAGTTTTGCTTCATTTCTTCACTCTTTTCCGTTTCTCTACAAGCCACTCATTAACCACATTCTCCATTCCTTCAACTGCCACATTCTCCAGCATGTTGAAATTCGCTGCTACTGTCCTCGCAACTTCAAGTGTTATCGTGCTGTCTGTAATATCTGCACCTATCCGACGCGACGTCAATTCAGATTTGATTCCTGAATTCGGACTGGAAGCGGGAATCAACCCAACCGGTACTGGAGATTGCGATGGGATTACGGGGGCCAACGGGAGCCCCATTTTGATTCCTTGCGTATGCCCTCCGGAGCGTGATACCTTCATTCAGGTATGCATACAAGTTTTTCGTGAAATTTCCATTCTTACGCCACGAATAGTCTCTGAATGCCAACGTCAATGCTGGATTCGTCATCAATAATCCATCAGTACAAGTGTCTTTCCCGGAGGACGACTCTCAAGCGTCCCAGCTTGCGAGGATACAGACGGCCCTAGTCACCTTGCAGAATATTAACGGGACAGGGAAGGGTTGTCCTGCTGCCTCTACCACTTTTGTGGCACAACAGAAAGCTATACAAGAAGGAACTACTGCCGCATCATCATCGTCGGCAGCTGCATCTTCATCCTCGCCCTTATCCTCGTCGGCAACCTCTTCGTCTGCGCCAGCTACTGTAACTTTCTCTGTCGCAAGCGACAATTCCACTGTGACGGACACGACGAATAGCACAGTTGACCCATCCCTGGTTCCCGAGTTCGGAATAGAGGCTGGCGTTAACCCATCAGGCACTGGCAATTGTGACGGAACTACCGGTGCTGATGGCAACCCGGTGCTTATTCCATGCTCTTGTCCTCCTGAAAGGACTTCGTTCATCAAAGTGAGTTCTCCGTACACAACAACTTATCTCCGAAGCTCACATACCGTACAGTCTCTCAGTGCCAACGTCGCCGCTGGCCATGCCGTCAACAATACGGCTGTTGCGATAGATTTTCCTACGGATAACTCGACTGCATCACAAATTACGAGGATCACGGCGGTTTTGATATCATTGCAGAATCTGGAGGGACCTGGGGTCGGTTGTCCTGCATCATCGACAACATTGTTGGCACAGATGAAGGCTCTTCAAGCGCAGCTGTAGTAGGAATCACTCTTTGCACTTCAATGAGTCGCCTTACGACATTGTTAGAGGCGTTGCGAAGGGGAACGCTTGTTCATCATACTGCTTGTTTTTTTGATGACAATTTTACAAATTTTTGTAAGAGGGCCCATATGGCACCATAGCATATGCCATAAGTTGTGTTCGGAACAAAAATTATGTTCATCATAACGCACGGTGCGATGCTACAGGTACCAAGAATACATTATACTTAATATCAACAAGTGTAAATTTAACACCTAGGGAAAAACAAGTCAGCGAGATCGTTCACCATATAATGATATGAGAAGACTTCAGAAAGCTAGGTAAAAAAAAGATTTCGGCAGGTTTGAACGCGATGTCTAGTCGCACTTGGAAACACGGACCATAGCAAAGGTCATCAAATTATATGCAACAGCATAACCGTTGAATATAAAAGGACAAGGAATACTCACCAGGATGGAGCACGAGGCGGAGGTGAGGTGAGATGCTGGGTAAAAATTCCAGTATGCGCTAAGCAACGTGTTTTTTAAGGTTTTTTTTATAGCGGCGCCTCCAATCGGAGTTTCAACTTTGGGGCCAGCGCGACCACGTGTAAAGGTCCACTTCACCCAAAATGGAAAGTTGAACGCTTTATGCTGGCTCCTGCTTTTATACGGGATTTTTCATTAGTTTCCTTCGATGAAACTTAGCGAACAAACTGTCGTCCGAGCCACCAATGAAATCACAGGAATAGACCTCGTTGCCACCTGGATCGGGACCTATGTCAACCGTAGCGTCCTACTTTACCACTCACCGCTGACTCTCGATTGATAGAACTCTGAAGCGGAGTCATTAGTTTCTTGCGATCATCCCGGTCTTTGACCTTGGTCCTCTGAATCTTGGTTTGTATCATATTGAATTGTATTACTGGTCTAGGTCATATCCAGATATCGTGACGGAGTACAGCCTTCAAGCGCGGGCTATTAATTCAGTCGACCCGCCACGTTTCATGGAATCACGATGTTGATTCAGCTTGGTCCATGGGTACGTCCTTATAATTAAAATTAAAACCATGCTAAGTTACGGATGAACTGAAACATTGCGCAAAGGGGAAAGATCTCCATGATACTTGTTACCTTCCGAACAAGCGCCTGTTCCGGGCGACTTTGTTTCTTTCGTTCCGAGCTTTTACATCAGGTTGAGCATATACTGTACAGGGGCGCACATCCTCTTTGTGGATTCCCGATGGTCCGTTCGTTATCCGGTAGGCGGAGGAGACTGAGGTTTCGTCCCTGACTTGAGCATGAATGTGCCAGCGCTGGTTTACGATAACATGGCGCATTATGATCATGATCTTCCTGGACCCTTGATGTTAATCTGGTGTGCCTGCGTATGGACTCCCGTGTCACCAAGCTACGAACCCGCAGCAATATTGGGATACGAGGCGGCTGGCGTCGTTTTGCTGATGTTGTATGGTAACGCGCATCTGTCGTATCGTCAGTCTCGAACACATTTAGACTATGCCACGCTGTCCTTGAAGAGAGGCACAGGCTCTGTGATGGTTGTCTTCAATGCTGAACCGTTTCGCCCCCAAATGGTCAGAAGTAATTGAGCTTGGAATTCCTACCCGTTAGTTCAAGCTCGTTCACTGGGTATGGTTACTGTCTGGATGATAATGATCTTTGACTAATATTTGCCAGTGCCACGGTACCAAATGCCGTCAAAACCGCCAAGCAGAACTCGAGTCCTCCAACCAGTGCCTTTGGCCTCCGGATCTGAAGTGGACTTCCTGGGCTGTTCCTGTATGATGCAAAGAAGGCTATTTATTTAAATTATCCGTTAAGGGACGGCCACTCCGGAAAGCAAAAGATCGAACTATCTGGGGCGCATGCATGTAATCCCGTCTTGATTGGTGGACGGACTGATGGCAGGTAGTGCCTACGGCCGAGTCTGACTGTGACGGATTTACGGCCAGTACGAAACACGGTGGCAGATGAGGGCTGAAAGAGCAGTAACCAACAGTGCGTCAAAGATGCAACCTGTACCTGATGAGATCCCGCTGTATGAAAACTCCATTATCACCGAGGATGATTTTTTTTGTTCCTCCTACTTAGTCAAATTGTCAAAGCTGACTTTATCAGTGCTAGGATCAGTGCTAGGGATATTGGTCTGTGCCAGTTTGGGGGCGACTCAGTCCTAAAGGGAAGAGCACTTGTTTCGTGTCGAGCCTTTGGAATTACGGCTCCAGAATCAACACTAGGGACTTGGGTACTGCATCCTTTCGTCATGTAATATGATACCCCCGTTTTATGTTCATCCTACTGTAGGCATGTCGTGTGTAGGTAGTTTCTTGAACTCGAGTAGGTTAGTGTCATTATGCTCTTAATTATTCTTGATTTCTAATCGTCCTCTGTTCCATGTCACAGGTTTTAGCGTTGGTATATAGCCTCTAAAACACTCAGCGAAATCCTGAAGCAATCGATTTCGTTTCTTGATTTTATCATCCACGGGCAACTTGAATCCACGGAGTACCATTTCGACAGCGTTGACATACTAGGTACCAGGTACCAAAACTGCTAAAACCTGGACGTTTTTCGCTTGAAAGTCCCTTAGACTATCTATCAATAGCCAGCCAGCTGGTGCGTCTATCAAAGATAGCTCCATGAATGGACATTTGATAACAGATATTTTTTCCCTCACGCGATCACGGGGCCGAGGTTGAACGTTGATCTCATACTCCCGTATCCCAACTAGCCGAGATTTGTGGGCTACTCTCAATCGAGTTTGTAAACGGCCTCAGGTTGGTGGATCTGTCGTCGAAGCCCAAATCAGGCCGGAGGCACGACAGCGCCGAGTCCCTTGATACTTCATGTAGGTCCACTCTACATCATGATTTGCGCACGGTCGAGTGGCGATAATGTCCGCATAATTTTTTTTTCCAGTTAATCCAAAGCCGAGCTGCCCGAATCTGAGTGTGGAGTGACGTTGATATGACATCATCATTACTAACACGATTCAGAGTGATGGCGTTGGCCAAGGTTGTCTTTTGTCCTTGTCCTTCATCTACATCGCGGCGCTGTAGTATTCTCAGTCATTCTTTTTGACATCAACCTGAAACCGTGCCGAGTCCCATTTGGAATTGCCCCTTATCAACGGATATGAGAGCCGTACTGATCAAAGACGACAAAGGACCGCTCGAGAACCTCTTCATTGGGGATGTTGAGACGCCAGCTCCCTCGGAACGGCAGATTCTTGTAAAAGTATGTGACCGCCGTCTCAGATCTGAGACGACGACAATCGCATTCTCATGTCGTACTTACTTATCACCTAAATGTCTCAGATCAAGGCTTTCGGGCTGAATCGTATGGACATACTCCAGCGAGAAGGAATGTACCCGGTTCCGCCCGGAGCCTCTACGATTCTCGGTGTTGAGTTTTCGGGCTATGTCGCAGCCCTTGGACCCAACCTCTCCGGAAATTGGAAGGAGGGTGATGAGGTCTTCGGCATTGCCGCAGGCGTAAGATGATACCAACCAACCCTTTCGATGTTTACCTGTTCTCCAGGGTGCATACGCAGAGTATATTGTCGTGAATGAAACTCACCTGATATCCAAGCCTTCGTATTTGTCCTGGGCCGAAGCTGCCAGTATTCCCGAAGTGTTTCTAACCGGTATGAATATCTCAATGTCGGAAAAAGGCGAAGAATGATGTAATTTTCATTAGCCTTTCAAGGAATTACAGTATACGGAGAACTCAAGCCTGGAGAAAGTGTTTTGATACATTCCGCTGCATCTGGCGTTGGTATCGCCGCTATTCAAATGGCCCGTTCACTCGGCGCGTCAGTTCAAGTACCGTTCACATAGCTTTGAAGTCTTAATGTCTATACAGGAAGAATGTCGTCGCCACCGCATCTACGAAGGAAAAGCTCGACTGGCTGCTTTCAATCCCAAACGGCGCGACACTCGGAGTCAATTACAAGACTCAGAATTTTGCGGCCGAAGTACTCAAAATCACCGAGGGGACGGGAGTCGACGTTATTCTTGACTTCGTTGGTCAGACTCATTGGAACAAGAATATCAATTCGCTTGCCATCGATGGCCGCATGACGATATTTGCCTTCTTAAGTGGTAAGCAATCCTCGGGCTTTTCTGCACCGCTACCTTATCGCAGTGAAGGTTCTACGGTCCCATCTGTGGACCTGCGGCCTATCCTGTCGAAGCGCCTCCGTATCCAGGGTTCTACCCTAAGGGCCCGTAGCCTGGAATATCAGGCGGACTTGATCACCCGGTAAGACCACCTTTGACATTCATTATATCGTATCTGACAAGTCATGGACAGTTTGAGGGACCAATTTTTAGGAGACGTTACTGGATGCGAAGGAAATGGTCCTATCAAGACGTACATTCATAAGGTGTGGCTTTTCTGAGACTGTTCCCACCATTTGTTCTCTAATCATATGTAAATATGTGTGTAGGTTTATAATTGGAATGATATTCGAGAGGCCCATAGGGAAATGGAGGCGAACAAGAATATGTAGGTTTTCTTTTTTGCGGCAGACGTCATTGAGCTGACTCTGCCTTGACAGAGGGAAGATAGTTGCTGAAATCGCGTAAGTGCCAAGTTATTCAGATTGTCCCCTCAAGTTATGTCGAATAATTAAAATTTATGCATTTTATCATCACTGTTTTCCAAACTTAAGAGTACTTACATCGGGAGATCCGCTTGCGACCCGCAAACCTCAAAAGTGATCGGTGAGCGACGGAAGGTGCCGAAGTCAGGCTCTTTCGATCCATCATCCGTGCATGCCTTCATATGATGGATGCTTCAGGTTCTAGGTCGTACTGCGCGTAAATCTTTGACCAATGTCCTATCAGTGGCACTGATTGACGCCCGTGCCTCCATTATGATACTGATGGGTATGGTCTTCCACTGGCACCATTGGCGGTAGTGGCGTACCAGCCTGTTGGTGGAGCCGAAGTCCAGCAGAGCGAACATCTCATGAGTAAGGCGGACCCGCGAAGCACTCGTGCACAGTTCGAACCTCCGTTTGTACACTATGTTTCACAAGTAGCGTGTAAACTTACATATTTACCTTTACCCAGAGGCCTGGTTGCGGCGTAAGGGAAAGGACCCAGCTAAGATTCTAAATCCATGGTTGCGTACATGCTGCTAAACTCTACCAGTGTGCCACCGACAGCATCTTAAACTTTGACCGCCTTTCTTCCGCTCTGTTACGAGAAATTAGCAGCCAACGACTTCACGTTGGACGAGTATACAGGCTTCCACATCTCAGGCTTGATGTCAAGCAAGGAACTTGGCTTGTCCTGCCAGGCGAATCCAAGATACTCGGCAATTTGATCGCCGTCGCCAGTCACAGAACGGCTGCAATTCTTACCATCCGCATCCTCGAAATATGCCAGGATGACCGCCCAACGAGCCCCGTGACCAATTTCATTATAGAGAGCCAAAAAAACTGCGAGCATCGTGGCTTCCCATGTGGTGATCGGACCGACAGTTCGTAATTTGGGCCACGTTGAGTGGGATTTCGATGCGAGGATGAACCATCGATGACCCCGGGAACGATTTTCTTTATTTCACCGATAGAAGCTGCTTCTTTGGCCGTTCCTCTCATAGTCGGGCGGCTCCATTGTGGATAGTAGCCCCACTAACAAGGTCTTCTATCCATGGTTACCGGAGAGAACCAGGGTGAAGTGCAGTCGGCAACAATATTAATATACACGGGAAGGCTAGCAGGCCGCCAGCACTGTGGCCGCACGCGTCGACTACGCATGTCAAGTCGAGGCGAAGAATTTCCCAAGTTATGGACTGAGGGTCAAGCCTGTGCCAACCAACCCGATTAAATTACCTGTGGCTTACAAGAATAAAATTTACGCTCCTTCTCCATCATGTATCCGAGACTATCGCACAGATAATGTGATTTAGACCGAGAACTATCCTTCACTAGGTACAAGATGTCTCTAAAAACACTTGGGTATGTCATGGACTGCGCGTGTTGTGATGTTCGAAAAAATTGTCCGACCAGCAGAGGGTTGTGCATTTTGAAGAACGACTTCTTGAGTCTTCTTCTCTGGATGCCCTTTGGGAATTTGGTTCTGATGTCCGAGAGGGACTGAGGATTCCTAAGCACAGCCACGATGATGTTGCCCGCTAAATCCGCCTGGTGCAGAGGCTTGAACGGAAGCAAATGGGCGAATCATTAATATCTCTGGACTGTACACGGGGCCTTGTCAATTTGACGGAACCTGGAACCTGGATTACTTGGACAGGCGTGGAGCACAATGTACAACTTACGAACAGATCAACTCGTGGCCGCGATTTGATCAGCCCTCTTTCTCGTGGAGGCCTCATCAACCCCCCAGGTACGTTCGCAACCATGTGTGGATCAGTTACAGCTGCAGGTGTAACGTTATTCAGCGGGGGATGCCGTAGTGACAGGATCGAGGATTGCTGACAGTTTGAATGCCCAGTAAGCTATGCATGACTGAGCCGCATTCAAAAGAAAGGCTTATTCTAACTGGAACCATAAGTAGTCCACAATTAAGACCAACGTTACGTTCATCAGGATCAGTTTCCTGAGCGGCCTTTTTGTTCCGGCCGACGTTGATGATCACTGAAATGACCGGAATGCCTATATTACAAGCATTACGCATCACGCATCCTATTGAAAACCGAGGAGGTGGTTGTGGGAAGATTCGAGAGGCACGAACCGTCGACGTTTCAACATTTGACAAAGTTAATCTTCGAACGCACCCGAAAATAATTCTAAAAGAAAACCATCAATTCGACGTCGGAGTGTATTCGGAAAGAGAACCAGTCCGGATAGACGTCTTCACAATTCAGGCTCAGGCCGCGGCAGGAACTTGCACCGAATCACCGGCAGATTAGGGCAAGTTTAGCGCTGGGCCACGAGCCAGGTTTGAGCCAAGTATCCAAAAAGCCACGATCGACCTTTGATGAAGATATCCGCTTTCGACGGTGGGTACCTTACCTAGCGTCGGAGGACTGAAAGCTGTGCGGAGGAAATAAAGAATTCGCATTTTTCGGCACGAGACAGAAGGAACCAACAGCTTTGCGGTGTTGTTCCGAAAAAGGATACCTCCAATGGCATATTTTTGAAACGCAGGAAAAGCTGGGCGTCGCGTTGCCGAAATCATCGTCGTCATTTTGTCAAACGAGCGCCTTCGTGGGAATTCTATGCTTGGGTAAAGCCACCGTTAACTCCTTTCCCATTTCGAGTCATGGGTAGTCATCCCATAGCATTTCGTGGCTGCGTGCGGAATTTGCCTGAATACGGCGTGATGATCCTATATAAAGGCCAGTTAGTCGTTGTCTCCCTCCCCAGAACAAGTTCGGCCCTTAACCGGTTGTCATCACTCCTACCGCCCCAGAACACCTAACCACCACCACCACCACCACCACCACCACCTCTTTGTCGAGCCCATCCTCATATCTTCATCCACAATGTCCGGACAAAACTCTGGAAAGCCATCGCAGGGCTCGCAAACGACTGTGAAGGGAGGCGCATCATCCGCAGGCCCAGTGTTCTTCTAAATCACCATTCCCATATCGTCGTGTTGTGGTATTTGTGCCACAGTAAACGGCCAGCCACGACCGACACCGCTAGCGTGGCTATGTCCGTGTCTATCCCGCATCTGACAAGTCGGCGCAGCAACCCCACCAATACTCTATCATTCACCTAGTTCGTCACCACTCGAAACACACATTCGACGTCTTCCATCCGTCGACGATGCTGTACGCGCAGAGAGACAGATGCATCATAATTTATTCGATCTCGATGGCGGAAAACTTTGAACTGGAGGAAGGAGGAGCGCCATCACCGTCTCAGCGGGACGGAGATCTCCTGCCATACACCCATCTCATGTGTAGAAGCGCTCTTCATGGACTTGATATACAATTAGTTACTTACCTTAAAAATAATCCTTATTTCCTTCATATTATAGTCTACACGTATTTGTCCTTAGCTGTAGCACATTTGTTAACTGGTCGCGCATCACAACAGGAAGAATTACTTACTGATCTATTTGTCCGTCGCATGAGCTGCAGTTTTGGGGATCACCGCGAACAAGTCAAATTATGACGCGTTGTTGTTGAACTGATATCAAGGGAAGCGCGTCATGCGTGACGTTCCAGAATTGTTAGAGCCTTCGTTATTGTTGGACGCGTCAAGAGCAGAGCGGGGATTAACGGCATGCTCCGCCTCTATCAGGCACATGTAAAAGAAAAGGAACGACGCAAACGACTCGGTTGATACAACCATTCATCAACGAATGTGTCATTAATTGGATGGCGAATATCAAATGAAGAAAATCATTGACATAACGGCACGTACCTGGCCTGAAGTCATACATTCCAGGCAATGGATCAAGTCAAAACTGCAGTGTTCATCCCTAGGAACAAATTCATGTAAGTATTGCGCATGGTTACATCCTGCCTCTAAGACCCGCCGCCGCCCCTCTCCATATACCTGATTGGAGATCCCCGCGTTCGTGAGCACTCCACCATTCTAGAATCGCTGCAACCACCTCGTCCTGTCGTCCAATAAAATTATGATCTGCGTCTTCCATGAGATGAAGCGAGTGAGTCCCGGGGTCTCGGTTGCTCAGTGCCCTGGCATAGATAACGGCCTCGTATCTACATCTATGGAGTTGGTCCAAACTCTTTGTGGAATGAAAATCAACAAACGGTGGAACCTGCATGTCCGACAACCCATGTATGGTTAGGACATCAGTGCCTTGAGGGAATCTGTCCCATACTAATGATGTATCAAACTTGCAGAAATTTTCAACGTCTTCCGGATAAATCTTGATCGAGAGAACCTTCCTCGCCACTGTGGGCGTCCAGATGTGATATTCTTGGGAAAGGAAGCTCTCTGTCCACTTCTTTGCCAGAGCAGTTTCTGCGACCTAAAATAAGCGATACGATGGAGAGAGACAGCGGGTTTCATTTACCGTGAATTCCCTGAAGAAAAAGAGATATAAAAGAAACGAGTAAAGCGTTTCAAGATAAAGACTTACACGCATACGGTATCGCCCAGAGACATTGACAAATCCTGATACCTTCTTTCCGACTTCGGAGGTGCAGAGCCAATGGATGCCAACTATAGACCCTCTGGAGTGCCCTACGACCAAATCAACTTGATAACCAAATGTTTTCTCGAGGTAATCGACGACAACGCCGATATCGACCACGTCGTCCTCCAAACTGCCTTGCCGCCAAGTCCCGGGCGTCTCATGGCAACCACTGTAGCAATGATTAATGATACTGCGCATCATCCGTAATGAAGCAATAAGAGTTACCGAAAATCAAAGCGAAACAAATCTAAAGGAAGGCGAATCCCGAGGTGCTTGTGAAACAGATAGTCCTTGTGCCTGTCGTTACGTTCAGATAAACACGAGTTACTGCAAGTCCGGCGAAAGGTCTACCCCGCAGAACCATGGAGAATCTACCGGTGAGATAAGGAGCGACGAGGGTTGAGCAAGGTGTCTTGACGACGCAATAAAGCTTCTCTGGATATACACACCAGAGCGATCTTCTTGCCGTTGGTTGGCTGGCCCGGTGTCAGCTGCTCTAGGATGCCCACAATAGAACAATTAGGCTCAGTTGAATGAGGAATCCAAATTTTTGTCGAAGTCCGCTGCCTTGCAGTCATGGCGGTACGGAAGCAACCATCGATTTTGGTTGGGCCACAGCAATGAGGGCCGGCAATCGGCAACTGAACTAACCGACCAAAGGTTTAACGTCCGACAAAACAAGTGCTATGCTAAAACCGATTTTTTCCCAATAATCTCATTCTTCGCGCTCTTGCCTCCCTTCGCCTTGACTACCTTATCCTTTTTCTTCTCACCTGGGGCAACGCTGCGTTTCTTCTTGAGGTCATCCGCAGTAAGAGAGTCAACCGGGGCCTGAGCCCCGCCATCTTCCGCTGACTTGGCCTTTTTACGCTTCTTATCCTTCTTGAAAGATTCATCGACAGGGGCAGGCTCTGGCAGCAGCAAAACAGTCTCCTTGGAAGAAGCCTAAAACATCATTTACGTCGGTCACGAACAAGGATGAAGTCGATGCATACCTTCTTGTTTTTCGCGTCATCGTCTGCTGTACTGGGGGTATCGATCTCCTTGTTGACACTCTTGTGCTTTTTAGCAAGCTTCGCGCCCGCTCCTTCATCTTTCTTGACCGGCTGAGTAATTTTCGAGGCCTTCTTCTTCAATTTCTTGGTCTCCGAAGCGGGTGAAGGCCCTGGAGCAGGAACGGGGACTGAAGCGTCCGAAGAGGCTTTGGCTTTGAGTTTCTTCGACTTGCTAGAGTTGGTAGAGGCGGTATTAGTGGAGGGCGTGGTCGTGGTCACAGGTGGAATGGTATCATTGGGAGCTAGAACCTTCGACTTCTTCGACGAATCCGCGGAGACCTTTGCAGGGGGGGAATGAATGGCTTTCACTTTTTCCTTCTTCGACGACGATTCTGCCGGAATGGGAGCCTTCCCTTTCACGGACTTGGATGGCTCCGGTGCAGACTTGTTCTCGGTAGCTTTTGCTTTCTTTTTGGGCTTAGAGGTTTCTTCGACCTCGTCATCTGCAGCAGCACGCTTCTTTCCACCGGATGGAGGTTTTTTCGAGGCAGGCTCATCAACTTTCATAGCCTCGTCATCATCGCCGTCACTGTCCTCGTCCTCCGCATCGGCGTCGACGACTGCGCCCAAGCCTGCCCATCGACCACCATCCTCGTCTCCTAAAGAACAGCTCCAAATTGGCAACGAGACACTGGAGTTAGTCTTGATGGAGAGAGCTTGTATGTTGTCCCATCCACCGCTGATACGTTTGGCGACGACAGGGAGAGCAGTCTTTAGATTTGCGAGAATCTGAGCAGGCGTGTGGGACATGTTTCCAATTTTTATTGCACTATAAGTGATGTTGAACGTTAACATAGCCACAGAAGGATGAACACATACGTATTAGTACCACGATTCTGGTTCATGTACGTCGACTGCACAGCGTGTTCAAGCTCTTTTTTGAGATCCTTGCGAGTCATGGTAACAGGGATGGGTTGCCTGTGCCGCGACCAATGAGATGGGTAAAACGAATGGATATTAAACATACTTTTTTGCTCGGAACCACTTTTCGCCCAACAATTTTGGAAGCAAAGGGATAACTCGATCGTCAGCCAAAAACAGCCCATGTTCCTTCAGCAGTATTCTTCGAGCCTCATAAGGTTTGAATTTCCCCTTCAACTTGCTAATACCAACGACACGAGAAATAAACTTTATATCCTTAGCCTCCAGTAGATCCTTGTATTCCCGCTGGGGGTCCTTTGTAATGAGGCAGACGCCCGACGTCCGAGGGTCGACAATGGGATGAACCACAGGACTGATGCGACATAAGTACTAGAGCTGGTACGACGAGGTACGACTTACATTCGTACAGGCATTATCTTCCTCTCAGCAGCGACTTTCTTGACTGCGACATTCAGCCAGACGGTCTGCTCTTTCCCAGGTAAGAGTTCACTCGCTGATTCCTTGTCGGTTTTCTTAGTCTGGTGGGCATGTATGGCATCGACGGCGCGCTCGCACTGGGTCACCGAGACGCGCGAATCAATGAGCTCGTCCCCAGCCATGACTGCTTGATTTCGAACCTTACGTCTGACTCGGCGAAGACAAATTTTCATGTTGACATATATTTGGTGCTATTGGTCCTTATGGTACTCAGGTTCCGTTAACATCTATTCTTGATCCATAGTACATTATTTCAGAAGACCCTTTGAGGCTGAACCGAATAATTTCGAATTCTGCCGGGTTAAGATGAATGTAATATGACCATAGAAAAACCGCTCAATGCTATCATGAGCATCGGCAGGAAATCAAGGGGCCCGGCTTCGTCGGCTGTTGATAACTTGACACAACCGAGACTATAATTCCATCTCTATTGGCGCAGCCACAGACAAAACAGTACACGATTCGTTTCATTCGATATCCACTTCGACACTGCCAACTTGAGCAATTGCAAGCGCTCATCAAAGCATTGCATCACGGAGGAAAATCAGCGCCCGTATGACCTCGTCCAACGGAGAAAGCCGTTTACAGACAGCTCTAACTTTGAATATACTCATACTTCAGATCTTCCCTCTCCATCCGAAAAGCGCGGTTCAGGGCCAAAAACAAGCGGTACCCGAGTGGTATCTCCGAAAGGAACAATCCAGTTCTTGATATGGCTTTTGTATTATAGCATTCGCGTTGATGCAACTACCGAGTTCCGGTAATTCAACTCAGAGAAAGATGATAGATGCAACGGGCATTACATGAAGCTAGAAGAGATTTATAGTAGACACTTTGCTTCAAGGATGTTATCGCCGTGATGCGCGTGCGAAGAGCCGGTTCAGTTTCGTCGCCGCGACGCCGTCCATTAAAATTTGAATGGAAACCCAACCGAAACTTCTCATAAGATGGCAGATCTTTCGAAGGACTATGTTTGCAAGATGAAATTAACCTTCGGATATGCAGAAAAATGCCCAAAAAACCGGAACTCTGTGACACAGGGGAAAATTCAACTTTCTGGAGGTGATGCCTAAATAAAGGAGCAATCGGGACTGTCCGACTCGACATGTGCTTACCACCGAAGTGCAATATCTCCTTTTTAGCGTGCCACAACCATAAGGAATCCGTGGCTGCACGCTTCGTCATCTCAATTCTCCGTTACAATCTTGGTGCTCGTAATCACGAACTGTGATGAGCCACTGTTCCATTGAATTGGAAAATTATCAGAACCCAGAAGCACGCTGCGACAAGTGTAATGGCCCCAGAATCACTACCCCCAATAGCTCATTGCCTCTATTCTTGATTTTCTTCGCGATGACATACCCGCATTAAGCCAATGTATCCTCGTGTCACATCCCTATCGACGTGCCGGTCACCTATATTGCCAAGTCATACTCGTACTCCGTAATACCTGGTCTCCTTGCATACAAGAGCCGTATGTAGGAGCATGAGATACTTGCGTCAACTTCTATCAATGTTAATTCGCCGCTTCCCACATGTTCCTCCGCTTGTCAAATCATTCCTTGTTCATGATAGTTTAGTAGGGAATAACCATCGGAGTATGGAAAGGATTTTTAAGGATGACTTTCTTCCTTCCTTTCTCTTACTTCCATGTGCACGTTGCATCGCTCTTACGAGCAGGCCAGTTTCTTTTGGAACCGATAACTTGCCACCATCCCTTAAATCCTCCATCCGTTCTCCACATGTAACAAGCACTCATCTCGACGGTCTGCAGGTGGACGAAGGGTGGTTACTGTCCTTATTTGAAGGATGCCTGTCCTTGAAGCATCTTACGTTGATTTGGTTCAACTAGCCTCCGAAGCGTTCCCTCTCGCTTGGATCAAATGTCCAAAAGCTTCTGGTCAAGGCAATCAAAGCCTCCCCGGCATTAGGATCTTTGTCATTCTCTGATGACATTCCCTTCATATTCGGGGGTTTATTCACCATCAAGCCACTTTTCAACATATCCCGTCTTCGAAAGCTGTCCGTTTACTCAAGCTTTCAAGCCGATTGTCAAATTATCCAATAATTGCTCGATGCGACCCAGAACTGCCTCGAGGAGTCAATCCTGCATATTGAGGGATCCTGTGAGGACCTATTCATTCTCACTACGCATACATCTATTTACTAATCATGTATCGCGTCTTGCAGTGCCTGCATACTACCTGCCGGTATCTGTCCTGGATATTAGCCGTAACACCGAGCTTCGGTGGTCGTCGACGCTATGTATCTCGAATGGCCGATGGCCTGTGAAGCTTCACGCCACCAGTGCACGTGCCGACAGTGGACAGGGGGCTATGAACAGGGCGAACATGTTCTGGGGATAAAGACATGTACGATTACAGTGCAATATGTTCGCGAACATCTAATTACCATGGGCGTCGTGCAGGTAGATGAGGTCGGCAGTACGTTTACCCATTCCTTCGACTACCGCGACCATTCAAGCATTAGCAGAACGCACTATCTGGAGCATAGGTGACACTTTATGTTCTGTGTTTTAGAACTTAACTTGCCTGCCTTCAATCACCATCGTCTGGGAGATTGACGTTGGACGGGGTCATCTGGTCCTGCTTTTCATTTGCGTTATGATGTCGCTTTCTACGAATCGCAGGCGACTGAGACTTTAAATTCATGGTCGGTTTCGATGAGGAATCATCCCTCCTTACATCTATATCCCCTCCCGCTGTTCCTGAGGAATAAATTGACTCCTGTAGATGAAACTTGTATCCACTGGCACATTGTTATTCATCTGTCGTCTTATTTATTTGATCTTTATTTTATGCCCAGGCTGCTAGCCATTAGATCCGGGAAACCAATCTTTCTTCTCGTCCTTTCATGATTTCGGCCCACACACGCTCTTTTCCTCTCCTGGCCGTCCTGAGCCTCTTGGTTGCAAGAGGTAGGCTCACCGTCCACAGCTTTCTCTTTTCTTACTTAATTAATGTCGCTCTCCAGTTCTCGCACTTTCCAACTTGGATACCGCAACAGGTTCACTCCATTTACGAACCACGCCCGGCTCGATCAATACGACTACCGTTCCGGACAGCTGTGCATGGCAATGTTCCATTCTTGGGACCATCAGTGTATGCGTTGTCTCTCTTCCCGGAATTCTCTATCTGATTCTCGGTGCCAGATGTGTGGCCAGAGCCAACTGGAGTGCCTCTGCTCTGTGTCGTATCAAAATAGGGTTTCTACATGTATAGATTGTTATATTTCCGCCGACTCCCAGGGAGGAGACAAACTGAATAAGTGTACGTATTATGCTTATCTGAAGGGGCTATGACAGTTCATCTTGGTATGATAGTGTATCAAATGTCGTGTGAAAACGCTTCGTCGGCGGCGGCGGCGGCGACTCAGATCACAGCCGAATTGGCTGTGGCCAGCTCAACCCAGTCTGCAACATCGAAATCCAATGTATCTTCGACCCTGAGGGCATCGCCGGATTCAGCACTTGTTTTTGTTGTGATGACTATTCTATTTCAGTTCTAACAGTTACATGATGGCCATGTACAGTCGTTGACCAATCCAGCACATTCCTTTGATTTTGATGCACGAATAAATCAACCCCGACTTGCCTGTAAGGGAGGTGGAAGAATGATTAACACGAGTAACTTTATAATACTGGAGTCTCTACAGCAGTCTACCATGAACTACTCCGATCAGTACACAGGTATAAGCTCGTACAATTCCTGTCATTTCTCATGTGAAGAATCGAACCAGTTGGAGTCAAGAATGTCTGCTCGACTGCAAGATCCTCCAAATGGAATTGGCGACAAGGACACCATCCGTTGGCATATCCTTCCGTTTACCCACATCTTCCACGATCTCTTTGCTCAGGATACCACTTGCACCCCTTGTCTCCACCATAATGGATACCATAGGCTCAGTAAATTCAGGGTGGCCCTGGACCGCAAAGATATGCACATCCTCCTCCTGCCCATCCTGAAATTTGACCATTCCTTGCACGGGAGCAACAGATGTTGACGCGAGCAGATGAAATCCTGGCGGGAGTGACGGCACATGATCCCGATGCATCTGCTGCATCACCAATTCGCCTGGCTTGCCAAAAATCTTCTCCCCCAGCGGCGTCAGCTCAATCTTGGTCGGACCGACCTCCCAGCCAGCCGTGTTGACCACACATGCCTTATCCCCGCCCAACGCACGGGCGATAATTTGATGTCCGAAGCAGATCCCAATGAGTTTCACCTGTGGATGCAAGGAAGCAGTGGTTCGAACGAAATCCACCAGCTTGTGTATCCATGCATCGTTTTCGTGAGCAGAGTGTTTGGATCCAGTCAGCAGAATTGCGTCGTAGGAAGTTGGATCTTCAGGATAGGCCTTGGCAGAAACGACGTCATAGGGATCGAGTGTGAATGAAGGGGCGGAAGGGGCGGAAGAGAGAAGGCGATGGAAGATTACGGTGTAGTCTCCGTACGTGGAAACGACTGCGGGTAAAGGCGTATCGCACAGAAGAATGGCAAGCTTCATTGGAGACATACTGGAAAGACAAGTGGTGCATATCCGATATTCCGCATCGGAAAAGGGTCGGGCCGGTGCGGGAAAACCCGCGTCTTCCTACGTTTAGATATCCGATACATTATAGGGGAGACATCGATCCAAAAAGTCGAGGTCACGGTCGACATGAAAAGATGAGGTCCCTAAAATGACTGCTCTAAAGGTGCCGGGCAGGAATAATCAATCATCTGAGGAACATATATAACTTATGGATAAACATTGTGATCCGACCTGGGCCTGCGCGCCTATCAGACGATTGGCGCCTAGGTATTAGTTCATCTAAGTGACAGCCTGAGGAATGGTGCATCTTTGCTTTACCCCCCCACTTCCTGCTCGTCATCAGTATCCAGAGTATGCCCATGGATAAAGGGAATTTTGTTGCTGGTCCAGAAATATGTGGGGAAGCCTAAAAAGGCAGTATTTACATTTTTAGATTTATTTAAAATAATCTGATTAGGGATTTGCACTACTACTCTCTTCACTTTTCACCACCACGACAATGTCGTTTTCTGACGATTCTGAACTTACGGACCTCTCGTCTGGTGATGATGACGATGTACCCCTTGCGGTGAACTCTACTCGAGGGTCGCGCCAAAAAGCCGTGATCAATCCTGTACTGCGTGCTCCAAGGACAGTGTCGTACTCGGTGGAATCATTGTACAGTCCGTCAAGCCGTTCATTTGTCGGCTATGTGTCTTCTTAATACCATTTAATGCTACAGGGAAGCTTTATGACAATACGCTGGACTTGGATCCCGAATACCAAAGAGGTTTGTTGACTTTCATACATGACCTGGTATTTTCTTATCTTTTCCCCAAGATGTCGTGTGGCCGGACACCAAGCAAACTCAGCTTATCGACTCGCTTATTCACAATTACTATATACCGCCTTTGATATTCGGTGCGTCCATCACTGGTTACTGGTTGATCCTATCTGTCTGACCAGTTTACAGCGGTATCGATCAGCTCTGAAGGAGAGGAGAAACGAATATGTATCGATGGAAAGCAGAGACTGTCGTCAATACAAAGATTTATGGATGGACATGTGTGTGGCGTTCTTTTTGTTTTCGGCCCATTACCTGACCTCATGTTTTTCTACAGATCATGCGTGTGTATTGTATTCCATCTCTGCTCCTTCGAATCTAACGTTTGTAATAGACAAAGACTCGGTAAATGGCGGAAAATTTTGGTACACTGCTGGCGCCGGAAAGACAACTCGCACGCTTCTCCCTTCCCAGCTCAAATCTCGATTCAGTAACAAGCAGATCACTTGTGTGGAATATGACGACCTTACATATGACCAAGAGCGGGAGATATTTCGGCGCGTGCAACTCGGCGTCGCTCTCACCCCTGCGGAACGACTGCAGGCCATCAATGGCAGCTACCCGATCCTCATCCGTGAAATAAAGGACAGGCTGTCCTCTCCATCAGGTTTAGAAGGGTATCTGCCTTGGGGAAACAGCCGAGGACGCGATTTCATGTGTCTAGCACAAGTTGTCTACCTCATCGATCTCGGGCAAAGCAAGACTGAGCCATCTACAACGAAAATCGAAGCTTGGCTTTCGAATAAGCGCGATGTCACACCTAAGCTACAGCGAAACGTCGACAGCACCATTGACGTGCTCTGTGAGCTGGCGCAGGACCCAGCTTTGTCTAAACCATTCAAGGCGCCCAAAGTCTCCCCTGTTGAGTTCGTCATGATCGCCTATATGATATTTCTCTATCGCGACCAGCTTTCCATGCGGCAGTTGTCTGATGCCGTAGACCAGATACGAAAAAGCGTTAGGAACGATTTCCAGGAGATCCGTTTCAATTCCAAGGTGTACAAGAACATGCTTGCGTTCGTGCAGAGGATGAAGAAGATGACTTTTAAGAGTGACGGGAAAGGGGATCCACCAGCCAGCCAGGTCGCGAAGCCGGTACCCAAGGTGAAAGTGGCTCAGATCAAAGAAGATGTGGACATGGAGGAGCTGCCGAGAAAGACTACCACAGACAAAGGGAAGCAGAAGGCTGAGCCAAATAAAGCAAGGAAGCGCAGGCGGGTCGACGATTCGGATTCTGAAGAGTGGACTGGGAGCAGGAATTTCTCGACCAAAGCAAAACCGAAATTGACCGCCACAAAGACCACTGCCGCCAAGACCACTTCCGGACGGGCTGCATCTTCTACAGCTCGTACTACGACAAATTCCAAAGCTGTCGCGGTTCTTCCAGCACCAACGAAGCATGTATCACCGACTCCAAAAGGAGGGACACCAGTTCCTTCATTACCCAAAGCCAAGTCCACAATGAAACCCAAACTTTCTGTGATATCCACAGATGTATCGAGTCTTCCACAGACCGCTACCCCACGAAGCAAGCTGCTTAACAGCACGGCCAGTGTTATCGGATCGCCAATACTACCACCATCCTTGAGTAGATCTACACCCAAAGCACCCATGGTCCCTATGCCCAAGATAAATAAGACCCCAAAAGCTGCCGAGGTTGAGCAATTATCAGCCTCCCTATTGAATACCAGCCTGTCCACTCCTGCACCTACGCCAATTCTGCGTCCTGCCCTGGCTCCTACATTTATTCAGGAACCACCACCACCAAGGGCACCTTCCCCTGTAATACGTGTCAAGGAGGAACCACGAGACGATAGTCCATCACTTTGGTCCTCCTCCTTCTCAGGGTTAGGAACACAAGACAACCCTATCGGTCTGGACCTTCTCGCGCCCATGAGGGCTGCAAAGGCCAGGCTTGAGGCTTCTGCAAGGACTAGAGATCCTAGATTGAATCCTCAGCCTCCATCAAATCCCACGCCGAATCCCGTAAATGGAATTCCGATCCCGAATGTAATGAATAGTGGTGGAATACCAATACCGATCCCGATCCCGATCCCTTTCCAATCGGATGCTAGCGGGTACGGTGCATCCAGGCGTTGGGATATTAGGAGATACCCTGGTCCTCCTTCTACTGCCGCTAGCGGGTTCCCTCCCCCGCCTTCAAGTGCAAGCTCGAGCACTTTCAATGCACCGATTGAGAGAAGGTACTCGGATTATCCCTCGAACCATCACAACGACTCGCCGACCTCTCATGTGAAGCGTGAGCTGGATGATAAGGATAGGCGGCTGAGCTATAGCAGCCGCGGGAGAGATCGGGAGTATGACTATCGGAGAGGCAGGAGCAGGAGCAGGAGCAGGAGCAGGAGCAGGAGTCGAAGCCGGGAGAGGAGTCGTAGGAGGAGTCGTAGTCACAGTCCGAGATATGGAAATTCCCGCAATGGTATCAAGCCCTTACCCCCTCAAGGTCATTATGAAAGCAGAGGTAGAGGATTATGGGGAAGAGGAAGAGGCAGAGGAAGAGGTGGATGGCGAGGTAGTTCCAACACATATGGAAGTTGAGCATCTTGAGATGTGATTTGGTCATGGTTAAGTAATAATACCTCATGATATACGAGTTTCGCTTATGTTACCATACACTTGATATGTAGTTTTCTTGTAGTGGCTTCTGCCTAATGAGAGATACCAAAGACTTATGCTCACACTAATCGAAAGAATGGTCCTTCCTGCTTGGACTAGCCACTGCTCAGACAAACTTGAAATTAAAGATGACCATCAATGATATAGTTGCGGTGGAAGTTTAAAATAGGGGCTGTGATGAGACAGGAAACAAGTCCAGGAGGAGGAGGATATAGTCTAGAACTTTGCACCAGTAGTAGGCAATGAGCGGGGCGGAGGGTTCTACAAGTGGAAATGTGCTCAGCTCGCATTCAGAAGTAAATAATTCGCCTTCACCTTTGACGAGTACCCCTCGAAAGGATATGAACGACCCGTCGGAGCCGTACTGGGTCCCTGCCTCAAATTTGCAAATATCTTCTTACTCTTCCCTGACACACTCGGCGAACTCATACGGACCGGTGCTGATGATGGATCATATTTGGCGGCGTAGGTCGTCGTCGGCAAGGACACCGCCGCAGTCGCTCGAGGACCTTCAATCTGGCTAGGCTCGATGTCAAAGCCAGAAGATTCTTCTTCTTGTCTCTTACTGCGGGAGCGGCGAATGAAGTAGAACACCCCTAGAGCAAGGAGAAACACGGCGACTATACAAGGGTATGAAACTCTGCAAACATCTTGATTACAGCGTTTATGCTCACTGACGACAACACCGATGGCCACCTTGACAGCCGTCGATATCCGCTGTTTGCATACGTTGTCGCCGGAACTGGATGTGGCGCCATCATGAGAAATAGAAGTTGATTTGAAGCCATAGGCGAACGCACTCAGTGGTGTGACAGACTTCGGCCGCTGAAACTACAGGCAGATACGCCCACAGTGTCGCAACATATAATGTTGAAGTAGCCAAAGATTGCCCGGCTGCACCAGACTCGTGATGGCGAAGCGTGGTCTCGACCCTTTCACGACGAACGGAAGACGTGACTGTCAAAACGGGAGCGCAACCAGTGCTCATGATAATCGCTCAGCGATAACTATTTCGCAGTGTCGTGTACTGGAACCGCGCTGCAGCACCAGTTGAAGGGAGGGGAAGGAGGGAGGGGAAGGGAGCAGCAGTCAAAACAGCGAGACCCTGTCATATATATTGTCAACCATTATCATCAATCAGCGGTGGTGGAGACGCGTCTCATGCACATCTAATGCGTTGTTCGTCGAAATCTTCTTGTTGCGGTCTAAAACAGTGCTACATCATGATGAGGAACATGGAAGACGGGGATTGGGTAGATACGTACTACAATCAAATTCGTATCGTTGAAAAGATAATACACTGCAAAAATAATGTGTCTATCTATCGGCGCCTACTGTATCATCATCAGCTTGGGATGATGGCTACAGGAAAAGGGCCCACCGGCTGTTATGTAAAGTTCGTCAAACAGCGTGCTTGTGAACAGAGTACCGTTAATTGAAAGTATGTAGCCCTTCTTTCTTGATTGTTTCGCCGAGCCTCTCAATCCCGACATTGAGAGCAACAAGGGGAAGCACCGCATGTACATGTTCTACATCCTATCAGAAATATACAAGTGGAAAAATGCCACATACTCTTCGCGACGTCGGGGTCATTCAGCAAGACAGACAGCGTCCTCCGAATTGGCTCAAGAAGTTGACGATCAATATTTTTTAAATTGTCTCGGTCACGGATGCCAGTCTGGAATTGGACGCACTTCAATACCGATATGCTGGGAAGGAAATTATGACATACCTGATTTTTCTTATCTTGTAGAATGAGGACATAAAGCAAGGCGAGACATTCGACAAGTCGCGTAGGTTCAGATGAGTCTTCCAAGACAGTCAATGAAGGCGCCGACGAGAAGAAATCAGGCGGGTTGGGGCGGAACAATATTGGTCCAAGGACCTGCAAGAATCGTGGAGAGGCAAAAAGATTTGAGGAAGGTGCGTGACTCCCGAACGCTTCCAGAACGGCTTCCTTCATGAGGCCCACTGCTGCAACTCTCATCTGAGGAAAGTCACTTGTCGAACAGAGATCTTTCAAGACTTGAAGCCGAAATGGAGGGGGGGACAATGACAGTATTAATGAGAGGACGCGAAACGTCTGGTGACGGAGAGATGAGTCGGGGTGCGTGCTAGCCAAGGATGGCAGGACAGCACACAGTGGCATCGATATATCTTCAGATATCTCGGCGTGGTAGGGACAGAGAACGTCCAGAAGGAACGAAACGCATTCATCTAGGAAATGATTCGCTCGTATGCAATTGATAATGATGGGTAGCATTGTAGATAGCGTTCTGATAGTTTTGAGAGAGTCGTCCTGGCAGTGAGCGAGAAGAACGAAGTGACATAGTGAAGGGGTCGAAGCCAGGGCCTTGGCCGAGAAGCCAATGAGATTATACGAGTTCTATATCGACACTTAGTACATGAGTAGAAAAGGAAGGAAATCACGTACCAAAACCGCATTGATGGCATTCTGTCCTTCCTGCCATCCTGCACCGGGCACAGAACGAAAGCTCAATCGTGGGAACCATCTTGTGAAAGTTCTCGTGGCAAGCGAGGTCTGTAAACACTGCCCATAGGACATGACGGTGCTGTCGAGAAGATTCTGATACAGTATCTACGGTGATTGTGAGTCAGAGAATACAAAGCAGATTACGGGCGCACGAACCCGACAAGATGCTATCTCATCCTGTTGCGCATCCGGCTGCATTTTTGCCCATGAGTCTAGCTTTACTACGAGGTCGGCAGTAGCTTCCATGATCCGACTTCCTTCCTCCCGAGAGCTATGTAGCCCTGCACGACGGAACGCAGACGCCAGCTCTATCACAATAGGTTTCAAGGTTTCACTCACGGGTTCCTTCCCGAACTTGAGACGCGGAATAGCTTGATACACAGATAAAGCTCCAAACGCGTTAAAAATCGACGACAACACACCTGCGGCATACATCCCGATTAGCATCAAGAGTTGTCCATTCGGCTCGACCTGCTCATCGTCGATATCAGTGGCGAGTTGATGCTCCAGTTGTTCCACGGCTTCCTGTACGCCAATGACAATCTCCATTGCGTTGCAGCATTTTCCCATGAGATCGAGAATATTCGACGCGACCTTCTCTGAGCTACCGAGAAGAGGTTGTAATGCGTTTAGCGGATCCTTATCATCGTCAGCGGAAGGAAGGGAAGACTCTGGGTGGTACACACTAGTAGTGACGCGGTAGAGCTGTCATTGACCAATTCATCGTAAATATCCGTCAAAGTTGGCTTGAAATCGTTGTCGTGACTAGCCATCGTTATCAGAGCAAGAATTTCCGTGCTTTTTTCCTGAATGAAATTGAGGAACATTAGACACCGACATTATAGAGGAGACCGCCTACCTCATCAGAAGCTTCGTCAGGAAAACAGAACACAGGCATGTACAAGGACAGTAGGCAACAACCGTTTGACTGTTTGGCCTTATCACTCACTACCAAACATTATGACGCATAGTTTCTGAGTTCGTTGTTCATCGACGCTCGGCCATTCACTGAACATTCGGTTGTACTCGTCAAAATAAATATGAACTACTCTAGTATACATTGAATCTTTTCAATCGGGACCTAAGATAACAGCTGCTAAGTACTAAGTACAAGAATGCTTATGAGGTCGAAAAGTGCCTCAGACCAAGGGCTATCAGAAGAATCGAGTACTCATCGGTTTCTTCCCATCAACGAGCCTTCGATGCACAATATTGCTACTGAAAGAGGACCACTGCAAATACCGGTCACTTCACTTCAAGAGGAAAGACATGAACGATCAACGTACCCCGTTCCCGACAAAAACAGCTGCTTGCCGAGCGATATCCATATCAACCGCCATACTCAGCTCCTTCTGCTCCGCAGAATCCCAAGTGAGATCTCTACTCGTCCGTATCGTGCTCCATCCCTCGACTCGCAACGCCTCCCTCAATTGATCCAACCACGTTCCCTTCTCGTTAGTCAATAAATACATCACGTCCAACGTTTTACCTGTTCCCTGCAGATACTCCGTCCGCGCCAGCCGCACTTTCTTGATAACGTCCTCGAAGGTAGGCAAACATCGGCCCATATAAACAGCATCTCTTTCTGGACCGTATTCACCTGGGGGTACAGCGAACCGATCAGGCAGAAATTCGAGCTGGTTCCATCCATAGAATGTAGAGCTATACAAGGAGAAATGCTTGCAAGCACCCTCATAATCTCCACGACGCAGGTGCATGGCAAGCATACGCTCGTATGGATTATGACTGGCTGGATGGGGAGGACGAGGACCCTTTGGTAGGAAGAGGTACTCATTCTTATCGACACCAGATTTGACGATAGGCGAGGTCGCAAGAAGTCGAGAAGTGGGCGAACTCGAAAAGCGCTCCCACATGGAGAGCAGCCGGGTATTTCCCCATAACCACAGGTCGAATACCTGAGGGAAGGAATCTTCAGGGGATGTGGTGACCTCGATACATGACTCCGGAGCTTCGCGGAGGACGCTGACCCATGTGTCGAACATGACATCCCCCTCCGACCATCCTACATGTTGCTTGACTTCTGAGGTGGGGATGAAACGACGTTCTGACCGAGGGCAGACGACATCAAACCACTCAGAGGAGATAGATCGTGGTGTATCGTCGTCTGGTTCCCAAAGACCACCTGCTGCGGGCCCAGCAAGAAGGGCGCTCAGGGGCGTTTTCGGGGGCCAGTCGTATTCATCCTTCTTCGTCCACGGATAATGCGCTGGCTCCCATATGTAATCTTGGAAAACGTAAGCCCGACCGGACTCGTGCGCAAGATGAGCATCCATGAGCCTGAAAAAAAGGATGACTATCGGTAAAAGAAATAATGAGTAGTAAAAAACGCACACCACGCCAAGTACATTGTTCCATCCAAGCATCTGTGTCTGGCTCGAGAATTTCACGTAACGACCCGTCTTGCCTTCGGGTGCTGGTAGGCTGAAGTTGTGTTGGGGAAGATCGTGCTCCCACTGTCTGAGCCAATCATAGTTTGGAGGATAGTCGGTGTTGATAACTGGCACCGCGGGTGGAGAAGCAAGAACACCGTTCACCACAAGGTCATAGTAGCGCTTTCCCGAAACTACGGTCTGGGTGCGTGTCAACAACACGGCTCCTACCAGAATCAAGGTTATGACCAGCGTCACTGCGCGCCGCCCACTCGCTAGAAAGCGATAAGACGCATTGGCGGTAGCGACACCGGGGTAAAACCATTTATCAACAACCATTGAATGTCGGGGCACTGGAAAAGTTAGAAAGAACTTTTATCGTGATTACAGAGTCGCCATAACACAGTCGGGGATAGTGAGGGAGGAAGAGGTTGATAAACTCACTCGCAGTCATCTTATAAGGTCCCATCGTCGGGTTACCATCGCTGCGGATGAGGTGAAGCACAGCGATTTTAACTTGCCTGAAACATCACCCGTGATCTGTCGTCCGATCAATACCCAATCGAGAGCAAGTTGTTTGATATATTCATTCCCTCTGAATAAGGTTCCCGCTGCATAAAAGGGACATAGAATCGTCCGAGGACTCAACAAATGTCGTTAGGACGGCTGGATAGACGCTGTGAAAAGGGTTGGTAGCCATCAGCATCCTCAAGGCTCAGAAGCTTCCTGATACCTTATATGTCTGTAGATCCCACTGTCGAGCTACCTGGGCACCTCCGAGTCACCACCGAGGCGGAGCGTCTGTTAAATATCTTTCGGATGCGAGACAACTCTGAGAGCTTCTGCGCGGAACAAAACGACTAGGCGTTCATGCTGGTACCCTGCTGCTACGCTCGGACAGCATTCATCACAATACAAAGAGAGGCTGTAGGGCCCCAAACTGCGGGGTTTGACCGCTATCTAGGCGCCAAGGTCAAAGGAGTTACCCTACAACGTCAACTCGGTCTCGCCCTCAGGCAAGCGCAGCAGGGCGCTGTCTCGCAGTACCGCGGATCCGTGAATGCATCAATAAGTATTTTGGGTATTTGCAGACATATCAGAGCGGCGAAGAGAATATGAATCATTATATGAAAACCAGCATGGCCTAAGTAGGGTGACTTGGTGTCCAGTGCGCAAAAACGAAAACCCTGTCGCCACCTTGTCCCAATAGCAATTTATGCACACTGACAGCAATGATTGAGCAACAGTAACAAGCAGGAAGGATTTACGTACCACGCCTTTCATATCCGAACCGCTGGTGTTCATGATAAGTGCGACAATGAGACCTGTAGCATTTTAGGAGAAAGCACAAACTTTGGTAGATTGAAGCGTACCGTAGAGACCCAGCACTTCAGCGAAAATGAGGATCAAAATCTATGAGAGTTTTAAAGGCAGATTTCTCTAAACAATTTTTTTTTTTGCATACCATGCCGACGAACAATCTAGGTTGCTGAGCAGTTCCCCGTACTCCAGCGTCTCCAACAATACCGATAGCGAAACCAGCGGCCAAACCGGCAAGACCTACGGAAAGACCAGCACCCAACTGGACGAAACCTTGTGCGAGAGACATGGTGACGCTCACTATAAATGCACCTAAGCATTACACTCAATCTGCAGACAAGTACACGTACAGTCACCGGCAATAAGGACGGAAACAACCAAGCCATAGATCTACGTAACAAAGGTCGTCAGCATGCTGAAAAGTGATACATAATAGCAGTCCTTCTTCCAGCAAGGCTTAAGAGTGTCAAGAGACTTACAGCAATGATACCAGCCATAATAACGGGAACGACACACTTCATCATCAAATCAGGGCGTAGCACTGACATTGCAGAAATGCCGACACCAGATTTTGCTGTACCATAACTGTGCGAGAGCAACGAATGTGAGCATTCACATTGTCTTGCTGGCTATCAAAATTCGACAAACCTTGCTCCTATACCTGGTTAACACCCAGAAAGACGTTATCCATCAACATTACTGTGCAGGACAACCAAAGCGAGCTCCGAGAAACGCCTACGCACAAGTAAACACGATAGCGCTGGTGCATCCCTGAAGGTCAGTCACGTCAGCCTTCCGAACCAAAGACAAAGCGAAGCGCCTCACCATTGCACTGAAAAAGGGAGCGTACACCGGGCAGAGGTCGGACATTCTGGAATACAACGAACGGTTTATTGATTAAAAAGGAGAAGGAATAGAGAACTCCAAGGGTGATTGAAAGAGGCGGTGATGGGACGAGCGCATACGTCTGCGGTTGTTTGGCCATCGGCAGGGGCCGGGCGGAGTTCATCGGAGTATAAGCAATGTGGCGCCAATCCGCGCCGGCTCAATACTAATTTATTCAAGGCAAGTATCAGCCTTTTTCGTTGCATGACACTCCTACAAACGATACCTGACATTTGACAATTCTCTGACGCCGACAAGAGGCTGTAACCATCCTTCCTCTTGGTAGCTTTCTCTCGGAATTTGCTCATCACGCGCGCGCGCGATATTGCACCAAAGAGAACGCTCCGCTCCTTCGGGACTCGCCAGAACAGAACTTGAAAGAAAATTTTCATGGGATGCCTTTTCTCGAAGTCGTTGCTGATGTCAGGTAACAAAGGAGACTATGTTAGGCTGGTAAATCAACACAAAACCCCTCTTGTTAGGTCAATCGCGTAACTGGATCCCGTCCATTTGGATGACCCTCATAAGACTGGCATTGAAAACTCGCTGAACAAGGTAGCATTTCATTGTTAACTTTTCAATCCTGTTGAACTTATCCGTACAGGGTAGAAGCTGGATTTCGGCTTTCTCGTCTATTCTCTGGATGCTACAAAGGTTCTTGGGTGACACCCTGACGTACCCATTACACCCCCAATTTCCAGTTTCCGCCTGGGCCACAGCTGGGCCCCTGAAGAAGATCCTGCTAAACCAGAAGAAGAATACAGTCACTACCCTCATAATCATCGACATGCTGTTCCGCTCTCCCCGACCAACGGTCTGCACGAGCCATGCATATTCCATGCGCTAGCTCCCTCTCTAACAGGACGGACAAATTGTTATCCATAAGCTCCTTTGAACCAGGCTATGGGAAGTTGTATATCTTTCTGCGAGTGCGCAACACCATGGCCGGATGATCATCTTCAAAGCTGTTTCCCAAGACGAACTCGCAGAGACCGAGAAACGTGTGTGGGTAACGTACTTCCGGCCTCCTTGGGACCAAGAACTCTAATTCTTGTTATCACGGATCTCAAACCTCAGGTCAGGACATGAATAACATGCTCTTATAAAAGATCTCAGTCTGACGCAACTAGAAGCTGGCCTTCCCTTCTCGCTAAACTCCCAGTTCGTGATCCAGAACCGGGAATGTTTGTTTGCTGATAGAATGCGTCGAAGCCAAGTCATTTTTGGAAGACGACGTAATAGAGACGGCCGCAAGCGGGGGTCGCAACTATGTATATCAATATCTGCGACTTGTCAATGCAATAAATGCCTTCACTGCCTGGATGCTTTATCAATTCTCGTAGACTAAGCGCTTTACCTTTTGTCACAAGGTTCACTGAGGACGCTGTGATCCTGGTAAACCTCTGCTCCAGAAGAAAGGGATGTGACGCTAGCAATATGAGGTGATGGCGTCTGAGAGCTTCGTATAATAGCCCTATCATCAATTACTGGTACATCAGACTCGTAGAGTAACAATGCTATCAATGTGATGCCCTTTTCCCTATCCCATCCATCAGCTGCAAAACCAAGCAACAAAGAGAACAAAAACACACCATCAACGAACATATTTCTCGTGGCAGCCGGAAGCCTAACCTCCCATCTTCCATCGTGTATGTCCTTGGTCACCTTCACCTGGCACCCCAGCCGGCTCGTCTCCGTCAAGCCAAACGCCATATCCAGCATATCATTTTCGTCATCCCCCGGCTCCTCCAGCTGGTCGAATACCTCCTGCTCTAATATGACATGACACGTTGAGCACGCTATTGAGCCCTCACACGCGCCTTCCAAGTCAATGTCGTACTCATGCGCGATAGAGAGAATGTCGTCCCCTTCATTAGCTTCGACGGTTTTTATTAACGTTCCTTTGGAATCTTTGAAGTCAATAACGATACTGCTAACTATGAGCGCGTCTGAAAGTCGAAACAAAAAGTGACCCGGACGCACCCCGTTCCGGGTTTTGGTCTATCAATCCCTCCGTGTCTGGTCGCTTTCTTTACCAGTTAGTAAGATAAACATTCAATATGCAAAAAGAACCAACGTATCGACCGGTGAAACCCACGGGTACTCCAGGTTGCGGCAAAAGTGTCTCGCTTTGGACAGGCCTTGAGGTAGGATGGCCTCCGCGAAGAAACGCTGAGCAAGTCCAAAGCCAATCCGCGAAGCATTATGGTTCAGAAATGTTCGAACGAGCTAGCCAAGGCTGCTCTCAGATGTCGATGAACGACGCGAATGGGGGTTGGTGGAAGAAGAAGTTAGCTAAAAATTCCGATCGGCTTGTATGACGCATCACACAGCCGGATTCTGACTTGTTCACATTCTCATGCCCAAGCATCGTATACAGTCCTTGGAAATAATCTGTGGCTCCGCCTATTAACTTAGGTATTGTTCCATAAAATAAATTGTACAACTGGGCCCGTTGCCGAACCATCAAGTACTGAAAGTAAGTACGCTGTCACGAATTTTTAGCTTTGTGCTTCTTTCCGCACTCCACTCAAAGCGGACTAGGGTAAGGCTCTCAGAGAGTGTCATGTTTGCTACGGAAACAGAAACGATAAGCACCAAACGCTAAGCCGCAACATCGCTTGACATACCTTCCTCGCCCACATTGAACGAAAGAGTCTTGAACGGCTCAGAACCGGCATGTCCCTGGCGCGGCGGTGCACCAGGATTAAAAAAACTCGAAAAACTGGAACCGACTTTCCATACCAACACAACGCTTTCCTCGAGAGATAGTGTAACCAGCCGCCGCCCATCCGGCGAGAAGCTACATGCCGTGATACCCTTCTTATGCCCCTCAAGCACATACAACCGAATAGCCGTCTTCAGATCGTACATGACAATCGCACCCTCACTTGTGCCGACGGCTAAGCGCTGAGTCGACATGTGGAAATCGATGCAAGGATACCTAGAAAGTAAGTGAGTCCGACTCACATTCTCACATGAAACTTGACATGTTGCCTACGTCTTCACAACGTGGCCGATAATTTCAGTCGCGGTATCCAGAATGGCATCTCTATGAGAAGTTGAATTAGGGTCCAACGACTTCACAACGGCTTCCATCAGTTTTGGCAGATTTGGGTAGAGTACCATGGGTCGCTGCTTGCATGTCAGAGTGAGTCAGACAGTCATGTAATCCCGCGAACCTTTCGTATCAGAAAAGCGACGATTTGCAAGATCGATTTTCGGTATTCGACACCGGCCGGACTGAGAATGTCAAGCCCCAGCGTTGTCATAAACAAAGGCGTGTTGGAGGCGGCAATATGCAGTACGGCTAACCTTGCCTGAGCACCTATATTTTGAGTCGAAATGGCTTCCTTCCGTGAAGTGGTGGCCAGTATGAACAGCAACCTGAGAATTTCCATTGCATCGATATAATGTTGCCAGACATGGAAACCACGGGAGCACAGGTCGATAGCAAGCACTCTGAAGATAGACCGCCCATCTTGGAGGTATAAGGCTATTGACTTCGATATGTCCGTCAAAACACTAGAAACACGGGTGAATTAAATGATTCAGGTACTATGTAGCAGCAGCTCCACACCTTGATGCGAACAAACTATATTTTTCTGCAGCAAGATACCCGCAAATGAAAAGTGAAAGAGCCGCCTGAATGGATTCCCTATCAGCAGTCGGTTGTAGGCACGGAACTTTTCTCAACGTTAGAAGATCGTAATTGACAAAACATTGTAAAAACGTACGATGATGCTGCCATTGCTCTGCAACAGCATTAGCCTCTTCATCGGATAAGCGCACGACAGCCGCGTCGAATAGCAACCGCGAGCTTTGCCGCACTTCATCTGCCGAATTATCTCATTAGCCGCAGGGTCAAGGCATGCGATGTCACCTACGAGATGTGTTGAACCACTGCCTCGCGAGATATGAAAGGCTGTGGGGCTTGTAATTGGGACCAATTATGAAAGGTAAGGATGTAGCATAAAATGCGATAACAGTGTTCGCGAAATCTGTTAACTCTGTGAAGAAGTATGATGTTACATAAACTCCTCGTAGATTACACGAGAACAATACCTTCGAAAAGTCCTAGAGCACGAAGAGTGACAGTTATGGATAGTGCACGTGCAGCGGAAACCTCGCTCGATATACACCATGGGTCGCTCGGGTGATTGGATCGATAGATACATGTAAAGCCGTGACTACAGTGGATCAAAATACAATTGGTTGACCAAACTTAAATCAGCACTGACCTCGAGGATCCGGGGCGTGCCAATGATGTTCCAATACCCAGATGATCTCGGCATATTTCGTCAGTGTCCTTATTTAATCCCGGAGTCAAGAGGACCGAAAGGAGAGAGAGAAGCCGGTTGCGAGTTGAGAAAATCGCTTGCGTTTGAGAAAGATTCGTACTGATAGTCTTTATAACCGTCGTTGAATAGGTTATGAATCGTCCAAGATCCAAAAAAAGTGTTTTTACTATTGAAATCAGCAAAACGAAACATAACCGGAAGAGCCGGTAGCATACCTGCAGGTAGCGCCTGTCCAGGTAGCCTCTTCAGAACAGTATCCGGAATACAATCATGGCTATCAGCAGTTCTGTGGGAGATTAGGTGAGAATGCAACATAAAAAGACTTGTTCTTACAGTTCGAGCCATCGTTCTTTCCCGATGAGCTCCTCAGCCTTATCCAAGCTCAAGGATCTCCTGAACTCTCTCGTCTTGGCGTCCCACATACGAGCACGTCGGTCTGCATAGATAAGCAGAAGCTCGTCATTCCCCAAGCATATTCTGACCAGAGGAAAGACGGATCCAGGAATTAGGTACAAGCTAACATAACATTAGGACGCGACTTCCGAAACGGAGTATAGCTTACAATTGGAAGCCGTCTACCACAACAACGGCTATTGTTCCGTCTTGAGATACACATAGGACGCACCCGCGAAGAGGTCCAGTTGTCATCTTATGAAATTGATGGACTTGTGCCAGAGGCTCGGCGAAAACGATCCAGCGGGCACAGAGTTTGAGAGTGCTAGTGATAGAAGCATGATCAGATACACCCAAGAAAAAAATGACTAACATACTCATAAGTCCAGAATGCGATCGATCCATCATCCGCTCCGCCGACAACGTAACGCTCCTTAGTCCTACCATTTCGAACCACATGCAAAGCCATGATATATCCGCTGAGGGGCATGTCAGATTCTTTTTGCTTGACGGAGAATGTAGGTGCTGATTGACACAGCTGAGAAAAGGAAGTTTGCCGCAAGTGTCCGTCACCTAGATAAGAGTGACATTGGCTGCATATAATCAAAGAAGTTGATCTTACTATGGCCTGTAATCGCTGCATCCAACTCTAGTGGTAAGATGGACGTTATAGCGGTATGTGCTGCAGTGGAGTCAGACGAGATCTTCGGAGGTCTCCAAAGAGTTCGTGAACGCTGCTTTGGAGAAGATGCATCATCATATGTGACATAACGGAGCTGGCGTATCCCATCGTTTCGCGCAATAGTCAATACGAGAAGTTCTCGCGAGGAAATAACGTGAAGCGTATCATGTGGTGCAGTATCCATGGCGTATAAAAATCCTGGTCTGAAGGAACCATCAGAAAATCGGGGGTAGCGGGAGAGAAAAAAACTAACTGAATATAGACCGTGCTTCCATGGTTTGTCTTCCCAACATCATCGTTATTCGCATCGACGAACCTAAAAATGTGAAATTCAACGCCCCCCTTGACTCGACATTAGTTTCGTGCCAATAGCAGAGCGAGTAAATACATACCTCGGTAATGATAGCATATGTTGAATCGTCAATCCATTGAATATCGTTCACATTATCCACTGGCTGCACGAACAAATTCTGCAGCGTGGAACCACAATAATCAAAAGCCTATCTCTGTGTTAGAATATGACGAGTTCATCAGATGTACGGCGATACAAACTGTAATATGTGTTTCAGACCAACAGAGTCCACGCAAAGCACCATCGCATGATCGTGTGCGCATGCCAGATAATGAATCAGGAATCTCTAACGGGCCAGCATCAATTGTCTGACCTAACGAGATTCTGCCAAAATTCCGCTTGTGTACAGGCTGCACGGAATGCGATTCTGCAGATCGTGTTGTCATAGCTTTGAATGGATTCGATAACGAGGTTGCTTCTTGTGCTGGCAATTCGAAGGGTTGGACCAAAGGGTGCGCCGTCAAATGTAGGGTACAGAGTAACAGATGCTTTTCCCGTGAAAGATAATGAATAATTGTAGAATCTGTCGTTTATTTCCTGATGAGATCTGATCTTCCATTGCTTGTCACCACTTACTGTCTGAATCAGCATGGATCCCAACAGTAGTGTGAGAACCATCGATATGCCATTCGCCCACTTTCTCTAGAGAGGCCTCAATGGCACCAATGGCGTCACCAGGATGGTATTGTAATACCATTATACAGGATTCTGGAGAGAGGCTGTCACCATCTATATCCGCTGACAGAGATGACGAGTTGGCGTCAAGAAATGCAGATGCCAGTATCAGCACGGACTGATGTTATGTGTAAATATACTTTCCATGAAGAAGCAAAGTGTAGGCATGCCTCTCTGATGCTGATTATCTCAAGTTCTCTCCATCTCCAAACCTCATTGACAGCAGATCTGTCTTTCACGCCCTCAGGCGGTTCAAGTAATACGTCGCCGACATGGACAGTCGCTAGACATTTCCCATCCCTACATGACATCACAGACACACCACTAGAAAGGAGAGGTTAGGACCACCGTTGTACAGTTGTCATCGTGTCTTACCCATTCTCTCGCAAAACGACATAACGAGCGTCATTTAGAGGGCGAATTGAGGCTACAGCGTGACTTTGTCCGAAGTGCGGAGGTATAATACAATGCGAGAAGTCAAGCCTTGAACCATGTTCGATCAAAGGCTGCCTTCTCGGTGAGGCAGGTGTCGAAATAGATTTGGGAGTGAATGGTGGGGAAGTGGTGGCAGAAAGTAGTGAACGTGGCCTTTCTTTCCTTTGTTTAGCAGGAGAAAAGACTACTTCTGGAGACAGCGTAGGAGGAGCATGCCGCTGATTAGACGTGGTGTCTCGAAGTTCCGACGAATTTCGTCTATCCTTCGATCTACGGCCCTTCAGCATGTCTTTGAGTTTGTCGGGCTCATCTTCAAAATCGACATAGTTCTTTGGCGCTTCGACCTGCTCCGTGGTGATTCCAGACACAATTCGAGATCGTGGAGCGACAGTAAAAGGCGGAAATGTCGAAGTATTGCTTGTGGGCGACGTCGAACGGGAAGTAGCTCGAGAATCGGGGGAGACGCGCAGAGGGCTCGATGGCCTGGAAGATAAGGAAGAATCATGTGGCTTGGATACCACAGGAGTGGAAGGTATCAGCGAAGGGCGAAAGACAAACGAAGTTCCGTCTTGACATCCAACGACAGCATATCGTTCGCTGCCGAAGCACGAGTCCGAAAGACCCCAGGACGTTATCGCTGTTGCCTTGGAGCTCCCCTCACTAAGTGACGCGACGCTTTGAAAGTTCTCAGCATCATTCCCATTGAAAAAGGTCAATGGCACCGCCAATCTGCTTGATGAATTGTTGGGAGCAATCATGCTGTACTCAGCCTTGAAATTACGGTTAGCTACATTGATACAGGAAAATGCTGCTATACCACACCTACAGGTCTGTTTCGGTCTGCTATGTTCAATATTGCATATGGATCAGGTCAGGGTTGGACGCGCCATGTGACACTGACACGACGAGCAAAAATGGAATTTGCGACACTGAACCTATCCGCCCGCGGCTGCCTCGGTCGAGTCGACACTCATTAGTACAATATCAGAGATTCGTAAAAGTCTGCGGTGAGTACTATCAAAGTACTGCTCTCTTTTTTTGCAGGTTCACCCTTATCATCTTGAGCATCAAAAATTTCCCGGATCAAATCGACGTTGACAAGTTCTCAAGTTGAGCAACAGTATGTGGTCTTCATATTCTATTTCCTCTGTCTACGCGTGGGTAACCTTCCCTACGCTTATAAGATTTAATTATCTTTTTATTACCTCGACCCAGGACAGGCGTTGACGAGGTAACAACGTTCCCTTCTTATCTTCGGGGTTCTTAGCTTTAGAAATCTTTTCCATGGCATCAACCAGCTAAATTACTCGGTGAAGGGTACCCCAACATTCGATGCCGTGATTGCACACGGTTCCTAAGAGATTTATTTTGGGACGGAGGGCGTATTCTCCTTGATATTTCCCTTTGGATCTATTGCTGTCGATCTTGTTTCGAATACGACCATCCCCAACTAAGCCAGGGTCGCTCATACTGGTGAGGATAAATACTACTGGCTGCAGAAAGATTTCCTCCACTAGGCAAAGCACGAATTCCTGCCATGGGAGCACCTATCATGTCCAACACTTCTCTATCTCCCATTCCCCCGAGAGGTAATCATCCATCACTCAACGTATCTATCCTTGTGGCAGTCGCGTGTTGTCAGTTAACTTGCCAATTTGTGCCTTGGACTGTATCATCTCACCATTGGTTTCAGTTCTCTTGGCCTTTCTAACGACCGTTCTACTTTTCTTTTTTTGCCCTCGTTTCCGTGGTTGGCTGGAGACGGCGAACCAATTTTTTGCTAGGCGTATGTCCCATCTGTTCTTTATGTTCGGAAGGTCAATCTGAGGAAACTCTAGACATAGCTCCTCATTCCGTGTACTTATTTTTGCGAGGATCTGGGGGTCGCTCCTTGTCATCATGACCATCCTCGACACCTATCCGTTTTGGCCGTTCGGTAGCCTTTCTCCACTTGTCGCAATTTTTTTTCGGCAGATATTTCTCTTGTAACATCCGTGGCCCACTATACCTTACTTAGCATATTCTCTCTCCTGCCTGGCGCGTTCTGAATTCAATTAGTGTTCTTCCCTGACCCAGATACAATACGCCTCTCCTCATGCTTTCCGCCCGAAGGTCCACTCTCCGCTCACCGAACCTGTGACGATCTGCGGTCACAGAAGATCCAATTCATTGACGTTGACGCGCCGACACCCTGAATATATTTACATTGATATCTGTCACATCTTCAAATCATTGGCTAATTCCATCATTCCCGAAGGCCTTGTGGAATCCCACAAAACACCATCTCATCGTATCCTATTAACGGTACATCGTCGTGGTTACCGACAGCGGTAAGAGACGGTTTTCAGAGTTTCACAATCTGATTTTTGTCGAAGTCCTACCCAATCACGGCGTTACATCCCCTCTGTGTGAGGGTCCTCCATGCCGGTGGGTGCATCTTTCCTTTGTCACTCCACGTTTATACCCTGAACCCTGTTAGACGCCGCGGTGGCGCACCCCAAACTCGAACGTTCATTGTTTCGATGGGATAGTGATAGAGATGCAATCCTTGCCTATGCCACTTCTCTTTCTATTCTGTAAAGCAATCCTAAGAAAGGGTTTCTTGGCCCCGAGTCTGAGGAAGGAGTATGTCTCTTGGTTAGACCCTTTGGACTTTGCTCCCCTGGCAATTGGCGCTTATTACGGGCATCATCAAATCACTTCCGCATTCTAAAACAACTGTACTAGTTCTTATTACCTGTCAGGTAACAGCTCAGCCTACTTCCTCTTAATCTTAGGCTCATCACTCTTCTGTTCATTCTTTTTAACAGCAATATGGTGGGATTGGAAAGGTCCCGATTAGCAGTAAGTTTACAGGATTCGGCTGAGAGTGTCGTGTCGATTTCTTATTTCTGTTTGATTTCCAACAGATAACTGTGACCGGTGTTGGTGTCCAATTGCTTCAATGGGTCTCGGTTCTCATCTGGATATGTTACGGCTCCTCAATAATAACGAGACCTACTTTTCTACGTGCCAGTATGCCCCCACGATCCACGTTAATGCTTCTTTGAATCCGTAATGTTCTTATCTTCTATTCTAGCTGAACGTTGGGATTTTAGCGAGTCCCCATGCCAGAACCTCCGGCACTTACACCTTCGCATGATCATGTTAAGTCGTCCCACGTTATGCCGGAAGAAGCGCAAACATCTGACGAATGTAAGTGCGCACGCATTGCTCTGATCAGCTGTTCACTGTTGGTCAGGAGCCGGTGCCTAATACGAAAGCCAAGTTTGTGACAGTTCTATTCGTCCCTCAACTTCTTTACAGCTTCTGCGTTACTGGCAATGCAATTCAACATCGTCAGGAACAGCTCTGCACTGGGTCCGGACATCCTTGAAACCCGAATTCCTCGAAGCTATGCGTTTCTGCACCTAGGGAAATCCCTTGCACAACACCACACTGCCAATGTACAGCGACTATGACTCAGGTCATTCAGTCACAGCTCCAAAGACCGCATGCTTGACAGCTACAGTTTCCAGATGATACTTAACTAAGGAATCTTCAAATTGTTCTTACTATGACATCCCCAGCTTGAGCACTGAGCATTGGACAACTTTGCTACGAGGTGGTGATATCTCTTTGTATCGGAATTTTCGGAAATACACTGTTGTGGACACAAGTTAATTATGGGGTCTGCAAGTTCAGAAAATTCACAAGTGCAGCACAAGCTGCATAACAGCATTATTGTACTGCAAAACAGCAGCTTCATGGATAGTAATTTATAAGGACCGACGTCTTAAGTTATTTGTCCACCGTTCCATCGACGACTTGACCGTTAGACGACATGATTAGAGCAGTTCCCCCTTTCGTTCTTGCCATTTTTTCCATTATTTTACTTGGTCTCGTTGCTTTTATGCTGATTGGTAAGCGTACTGTCTGAAAACTCAGATTTTCATCCATTTAGTGTCCCTCTGCGCCATTAATATGGCATTTGTCACAGTATTTTGTCGGGTCTTTTCCCAGTGGTGTCAGCTCCGTCTACCTCTTAGGTCAGATGCAGGCGAGGGTCAGAGTGAAGCTGTCTATATACAATGGGCCTTTCTGACGCCATTACCCAACACCAGCCGCCCCGTCTTTTCACGTGAATGCGGGATGGGGGAGCGGACAGTCCGTTATGCAGTGGCTTAATTTTGGAGCTCGCTACATCTTCAACCCCCCACCCGTTGCCGAACTTAATGAACGCGAATCGGCAGGAGCCTTGCGACTGCCTGAAGTTGTGGTATTTTTCCGGAACGTCTATACTGTGCGTTACCTTTTCATGTCGTTTGCTATGAGACTCACAAATCTGTAGGGTTTATATCATCAGTTTTCAACCAGTAATTATCCCAGCTCTCGAATTTTGGGCGGCTGGTTGCCACGGTCACGCGCTCTTGAACATATTAATCATAGCATGGCATAAATGCCGGTGGGCAGGAATGATCTGGAATCCGATTTGTTGTACATTAGCTACTATCTCACAAAAAGGAAAATCATCACCGGGATCTCAAAGGATCGAGTTGTTCATCTATTGAGAACAATTCCTAGTGAAAGCAGAACGTGGTCTCAAAAGACCCTTATCTTAGCAAAATGTACCAACAAAGGGGGGAAAAATGCACTTTGTCCGGGCTGTCCTTCCGGAACATAGCATTTGCTGACTTGATTCATACAGCGCGGACGCTGCCGAGATGACCATCATATTCACGTCCAAGTTCGTTCTTTGGCTCTCAATCGCTTGATAGGTGATCAGGCCAGATTCGAAATGCAAACTCAAGCGAGTCAAACTGACCTTCCGAAGAGGATTTTAACTTACCAAATGGGAAATGGCTTGTGTTCCTACTAGAAGGTAACTGAACAATTTTCTTGGTTGCATTGCTAACTTACACTCTACAGAAATTCACTTCTTCTTTGCCCTCACCCTCAGCTACAATGATTCATTCACCCTACTTTCTGATTGTGAAAGAGCATTCTGTCATCTCAACACCATGTGATGAGACTACAGAAATCATTATGATAAACCCATTAATATCTAAGTTTCTTCCCTTCTTCTGCCTCTTGCAATAAATGCAGGCTGTAGCACAAATCCACACAGGACTTCAACTTTTGTTGACAATCTTCTTTTGCTACCATGTAATACACATGGTGCAAATCTCCACTTCACAAACTAACTTAAGGGTTTCCACACAATGAAGGAATAGTGAGCATTCCAATCCAACCTCTATCATCCAAACTTCACAATTGATTAGACCCTGCTTTCCCATTTTCTATTTCATATTCCATTCTATATTTCACCTACTAATTTCATCTCTTTAATTTATCACACCTAGATTCCATTATGTGTATATCAGAGTCCTCTAGCTACAATACTCCAGACATAGGCTTGATCTCTAGAACCCAATTTCTCAGACTCTGCACTAGTATATAAGCTGTAGAATTACTTGTACATATCTCAGTTCAAATATCAACTTGGTTCAGTTCAATAACTTTGCTCTCAATTCAACCCTCTCTCTTCTGTTGACCTTCAAGTCAACTATCATCTCCAGTCTGTGGACCTCTGACTCTGTAGGACTAACTTTGTCTCTCATCTCATGGACCTCTGTCTGTATCCATCTTAGAGCTTCAATCCAGAGGTGATACTGCTAATAGCTTCACCAAGACCCATACACTCCATGGCCCCTGCTGCATGCATCCAGTCTCTTTTCTATTGGCACATTCCTAACAGATGCCAAGGGCATGAAAGTGTATTTATACATTGGTTTTAGTAATAAGTATCAACCTTCTGATGCTCTGTCAGCTTTGAATCCATATACACTTCCAGAGCATTATTTTGATTGGAAGATGTGACATCATGCTTCAGCTCCATGTACTTGCCTCACACTTGTGATGAGGTAGATGCTGTAGTTGAGGGATCTACTGGTGAGATTTGCTATTGGACATCCTTCCACTATGAGAGTATGTCAAACTCATCAGAATTATAGAATTAAAAGACTTATACATACATCCAGAAAGCCTGGGGCTGGCTCAAGGCTTTGAAAGCACTAAGCCAAGCCTTGAGCCCTCCAAAGCTGTCATTTGGACCTGGTTCAGCTTGGGCTTTTAGAGGGCTGGCTTAGGGCCAGCACATCACTAAATTGACTAGATAGCACAGACAACCAAATCAGACAGTGTGAAGCTCATGAGTCACAAGTGGGGGGATGTCGTAGATCTTATATACTTGCGTCCCCCAGTGGTACCGTGCTATGATCGGTATAATTCCGTTTGCTCCGGTTGTAAGTTGAACGTTGACTTTTGGAACATAATTCCAGCCAAATTCGGGATGATCCTCATCTCGGCTCATCTCGGCTGCCGAGGATGGAAGGAGCAATCTTTGTAGCACAATTTGAAATTTTATTGCTAAATGCTCCCAGCCACCATCATTAAAGACACTGCCTGACTTGCATTACCGCGAGCTGCTGAGCACAACTCTGAGGAGTACTTGGTTCCCTTGCAGTCTATTTCGGACACCGGAACACTGCCTTCGCTTTGATGCTACATTGAACACGCACAACGACCGAATCGGACTGATTGGCGTATTCTTGAAGCCTCGTTGTATGGGACACACAGCCGAAATGGGCTCGGTGGCTTATTGTTCTGTCACCGCTCCGGAAATGCTGTACTCTTATATCATCTATGGTTGACGAACACCATAAAGCCCCGTTGCTGCTGTGATCCCAAGCGATCTTAACCCTGCTCTCCATGGCCCCCATCGCTGCAGACCAACCAACGCCCGACACGGGGTTGGAACCTTGTTTTGATATTGGCTCGCAGAGCATAGTGACATTGAACTGTATGTCAGTTTGCCACTTCCTTGATTATTCACTCAATTTTCTCCGTTACTTTAGATGGCATCGTCATTATTTGTCTGCTGCTAGTCTTTTACTCCCTGGCGCTTTGGGATAGATGGATAACACTAAAGCTGTACGAACGTCAGAGATTGCAAGGTAATTTTTTCCCAGAACTATTTGAGCCATCACCTGACTGTGGATCTATACTAGGTCACAGCTTGAACATAAATTATGGCGCAACCAAAAGCGGAATTTCTATCACTCGAACATCATCGCCGAAACTCGACAAACAGTGTTCCTTTGACGATACCACGATACCAACTTCGAATGGTATGGATCTTCCCTTCGTATATCGAAAATCGTTGACCCACTTGTTCAGGTTTTCTAGCGCCTCCCAGACTTATAGATCAACGGAATGCCGGGGCGTTTTGTCCCCCTAATCCAAGGGATCAGTCGGGTCACCCTCTATAAGATACAGCTATATTTGTCTATCATCAACTGCAGCATTATCTCATGTACTGTACTTCTGTCATATAATTTCACTCTCAAGCTTTGATTCATTCTAACAACTATATAAGGTTAAACATCACCCAGCGACTCTATGGTGATTACCGAAGAGCGTTCCGTAAATATGCTTCGAGCTGTAAAGAAAAACAGCTTTGCTGTTACCTATTGATTCAATCTCCCGAGGCCAAGTCATTCACCGTGTTTAGAGCGCACAATGTGTTGCTAGATCTCACCGAGAGCAGATCGAGATGCACAGCTACAAGTAAACCAATCATCTCACGCTTGGGCGTCGTATAAATCCTGCGTAGAACGATTCGATCGCTATCGAATCGCTATTGGACCACTGTATATCTCAGCTACGATGCCATCCTTCCTCTCAAGACGCGAGCAATCTTCTGACAGCGATGACACTGTCCTCTTAGTTGTTGTAATTTGTATGCGCTCCTGTCTTATTCTAGTATATTTCCGCTGCTCAACCTGTCTTGGCCTAGGTTCCATCATCGTAGTCGGGATGTGCATCATCTTCGCATGCATCTATTTCTTCCGTCGTGTTGTGCCACCACCACCACGGTCGGGTGTGGCCGACCTACCTGCGACGGCCATGCATATGAACTTCATGGAAAAACCTGTTGAAAGCGACCTCAATCTAATCCCTGACTCTACTCGAGACCAAATTCGTGGATATTGGGTTTTGCCCGCCTTATTTTTCGTGCCTGATGTGGAGAAAGGCATGCAGACAGAAAAATCGAGTGAAGGTCGGTTCACACCATCAGCAACACAGGGATTTGGTGACAAGCAGTTGGCTCACTTGAGTTTGTAGGACCTGAAGTGAACATTATACAAGACCCCTTCAAGGCGGGTTAAGCATCATCAACATTCGCTTCCTTTACATTCAATGATTCAGTATAAAAACTCCTTCTCTAAATAGGCCTTGTTCTATAGTTCGGTATCGCTTTGAAATCTTGGTATTACTCTACAAGAAAACCTCCTACTCAATCTATACTCGCTGACCTATGTTTCCTTATTTAATACTTATGCCTTGTCCTCTCTGAACCTCCCACTTGAAGCTGCCCTCGACATTTCTGGTCCGACAATCTTAGACAACCTTTGTGCATCAGCTTGAACATCAAATGCAGTTAGTCGATAGCTTCGGCGTTATACCCTTCCCAAATGCTTTCGTTACATGATTTGAGCAGAGAAGCGCGATCACGATATTGGTCAGATGTAAGAAGACAACGGAGAATGTCGGGTCCCATATGGTGGCTAGTGACCAGGAGTAGCTTCATGGAGAGGGCTGTAGAATCCGCAGCAGCGAAGAGAGTTCTGTATTAATAGACGTCCTAACGGTGTGTAATATTTACTCCATGAGAAGTCGAGCTTGCGGTCGGGAGAGAGGGTGGAGCACTTGTAACTGGTGTATCCAACAGCAAGCATGGCGATGAGGGCTGGCCAAAGACGTAGGGTGTACACCGCAAGAATCGGCAGAGAATTCAACAAGGTTCCTGTTAATCCAATCATGGCAGTGAGTAGTAAAGATGCCACTAAGGTTATCAAGACGAGAATATCCCAGTCTGCAACGCACATGTCGTCTGCGTGGTCCGAAGCCGTTATGTGGGTTATATGGGCATTCTTTATTATCAGGAAGACTCAATTCGGAACCATATTGATGGAGCGTAAGACACGCAACAGCACCATATACAAAGACGATGATCTCCGATAACAGCAAGAACCATTTGAAACACGGCCACTCGCGAGCCTTGTCCATACCCAGGCTCTGTCCTTCCAGAAGGGCAGAAACAGCTTCATGGGAAAACTTGATGCCCGTCGCGCCATGCCATTGTGTCTCTCGCTTCGCTTCCAGGGACTGTGGCCGTGGTTATTTGTGTAAGCTTGTCGGTTGTTCCGATCCCGGGAACCAGTGTTTGGCGGCCTGAGTCAATAGAAGCTGTTATGTGGCTACAGACAGAGAACAGTGTATTGGTTTCAGGGTCCGGGCGGCGAGAAAAGGGTAATGAAAGGAACGAAGATGGTATTGGAGGTCGGAAAGAGATGAAGCTGGGGCCATGGGATAGCTTCGAACGAAATGAGGATGAACGAGATGGAGAACCACATATTGAACCTTTATGATTCTTTTCAGCCGCATTATCTGGCGAGTGGAATCGAACAACGTGTCTGCAACGACCATGTAGTTAAGGCACGCCGGACTTCAGAGTCTTCCAAGCGAGGCGTCAAGGGAACAGTATCCATGGGAGAAAACAGACATTCTTGGTAAACTGAGGCGTCGAGTTCGATGGCAATGGCGGTAATGGCGGGGACACAGCTCGACGACGAACTGCCAACGTGTTTCTGTCATCGTTCGCATCATAATCTACTGTATCTCTCTCCGAATATGCACCATATCGTCGGATACTATTTGAGGCTGTCGTCTCGGGTCGAAGAGAAGCAGGTCATTGTGGTACGGGAAAGAGTTTTGGTGCGAGGCAGTGGTTGCTTTGAACGGAATCTCGGGCCGGCCTTGATGAATTTGGACACTGATCGGGACTCGGGAGTAGCGGAATACCCGAGTAGGGAATGTTCGCGCTTCCCGGCAAAACTCCGTCCTGGCGTGACGTGACCATCACTGATGTGGGTGGCGGTGCTGAGTTGGCCGGTGAGAGCTCTCCGTCTGACCACAACGCTCCAATGGATCCTGACAGAAAATCCACCGTCTCATCGTTTTATGGTCGTAAAGGCTCAGCAGATGCATTGAATGACGACTATCCATCACCTACAGGCAACAATTACGGCTCACAGAGGACTCCACGAGACGATGCATCTTCTTTTTTCAATCCAGACCACGCGTCACGGAATCTAGATAACTACGGAAGTGCTGGATATAATCGCAATTCTTTCTTCTTCGCTGGTAGGGAGGAGCCGTTGAAGGGTGGCCAGGATGAAGAGCAGGGCAACGGGGGCTTTGATATCTACGCCGACTTCAACAATGCAGGACCTAGGTATAGCTCTGCGTTGGTTGGAAATAATGACGGGTGAGTAACGGCACACTGTTCTCTTTCTCCGTTTTGATTCTGCTCTAGATACCAACCTCTACCACCATTGACACCAAAGCACAAGGAAGACAGTCAAAATACAGTAGGCCCTGTTGAGCTGGTCACGGTACCTGCGCTAGGTCCCGAATGGCAGCGTTCAGAACTGCACGACATGTCCAAGGCCGGCAGGCGGGAAAAGAAGAGAGAGAGTCGTCAGGGAAAGTGGACCGCATGGAAGCGAGGAGAACGTGGGATGTGTGGCAAATGGTTCACAAGACGAGTAACAGTATTTTTCTTATTTGGTCTCGCGATTGTGTGCGTTTCCTACTTACTTCATTTCCATGCTTTCCCTCATCTTTTGTGCAGTGTCGGGATACTTCTGGCTATCATGGTACCACGGGTGCCGAGTGTGACGATTAACAGTGACACTCCTCTTGCCAATGCCACCGGCGACTGGAAAACCGCTGTACCAACGTACTTCAATCGTTCGCCGGCCAATTTTTCTTTCCCTGCATATGCCGATCTTCAACTTAACACAGGGAGCAATATCCTGCCTCTGATATTCTCCAATATCAAGGGTTATGTCTATGACCTAGACACAAGTAGGGAAATTGCGACAGGCAGCACGGGCCATAAGACTGTACCTGCTAAATCCTTCCCGGAATTTCTTCTTCCCTTGAATTTCTCCTACATTGCCTCGAACGATTCGGATGCAACCTGTAAGCGAGATTCTACTTCCCCACAAGGTTCTGCTTTTCATCCTATATCCAAGGGAACAATTGGTACGATGGTTGCAGGAACGCCGCTGCTTCGGCGTCTGGCGCTCGTGATTGTGAGTGTCTTCCGCATGAAGAACCAGATCGTCTCAGACAAATGTATTCATTTGTAGCGGTCAAATTCAAGCTAATCTTGGAAATGGACATAGTAGGTCTCATTGGATCGCGCTCAACGACAACACAGGTTACGAATGCCAATTGTCCGATTGAGCTGTCGATATCTGCTGCTTGAGTATCCTTGGAAAACTTGCCATGTCCGCTCTATATATATACTGCCTGGCCTCTCACGTAGTCTACACCTTCATACCGGATCTTGGACTTTCATGCTTCGGACGTAATACCATCTAACCTTGCATGAGCAATCTTTCCAAGGATATCATAACCGTCGTTTACTGCTTTTCGAGTTTGCCGTGTTTACCTTTCAGTTTATCGTTTTTACCTTCGTACTAGCACAGATCATCTGTACAACATCGTTCGGGCACTATGGACAGAGTATTTATCATAATAGCATGCGCTCTTTAGTGAGTATGATATGTCGTCCGCGTTGAATGTTGAACATGCGTGAGCAGAGTGAATCACAAGACTTGTATACATGTACAAAATACATGGATATCTATCCATTATGTAGCAATACCTAACACTCTATCTAATAAATAAATTATCCCAACGCATTGCACACCACTAATCAAGTGGTTGTGTTATTATCATTTCGCCGTCGAAGAAATCTTCGATTTGGAGAGGTCGGATATCAAAACCCTAGTCACAGTGATCAGAAAAAGCCTCGAAGACGCCAATAGCATGCTCACCTCAATTTGTCCCTTCGCAAGATCCCCGTCTTTTCCCGCATGCTCCTTCAAGTACTCCCTCACCGGCATCATAGCCGCATTTCGACATATTTCCTTGAGGTCTGATCCCGACAAGTTTTCTGCTTTCTCGGCGAGGAGGCTCAAGGGGAAGTTAGGAGCCAACGCGGTATCTTTCAGCATCTGAGCTACCATTAAACCGTTGACACTAGAAAGAAACTCATGGATACGCACTAGTTTGAGTATATTTAGCCGTTGTTGGCTATCTGGCCGCGGTACTGCGAACTTCTTGGGCATACGACGTAGAAAGGCAACGTCAATATCGTTCGGTCTGTTGGTTGCGCCCAACACTAGTATGCGATCTGTTCCAGATGTTAGACCGTCCCATAAGCTAGAACATTTTCATCAGCCCATGCAGCACATCCATAAGTATTGGAAAAAAAGCACGTCATGAACTCAGCCTTCATCATTGCTGTGACTTCATGGTCATTCGACGCTCTTTCCCTCAAAAAGGAATCAATTTCATCGATGAATATTATTGTAGGCTGCGTTTTCCGGGCAAGACCGAACAAGCCTGCAACGAGCTTGTTCGATTCTCCGAACCACTTGTTGGTTAGAACTGACGCGGAAATGTTGATAAAGGTGGCCTTAGTTTCTTTGGCCATAGCTTTTGCAAGCATAGTCTTCCCGCATCCTGGTGGCCCATATAGCAGTACACCTCTCGGTGCACCAAGCAGTGAAGACGAAGTCGTGAATAAGTCGGGATATATGAGAGGATATATGACGGATTCGCGGAGGGAAGATATTATTGGTTCTAGTCCGCCGATATCTGGAGACGCATAAGTTGACGTAAAGAAAGAGAACCTTGCGAAACGCGCCTGAGAAACGAACGGGAATATCGTCTGGATGGATAATTTCGTTGGCCAGTGTTCCTGTATGTTCCAAGGTCGGTGAACGTGTAAGTTGGGTAGCAGTCACGGCACGCACGTTCATACTCATCCAACACAAGCTCTTCATGACCCAATCTCTTCAGAACCTCCATCTGCTTCCCTTTTACTTTGGTCCCCTTGTTCGAGGGTACGTAGGCGTCTAGGACCCACTGATATGCCGTGTCAGTTGACAAGTTCCTGAGAGAGGTAACATAGAGCTCACACCTTCATTGTATAATATAATGCTACCTGGCAAAAAGGCCTCCAGCGAATGTTCCATCAATATGTTTGGAGAAAACGCACTTGAGTTACCACGAACATGGCCACTATGTAATCCGTACGTTAGCGATAAACAACACGCAGGGACCACTATCTCACCATCAACCACTGCTCGTCTTGTGCTTGTGGGCCCCATTTTTGCGATTGCAGGTGGCCTCTAGCTCAGGGCTTGACGCTGACGACGTGGTAGAAAAGAGTAAAAAGCGCGGGGGGTGTCACATGTGTGACGACGTTCCGGGCACAATTATTTCCGCTTTCGGGCGGGCCGCGTCATGGAACTCATTAACCGCTCTGGTTTATTGACTTCAAACCTCCTGCCTTGTTGGGAACGGCTTGGTACGTAACATCTACGTGGCGGCGTTGGATACTTATGGGATAAGTTAGATGTCGCGAAACGGTCACATGCGAATTTTGCCATTTGTCAGAGTCGTGATGACGGGTCTTCCATCGTGGACACATCAAGGAATTGAAACATGAAAGGCAAAAACTATAGTACATTCAAACGGTGCATATACATAATTTTCAGAAATTTCGTGGCGGCGTCCTCCTTAGACATCTTTCACCAGCACCAACCACAAGAACCTCTTGACCTAGCTTTTCCCTTGAACGTCGCCTCTCGTCCAAGTGACCCTTATCCCAAGGATGGCCCCGTTGCCGTCGGTGCGGCCCATCCATTCTTCCCATCTTGGTAAACTCTGACGCCTTATCAAGCGACGGAGCAGTGTCCTTACTGTTGTCTTTGTTGGCCCCTGCGTCCCCGCTTAATACGTGTGAGTACAACCAAACCGAAACACAAGACGAACCAGAATCGGCGCTCTTCTTGAACAACGACTTCTTGGACAAGGAAGCTTCTTTGGGGATAAGGCAGGTGGTAGAATCTTATTGCTTCGACCTTGTCGCGTACGTAGAGAGCGAGTTGAATGAAACAAGATGAGTGAGGACTCCTGTTCACTGACTCCAATATTCGCCTTCATATACGCGCTCCTGCTTATGCGTCTCATTCTCATATGAGTCACAGACTTCAAACATGATCTCGGTTCCGCTCGCGGCGAGACCTCCTGATTTGCTGACTTCGTTTTACCACTAGTGCTGCCGCCGCTGCGGTCGGTCTGCATGGAGGTTCTTTATGTTGCTCCTGTATGTCTAGCCAGCGCTCATTGCTCTGTTCCGTAGTACGATAACCGGGTAGACCAAACCAGCATTACGCCATTGTCCATATGGTCGACCTTTGGAAACCCTTGACTCATCGCTCATGAAGTAGATCTCTATCAATCTTGGGATTAGTAAGTCATGCATACCCTTAGGACACCACCGGGGACGTATCGTACGAATCCTAAGAGGTATGTATGGAACTCATCGAGGAGTACCCTCTTGCGAGAGCCTTGTATAAAGTTTCCCACGTATTAGGTACATTTAAGTTCTGTCTCCGTCAATATATAACGTTGTACTACAAGCCTAGACGTTACTCCTTGAATATTTGTAGTCCCTCCAATGTAGTTAGTTCCTTGCCACAAAAAAAAACTAAAAACAGAAATGAGTCACGAGCGGTAGCCAAGAAAACAGATGGGCCGAATTACTGAAAATACAAAAAATCGTAAACGTCGTAAAGGAGATTACGGGTCCTGTCCTATTTTCCTGGCTGTCGGTGAGCTTCATAGGAAATCCACCGGAGAACATACAACCTACGTTTGAATAAAGAGAGGACCGACTTCCTCTTCTTTGATTTCTGGCTCTCACCAGACTGACCACTTTTCATCCGGCCTGAGTCTACCCCACGATCGGGGGTGGAAGTCGATGCCACGGCTGCGCCTTCCGGTTTCACTGGGAAGGCAGAAGTGGGCATAGGTTTGGTGGGCTTGGGGTTAGGAACATAACCGCCCGTTCCATATCTCGACTGCAAAGAACCAAACGCAGCAGCGTAGTCTTTCTTTGGAGCGGCAAGCGGGTTTAGTGGCGAAGTCGACGTGATGGTGGTGGTAGACTGTAGAGTGGTAGTCGACGCAGATGGATGCGGTGTTTCTGCCATTGTAGTACTGTGAACAACTGAGTGTCACTTCTCATACGCCTATTTCAAGGGGTGAGGCCCAGCGTATGAGTCAGAGCCAGAGATCACACGCGTACGGGTGTGTTTACTGTTCCTGTTGATCGCTGGGAAGATAAATACTTGATATTAAATTGAAAAGAGTTGATGGCATAGCCTAAAAAGTGAGGATGTTGATATAGCCTGATAATAATACATCGAAGTGCCATCACTGACCGACCTTTTGCGTTTCAAAACGAACCAGAAGAAGATACAACAGGACCGATGGAATAGAGACGAGATTTTTATACGTTAGACCTGGATATGTGCTCGACTTCTCTGAGAAACAACGACGGTGCACGTACACCGCCCTGGGGGATGGATGATGAAAGGTAAAAATAGATACATTGTCATGATCACAGAAACACGATCAACAAAATTGGGAAGTGTCTTTTTCTACAGATCAGGTTATTAATCATTAAGTATTGAGACGAAATTCTGCCGGTTACCCAATTTGGACTTTCCTCCCACCGACCAGCTTTTTATCTCTGACATGAGTTTTCGTCTTCCCGTTGCAGATGTCATTGATGAAGATGGTCTTAGTCAATCCAGCAGCGATGAAGATGATGATGATCAGACGTGGGACGATTGGGTATCTGATTCTGCTCGCCAACCATGTCGGTCTTTATTCGAGGAGAAGTCTTTTCCAAGCGTTGAAGAAGCGCTCAAATACGATAATGTTACGTATGGGTTTGACTTGAACGGGACCTGTGCAAAATTGTGTATGTTGTCTCGATTTGTTTTTGTGCCTGCAAATACAGATACTGACGCCCAGAAGCACTGGACACGCATGGTCGTATCAGACTCATCAACTACATTCGAAAACAGGTTAGTTCCCGCGCATGTTGAAGTCATTCTCTGACTCACCAAAGGCAAGAAAATTTCGTCAGCAGAGGTTGCTGTGCTCACCGGAACGGAGTCTTTTTTCGAGTCAGATGAATACTTGATCCCGGCAGTCGAAGACGATCCGTTATTACGTGCGTGCTGCGGTCCTTTGAGCTGTTCTCTTCCTTAATAGTAACATTTTTCAGAACTTCAAGCCGATGACTGGTCTGACTCGGATGACGAAGGCACCTCGGACCCTAGCCGCCGAATACTGGCGCTGGAGAAAAAGCTGGCCCGTACGCAGCAAGAGTTCCACGAGTATCGAACTCTCATTTCTAAGGAGATGGACCTCGCCAGTCTGGTCGAGCCTAGCACATCAGAACCCCATTCTCGTGACGATGATACCCACTACTTTGAAAGCTATGGTGCTAATGGTATGTACTGTCTCAGTTGAATATAGCACAGAAAAATGACCATCTTTACAGACATACACGCAGTCATGATTCAAGACCAGGTCCGGACATCGACGTACGCGCAATTCATTCTGACGAATCCCAGTATCTTCGAAGACGCCGTAGTTCTTGATGTCGGTTGCGGAACCGGCATATTATCACTTTTCGCTGCACGTGGGGGTGCCAAACATGTTTATGCCGTCGACGCTAGCGATATTGCGGAGAAGGCAGAAAAAATTGTCAAGGTGAATGGAATGGAGGATATCATTACCGTCATTCGCGGCAAGATTGAGGACCTCACGATCCCGGAAAAGGTTGATATCATAATCTCCGAGTGGATGGGATACGCCTTGTTGTATGAATCGATGCTTGATTCTGTTCTAAGCGCTCGTGATCGTTTCTTACGTCCCGGTGGTATCATGGCACCCAGTCAGTGCAAGATGATGCTCGGACTGTGCGACGCCAGCGAGGTCCTGAAAGATCGTGTCACCTTTTGGAACGACGTGTACGGTAAGAGCGTGTTCAGTACATTTTTGTTATGCGTTTGCTCAAGCCCGACAGGTTTTGATTTATCGGCGATGGCGGATGATATGTACGATGAAGCTATCATCGATGTCGTTGGCCCAAACACGATGATGAGCACGCCGTACACGGTAAAGGACCTTTATCTCGGAACTATTTCCCCACGACAGCTCAACTTTTCATCTACGTTCTTGCTCGTGTCTAGAGCGGAGCGGCGGACTAAAGTAACGGCGTTTGTGCTTTACTTTGACACGTTTTTTACAAAGACTGGGAAGCCCGTTTCCCCGAGTACGCAAGTAAAAGTGGTCAAAGACGACGAAGTTGTCTTGGCGGAGGTATGGCCGGTCGGTGGGAAGCCTCCGCCGCAGCGGAGGCCAAGCCAAGGGGCAGACAGAGAAAAGGTTACGAGTTTCAGCACCGGACCTCAGAGTATTCCTACGCACTGGAAACAGACTATCTTCTTACTGAGGGAGCCTATCGTTGTGGAAGAAGGTTTGCCCTTTCCTAGCACTTTAAATCCCTTGCTGACCCACGGGTGCCTCAGGTTCCAAGGTTCGAGGAACGTTCTATTGTCGTAAGAGCGGAAGTAACTCTAGGGAGCTGGAAATCGAGATTCACTATGTGAAACAGGACTCCACTGGTACTGATGAATCCAAAGACCTCGTGGTGCAAATGTATACCGTACGATAGAACTGACAAGGGACGGGGTGAACTCAAAATAGGACATTTGCTAGCAATACTATATTTTTTTGGTTATCTGATGTTTCAAGGAATCAATATTGTATGTATAACATCTAATTGTACATTTGTATTCATCGCCATTCTACTTTAGATCTTCTCCTTGAGCTCCTCAAAGATCTTTGTTAGTTCACTCTTTTCAATCTGCTGCGTTGGCCAACCTATCACCAAACCCTCCTTATCGGTATTGCTGGGCTTGGGAATGACGTGAAAATGAACGTGGTCTACTACCTGTCAGTCAAAGTTCAGTATGAATGGCCCACGCGTGTATGGTAAGTTAAAGGGTACCTGGTGAGCAATACGCCCGTTATTTTGGAGAATATTGTAGTTCTCGACACCTTGCGCGATGGCGATCCGCTTAGCGATCGGCAGGATGTCAGTAAGATGTTCATCTGGAAGCTGATGCAATTTCTCTGCATGATCTAGGGGTCAAGATTAGGTATCGTTAAAGAAAGGAGGAGTTTACACGCACACTTGGGAATGACAAGGGCATGGCCTTTCGATAGAGGGCCGATGTCCAAGAAGGCATACCTAACAATCAGGAGATATTATTGATGCCATGGTAAAAATGAATTGAACGAACGAAAGATCTGTCTCAAGAAGCTTGAGACTGGGAATTTCACCTAGTAGAGAGTCGATATCAAGGAGATTTGCGATGACTGCTCGAGTACTCACCTTTGATGATCTTGCAGAAGATACAGGAAGCCAAAGTCCTACAATCAGCTGTTGGATTTTACATTTCCGAAAAGTAGCATTGAGACACACTTTGTCGCCATAGTGAGAAGAAGTATAACTGCTTGATGCAAGCTTGGATGAATGGATAGTACGGATTTGTAAGCATGTCATTGCCATTTCTAGTTGGGCGGGCAACATGCGAGTCCTTGCTTTGTTACCAGCCGTCGCTGTTGCGTCATACATTGTTTAATCTCACCATCATTAAGCCGAAATGACTCTCTTGGCATCCGTCGACGAGGCCACCACGCCGTTCCAAGAAATACCCATCATGTACGACGCGCCCCAATCGAATAATCGCGGTCTGATAGCTTGGCAGCGACTTGTCGATGATCTCGACCGAGGACCTAGGTAGCAAGAAGGCGCTGGCGGATAAAATACGGGATGCGTGTGTCAACGTGGGTTTCTTCTACGGTGCGCTTGCATAACTTACTATTACATCTTAGATATCTGAGTGTTATCCCACAGTAAAGAACCACGGAATATCAGAAACCATCATCCAAGAGGCCGTAGACCGCTCCAGAGATTTCTTTTCATTACCGCTTGAGGATAAGATGATGGCCAGTCGCCTCTAATCTCGTTATCGGACGGCTCTCTTACACAGAATACAGATTGAGAATAAGAAATCCCCTAATTTCAAAGGCTACTCTCCACTTCTTAGCGGCAACAACGACCCAGACAACGACGGTGACCTCCAGGAAGGCTTCGAGTTCGGTTTGGAGCATATCGAGCCGCAGCCGCAGGGCCGAGAGGATGTATCGCACGATGGTGTCATGGCCGGCGCGAACGTATGGCCTTCACAGCTACCCGAGTTTCGCCGAGCAGCATTGCAGTACTAGTTGAGTTCTCACTCACCTCTCGGAAACTTTATCTTTACGGGATGCTTCAGTCATGCTGCTGTGAATCTAGGAAAGAAGTTATTCCCTCTTTTCGCTCTCTCCCTTGATTTGCCTGAGAACTTCTTCGAGGACAAGGTATCTGAGCATATACTTCGCGATACATATCCGCTGTAACTGCTCAATTAATTTATCAGACACGGCATTCAGCAGCCCTCATGAAAATGCTCCATTACCCTCCGCAGACGGGCCCAGTTGACGGACGCGTTCTTGGCATCGGAGCGCACACAGAGTAAGCTGGCTTCGCGAAAACTTACAACCCCTGTTTCAGCTGACGTACGGTCCAGTTGGGAGGTGAGAACTAGCTCGTCCGCCTGAGATTGGCTTGCCCGATGTACATTCTGTATCAGTGCTTTACCATCTTGTGGCAAGAGCCGGGAATCCAGGCGTTGCAAGTTCTGAACTCGAACCAAGAGTGGATAGACGCGCCTCCAATTCCAGGTAATGTCCCAAGTCGGCCTTATTTTATGAGAAGCTGTTGACGCTCGGCGATAGGAACCATGGTCATCAAGTGAGCGCACTTGTGCTTTCGCGACTAGTATTCCAATCACAGGCATTGCAGCCTTGGCGACCAATTAGCTCGCTGGACGAGTCGGTAAACTTTTTATTGCCCCCACCGCTCTCTGACGGCATTCTAGGTGATGTGTTCAAGTCCACGGTGCATCGCGCAATCAATCGTAGTGGCGTTCGTCGTTATTCTATCCCTCTTTTCTTCGGAACGGACTACGACGTCAAGCTGGAGGTGCGGTGTTTTTCCTTCTCTGGGTGCCAGTGTCTCACTCTGCGTCCGGCCAGCCTATTCCCAGCTGCGTATCTACTGACCGCCCGATGAAATACGAAGTGATAACTGCCGGGGAGTACGTCAAAGCAAAGTTGAGGGCAACCTATGGCCATTAATTGAAGCGAGCTGGAGGCATACGGTTGACCCTTTTCTCAATAACGGTGTTGTACGTATAGAAGATGGATAATTACACCGGTCTGGTCCTCCAATTTAGTCCGAGTCGGGGCGACTTGCCCACTCTGCCTGAAAAAAAATTGACGGTTATCACTTACACGTGTAGATAGAAGCGGCGATCGAGATTTGTCTGAAAGTAAGTCATATCTGGTCTCCCTACTCAAGCCCTAACCTTGGTTGATGCAGTGCAACTATCCGACTTCACACTATTGCCAATAACCTCAGCTTCCGAGTGACGGTCAAGCTTGGCCTCAATGGCTATATCCAGAGCAACTGTAGATCTACCTACGGAAACGGAGATCACTATAGCCAAGAGAAATGACGGAACCTATTTACAGAACGCCAAGCACCCAAGCCTGTCGCAGTCTTTGTCTTTGTGCACCCATCAAAAACAGTTAAGCTTCAAGTTCCACGGAAACAGCGTCCTGTTTTATAATGCTGGCACAATGACCATGCGAACGGACAATGTCCGTGTAGTATAAAGGGTTGCAATTTGTATCCTTCAGTGGCAACGCGCAGCCGATCCATCCTGGATTTGCGTGTCTTCTAGTGCTCTCCTAATCCCTGTAATCATTAAAAGCCGAGCCGTGTGCACTGCCATCCCTAGCTGGCCTCGCTTCTTTTCCACCACTCATCCTGTTTTTCTTCTTTGCGCTAAACCATCTTTGACTCCAACCCTCTCTTCGATCAAAAAACTTCTTTTTTTTTTTCTTGCCGACTCTTCTATCTCTCCCCACCCCACACCCGTCTCTTCTGTCTTCGTCATGCAAAATTCCTTTCAATCTGAGATTGATAGTGACGCTGCAAGGAGTGCCACTCGACCTACTGTGAGCGCCATCGCTCGCCGTATTCATGGCTGGTCCTGGCAGGCGGTGAGCATCCCTTCTCTGACGGGTTTTTTTCGTCCTGCAGGTCCTAATTGAAGTCTCTAGTTCCCCATTGGAATGGGCACAGGGGCTGTCTACGTCACCCTAGCCGGTCTGAAGGATCATTCCAATGCCCTGACGACAGTCGAAACGGGATTCTACTTCATAAACATGGCTCTTTTTGTTCTCAACTCCGTCACTCTTTTACTACAAGCTATCCGTGCGTCATGCTATCTATCCCGTTGTGATTTTGCTTCTCACAACATTCATATCAGTGTATCCTCGTCAAGCATGGAGACTAATACAGGATCCCGTCAAAGGCGTCTTTGTCCCATTGATCGTTCGCCTTGGTCCCTTTGAGTGTTGGTCACAAATTCTCATCGTTCCGTTAGGTACTCTCTTTCGCCACTATTATCATTGGAACCATCAATTACGCTATTCCCTCGGGGCATGTGAGTCCCGAGTTCATATACGCACTGTTCTGGTGAGCGGTCCTCCATGCGCTCGCTACCCCCTCTACATATTTCATTGCAGGGTGTATATTGTCTTTGCCCTTATAACCTGCTTCCCTATGATCGTCATATGGTTCAACAAACCCCACGATTTGACGCATTTCACTCCTGCTTACGCTTTCCTAGTAAGCACCCTCAAATATTATTTCCGCTGTCCTCTAATTTTAATCTTAGATCTTCCCTATGGTAAAATTTTGCACTATGAAAGCCATCTGTTGTCTGACGAAAGATATAGATGCTGGTTGGCGTTGTCTCATTCAACGTTTTGAGGGTAATTGAGGCGTCGGATCCGAGAGCCCTGGGCGTGCTTCTTGTTGGTTATTTCTTCCAAGGTCAGTTTATCCCATGGTACGCCGGCCATGTTATGAACAACGCCTTTTCAGGTCTTGGATTTTTCATGACCTTCTTCTATCTCTGCATCTATGTTATTCGGTGAGTGATATTCTTTTCTGTTTATTACCATTCTAACGACGGTTCTTAAGAGTCATGATGGTGAATTCTTATTATTTATGATTCATTCTAGCGATTCTATTTTCTGTTAGACTGGCTTCTTGGAAGGACACCAAGCAAACGGAGCTTTCGTAGCCTGTGGTCCTCCCGGATTCACAGCACTGGCTTTGATCAACCTGGCAGATCATGCTAGAGAAATGTAAGCCCCGTCTACTTTCTCAGCCCACTTTCTAATTCGGATCGAAGCCTTCCCGTATATGGATATGTCTCCGAGAACGTGGGTGAAATCTGGTACGCCGGAAGTGTCCTAGCTGGTCTGTTGCTCTACGGACTTGCCGTCTTTTTCTTCGTTTTCGGCCTTTTTCCGTACTGGTTCAAGCTTCACAAGCACCTCAACGAGATCCTAGGCTGTAAGTTGTGTCGTTGTCTTCTTTAATCAGTCACTGACAATCACCCAAAACAAAGGTTGGGCTCTGACATTCCCTAACGTTGGCTGGATTGCGACTACCCGTCTAATGGGAGATATTTTCAATATCGAAGGTCTTTACATCGTCCACATGGCCATGGCCATTCTCATGGTCTTCACTTGGCTTTCCCTCTTCATTCTCACTATCATTGCGTTTTGGAGAGGTCTCATCTTCAAATCTAAGGAGGAAGACGTCCTCAAGGACACTCTTCCTTCTTACGATGAGCATCAAGAAAGGGGAACCCCTCTTGTGGTTGACGAGGAGAAAGGTATCTCCACGCCTATGATGTCGGAGTCCAAACCCGAGTACTTGCCGTGAAGGTTTCCTATTTGATATTTGATTTTCTTTTCTCGCATAGAAATTTATCTCGATAGAATAACAGCAGTACTATCACTGGACTAATTGAAGTACCTAGACTATCTTCGCATATCAGCTGTCGCGAAATGTATATGAATATTTTTTTACACACACTCATTCAATAGATATCGTTGTTATAGAATTTTGCACTGTACGTCTAACATCGCAATACATTGTGTCACTTCTGGAAATAGAATACTTGTTCATGCATTGCCAAGGATAGTCTGCGATAAAAATAAAATTACCTTGCTGCGGAGGAAGATATAAAGAGTCTCGGCAACTGGTTGATCAGACTAGAGAACTAGTCAGATTTCAGATACCCCAGTTGCTAAGGAGAATAATATTCATCTTTTGATTACATCTGTGTAATATCCCCAAATCCGATGGCCGATGCTTACCTCAGAATCTCGCTTATTCTATTATCATAATGGGTGACCTTCCCGGAGGCTTCTCAACAGTTTATTCCGACTTCCCACAGTGTTTAGAAACCTAAACTATATGCCGAGTGATGCCGATATAACAAATTGGATGAGCACCACAATTTGATGGGAAACCCCTCCGATCCCCCCCCTCTAAATCTAAATTGTGTCTCTAAACCTTTGATAAATGCATTTGGCAATGTCATCAATCTCGATCTCTATTTGGATCTGTTAGTTTCCAAGGCATCTTCTTTCACTCACGTCGCCTCTCATGTAACTATCACTGTCCTGCCGTGCCTGTCTTTATTTTTGATGCATTCATCATAAGAACTAGACAAATACTTGTCTTTCCGGTCCATAGAACTTATTTTTTCTCAATAAAGTGCCGCAATTTCAGTCCAAAGCTCATTTTTGCTCTGCTAGCCTTGTATTCTTGCATTGAATCTTCGGTAGACCTAAAAAAATACTGCAAAGTGTCTATACAGCTACTTCCCAGCTGTTTCCTTGAGAACCAGCTATTTTTTTCTGTCCCAACTGCCATCTTTTTCATACCCGACTTGGGTAACTTTCTGAAATCCATGGCAGTAACAAACTTGTAAGGCAGTCCACTTCGGACACCTATCGAGGCCTATAAAGTCCAGAATTAAATGAAAGTAATACTTATCTCACCTTTGTCTCTCGTTTCTGCCTCAGTTAACCCTCACTGATTGCTCTTTGTGTTTCCAGACCTAAATTGGTTTACAGTTTAGAAATATAAATTCTAAGTAATTTCAAATTGGGACTTTGATAGATTTAGAAAATGGTCTGTGTTTCTAAATGCTGTGGGAAGTCACCCAATGTCAAGACCCCTCTTGCATCCTAGATAGATCTGTGCAGCACCTCTGACAGACACACGGACCTACAACTATGATGTGTAATGTCACAAAGTTAGGCAGTGACTTCTACTTTCGGATTTAGTACAGCAGCACCCCGTTCCTCACTGCAAACAACTTTGGAGAATGAACATTATCTTTTGTCACCCACAATGCCTTGAATCTGAAGCATTCAACACTGCTGAGATGACACATGTCCTTGTTTCTGCTCTCATATGATCCTGCAAGACCCAAGATAGAGAAGGCTTCTTAGGCTTCTCTTAGGCTTCCCAATTATACCTACTTTTTCCTTAGGAGATAAGTCTTTCAGTCCAAAGAGCTACTCATGTTTCATGGATTTCATGGATTAAAGCTTTTAGACACTCAAAGGAAGCATATCTTTTCTCTTCAATGGCCTCCAAGTCAGCTACAGCTCCTAGTTAGCATTGATTCACTACATATCATCTCTCCCCTCATCCTCCATTGCAGTGGCTTCGACCCAGGCTCATACTTTGGTCGAAGGTTGCATCCAGATTCAGCAAGAAAGGGCTGATGCAATGACCAGAAAATCTCGCCCTTTGTAGCAGGACATGACTCGAATTCTGAGGGTAATAAGTCCCACCACTAGAGAGTACATATTTGCTGTAGTGGTAAGAAAGAGATTCTGCAAGGGCTGCACAACATATTGTCCTCACTAATGGTGCCAACTATTTCTGAATCTTCTCGTTTATTCTTACTTGGGGTTTTGGAGCATTGTGAGCACTTGACCTCAAGCACCTTGGTCAAAGTTGAAACTAAAACTTCAAATACAAGTTGAACAATATTATCGATCTTCAACTCTATCTATCTCAGGGTTTGGTGTTCATCGATAGTATCGTGTCTTGTGTTAAACAAGGATTGTTCACATGTATCTATCTTTATCTGGATGCTGCAGCTCTCGATATCTCGCATCCACTTCCCCCTTTGGTATACCATAAAATGCTCCAACCTCCACGTCAGATGAACAAAGTCTTCTGGAATCAACTGAGGTCGAATGACGAGTACCTGTCGAGCTCCAATGCATGGCTTCCTTCTGATAAAGAAGGTGTACAAAATATTTACCTCACGTGTGTCCATATTTCGCTGTTTCGTCTTGACCCACAATCTTACACACTATTCAGCACGGGTTAGTCCAGGAGCCATGCCGAAGATATGTTGAGGAAGCCATTTGCCTTCAAAGCTCTCACTCCAAAGTCTCAAAAGCATCTTGTGGTGAAGCAGTTCCCCAATAATTCAGAAGACACGTATTCTCTTGTCAGAGTAGAGAATCATCAGGCCTTATAATTATTATTTAAGCTGACGCGAGGGCTGTCATTTCATCTAGACATCGTCTGCTGGTGCTTAGAAGCACAGTTTATTACCCAGTAAAGATTTATCCTTTCAAAAGATCAGCATAATGAGCATTTTGTAGCTTCCACTGTGAATGATACCGGGAATCTAAAGTATGCCTAATACATATCGCCCTTGCTACCTTGCCAGTGAAGCAATTACCAAAGATGGCGACAATCCGATCTGCGGTAGCTCATTCTGTGTGAGTATATGAAGCTTTTTAGTGATCGGCATAATGAAATTATCGCCGAATAGGATATCTGGAGAGGTAACCTTGAGCCAGAGCACCTACCTGTATGTTTGAAAGTACTCAGGTATTTTCCCACGAATGTTGATCGCGGCTCATCGTTCAAGGTGAATATCGATAAACGTCGTGTTAACCGACTTTATTTGGCATCTATCACAGGGCTATCTTAAAGCTTTAAGTGATGATGTGGACGCAGCTGCGTCATCCGCGTATTTTGCCGCTCTTAGGCGTCAATGAGGACCTTTCGGCACCGAGATTTGATTTGATATCCCCCCTGGATGCGTCAAGGTAACATCATCGAGTATCTGCAACGAAATCCTGAGGATGAACCTACACGACTGGACTTCGTATGATTTCCGCCTAGTGTCTGCAAGTCATAATGACTAACTGTTTTCAGATCATCGAGATTGCAGATGCGATACAATGGCTTCATGATCTTCAGCCACCGGTGGTTCATACCGACATAAAAGGGGTATAGATTTTCTTTCTCGTGGCCTCGGTAAAAACTTGTTTTTTCAAGCTAAAGTTTTTGATCAGTAACTTCAGACACTGCTATCTTGCCGATTTTGGACTTTCCTTTATTGTTGGGAACCACAATCCTCAAAGTTCCTCCTCACTTCGGCAAGGAACAATGTATTGGCTGGTGCCCGAGTACCTGTCCACTTCTTCAACCGTTGATGCCTATCTTCTTGCCCAGGATATATGTGCTTTTGGTTGTACGATTGTCGAGGTAAGCATCTAATATCTATCTGTTTATAATTCTACTTTACTCAGCTCGGCGGTTCTATTTTTTTCCCCTTGTCGCTGGCTCTTCGACCTTTTCTATGAATTCTCCCGACATACTGCGGCCCGAGGGTCCTTCCGCTGACTGGCTAAGGTCTTCCTGAGAGTTACTGTTCTTCTATAAACAAATGAATCGAGGTCCGAAGAAAGGCAACACATTCGAGACCAAGTCCGACAACGGGTAGTAGACTGACGTCGATCTCGTCGATTTGTTACAGAGTACTCCTAGCGATGTTATGACTACCTCGTATACAACTTTATGATGATCCGAGAACGGTCCATCCATTGTCCTTCCTAACCGTGGTTCGGCCTGTGGCCTGCCTCGACAAGGAACCTGAAGTGGACTTGTATAAATCGCCTGTAAAACACCACCAGAACCACTGTGTTTTCATTGCACTACCACACCTGCTCTCTCACGACCTCTATACGATTGAATCATGTCTAATATCTTTGCTATTCACCGAGGCTTGGCCGGCAAGCTAAGGCAGATCATTATTATGACACGACGGCCTAACTGAAAACCTTGTTATATCATAGTGGACAGTCACCGTCATACTTCTGGGACTTATTGGCTACAGAATTCATGTAACGGAAGGCTACAAAGACAACTTTTATGGTCAGTCGTAGCTTGCAAATTGAAATACTATTGCGTTCCGCATTTCTGACGACGTCCAACAGAACCCGACATTATCGAATTGCTAGTTTCTGCCTATCTGGCTATCATATGGGCACCCATCGGGTGCATAGTTTCCCTTCTTCGGATACTTCTGATAATCTTCATTATATGACAGTGGTTGCCTCGTTCTCCGGAACCACAGCGCCTCAAAAACCAGCCCCTAATTTCTCTCAGAGATCACTGGAAACTTTGTTTTGTGGGTAATGTGGCTCGTCGGTGCTGTCGACACCACTGTAAGTACATGCCTCTACTCTCGTCGCCTACCTATGCTAAGGTTCGTCAACGATAGAACCGAATTATCCCCGGAAAAAATTGGTGCGGCCCAGGCAAGCAATGCAGAATCTTGACTGCAATCCTAGCATTCTCCCAGATCGGCTGGTCATTCTTGGCCATCATCGGTACCATGGGCCTTAAGTGCTACACATACCATCCGCGCAACCTGCGCCTGTCAAGTAAAAACCTTCCAGCGCGTAAAAGGTTTACCGCGAAGGCGACAACTCGTAACGAAAAAGCGCAAAGTCTTTTAATGACTCACTTTTAAAAAAGCCAACGCATGTGCGACTTTATTATCCTGTACTACCAAGCTTTCTCTCTCTCATTTCATCATAGTGTGATGTGTAACGTCTGTACCTAAACCTAAATGTGTTCCTAATCTTCGGTGGTTCATTCTAGGATCTCTTGCAAGAATACAGCATATAACACATAATAGTCAAGCATGGACGGCACCAGCGCACCCGTGGACCCTGAAGCCTGTTGGCTTCCCCTGCTGACGTCGGCTCAACGAGAGAGGGTGGTGCGTCCCTAATCGACATCCTATATTTTACAGACATGTGAAAAGTGTATATTATTGGTCTTGTAGATCAATTATAGCCAAGATAGGGCGTTGCAGGTAGGTACCGACTACGGAAAATGCAAGCCGAAAAACAGCATCCTACACAGCGTTCAAGAAGATGACCACAACTCAAGGAAAAGAGACCCACCACATCCTTCCAAGGGCAGCGAACGAGACCGGATACCACCAAAAGACTATCAAGAAGTCGACGGGAAGCTGCGATCACAGCAAAATCACCTTCTGCGAGGGCGCCTAGGCCCACATTGATAGTTCTTTGTAGGGACCTTTGGGAACATGAGCGTCTTTGCCTCCAATATCTGCAGCTTAATGGCTTCATCCGCATCCTCGACTAGCTTCCGCTTTTTAGTGTACACGGCCCGCAACAACGCCTCCTCAAGGGGAATCAAGTCAAGCCGCGCGCTCGATGGAACTTCTCTCTTCCCGCTGATCATATCAAGCGTCGGAACGACATAGCGTCCAAGACCACGTCTGCCCCTCTTCATCGAAGTAAGAATGAGAGTTAACATTCGAGGATCCATCAAGGACATATCCACATCCAATTCCCCCAGAAACGCCGGCATCCAATATTGTTTACCGTGATAGATCTTCCGAGCGAGATGCTCAACAACGTGCTTGAATGTCTTGGCATCTACGGGAATCCCGAACTTTGTGAACCCGCGAAGAGAGAGAAGAGCGCCGACGTAGTCTCCGAGAGTGAGAAACATGAGCAGCATCGAGTTGAGAAGCTTTTGGTCCTTGTAGAGCTCAATCATATCGATAGATGAGGTTTTGGACTCTTCGGTATTGAAATGAATGGCGACCATGTCGCGAAAGAGATGACGGGGGGTAAACAGGTCCTTTCCCGGTACCCAGCCTTTACGTCTAGGCTGGAAGAAACGTCCCATAGTGGTGCAGAGATGTTGGAAAGTGTACGCGTCGGGTCCGATACCCGTGGCGGCATGCAGGTTTCGAAGGACCTCGTAGTATGATAGAACGCGTGGGTAGATCCAGAACGTGCCGAGCTTAATTTCGCGGGAGATGAGGACGTTGAAGACAGAAGTATCGGCACCGATGTTACGCTCTTGCATGAGATTCATAACCCCCTCGAGAGAGGTCTTGTCACTTATGCCGGTGTCGGACATGCGCGTGATGACGGACACGAAGGGCCGAAGAAGAGTCCCCTCTGCATTGTCGAGCCTAAGCTCCCGCAACGATTCGAATGCCCCGACCAGGTCACCTGCCCGTATCTGCAGGTTGACGAGCTTGTTGACGACCACAATGGACGGGACATAATCCTTTCCCTTTCCCTTGATAAACATCCTAGCGAGCTCCGTCCCCTGGGCAGCACACGACGACCAGTCAAACGAATCTATGAGATTTGACAGCTGCATCTCCTGGAAAGAAGGCTTGGCAAACATCCGACGCAGAGCAGCCCTCAGCCGCCTCTTCTGTGCTGGCGACGTCGACCTCAGCCACTTTGCCACCTTGAAACACGCCTTCAAATTTTCCGGTACCCGCAGTCCTTCTGCCTCCATCCGTTCGTACACAGGTACCCCAACGTCCCAAGACCGATGCTGAACGAGCAGCGTCAGGATCCTCTGGAAAACGATATCCCGAGACGAGGTATATGCGTCACGATGGTTGAGCTTTTTCCGTACAAAACCCTGGACTTCATTGGTATCATGCGCTGGAGATGAGAGCAAGGACGACAGCCTGCTCAGGGAATCAAGCAGCTTTTGCTGGCTCCCCGAGTCTCTGCTGTCCTTCCATTGTGCGATGGTCGAGGTAAAGGTACGAGTGGAGAATACATGCTGCGACAATTGTCCCACATATAGGCATCTTCTAATCATGTAAGGCGGTCATGCAGAAGAGCGAATTCCTAGCCTTGACGCGACAAGGAAATGGTGGTGAAGGAAATTTTATCCACAGCCACAGCGTCGTGCAAACGACGCGTCTCGGCAACGGCCGGAACGTGATCGGCAAATCGGCAGCTTGAGCTCAGCCTCTTTCCTCAGCCTGCAGAACGACGAACAGCCAGGGTTCGAATGAGTTACGACCACCCTTAAATGGTATTGAATGCTTACAGATATGTATCGGAATTTCACCAGCGACATCGCACCAGCGGACGTCTTGATTCTTTTCTTGCAGAAACATTGAGCTCTTTACTTTGTCATGGGACCACTCTGCTGTCACATCGGAGGTTTCAACAGTGTGGACGTTGTACTAGCGCATCTGCTGGCAGTGACACGTACTGGAAGGGTTGGTGGAAGCTTGGTACTAAGAGCCGTGGACTGCACTGAAACTAACTTTCAGGTCACTGAGGAATGTACTACATCTGTAGGGGCAGGGTTTAACAAGCAAACCAATTCGTTCGCGTGCTCCTAGGTATACGACTCAATCCTTAAGGCCTTATCCCTTGTCCAAATTTTAATTGACTGGGTCAATTTCGACCGTGTATCACTAGAGCTCTGACGGTGAAACTACTGGAAATTTCTTTATAGCTCATCAGTACTCTGTGAAGGTATGACTCAACCGCACCGTACTCGTGCCGCATTACCTCTCCAGTTCGAGTCTCAATGCCATTGAAATCGTGTCGAGCTTCACCGGCCAGTACGCTTTTTTATCTAAACCAAGATACTTTGAGGCTTGTCCCTAGGAAGATTTGTCTTGACTCATGTGGGTGCAAAACCTTCCCCAGGACCCACAAATAGACACAATGTACGCGTGTCAGGGCCATCGACTGATCGACTGACAATCATCAGCCGGCAGTCTGGAACTTGCGGTGACCCCGCTTGTTGCAGGCAGCAGTACCATTCGTTATTCCAAACTATCACAAGACCTCCTCCTTTCCGATCAAATATTCTTCCGCATCAATTTCGCATCTTTCAGGAACTGCGGCTTACTCGTTGTACCTCATCATGAGTTTTCTCGACTTTGTGACTTGATGAAGCTGATTTCGCGACTCGGTAGATCACTGGAGCGTTCGATTGTATTGATCAAACAAGTCATCCTAACGTGAGGCACGATTGGGAATGTTGCTTTTTTTTTCTTTACACTCCGTACCGTCTGATGCGCATGCGTCCACCGCCAACGGATTCCGTGGCCACACTACCCCGCTGAGTGTCCTTTCCCACTGAATAGCGTGTCAGATCTTCGGGGTATAAAAAGAGAAATGCCTTGCCACCTTTCACCAGGTTCTCTCCCAGTCCCTACTAAGCTTCATAGTCATGTTCATCCCCACTGGTCTCGCTCTCCTCTTCACCACGAGATTCTACTTCAGTGCCTCCAAGTGGCCAACTGTGTTCGCAACTACACCGTCCAGCTTGGTGACACCTGCGATCCGATTTTGGCCGCACAGAACTCTTCTTCGTAAGTGTCTCCCTTTGTTAGAGCCTCATCTGCTGATCACCATGGCCCGTTGATTGCGGCTACCAGCTAGCCACGGTGAACACCAACATCAACGCGGGATGTACCAACTTGGCTTTGGGCGAGATAGCTTTCCTCGCTTCCCATGTCTTCGCGAATGTATACTGAGTTCTCTGTTTTTGAAGGTCCTTTGTCTAGGCATTGTCGGTCAAGATTGCACAGATACCTACGTGGTTGCTTCAGAAGATAGCTGCGTAGCTATTGCTGCTGCAGACGGCACCACATATGACATTCTGTTGGCCAACAACCCAAACGTGGTTTCAACCTGCGCTAATATCTACCCAGGAGAGGAGAGTCTGGGTTATGGAGTGGTCATTTACGTAGAACTTACCATATATAGGTCCTGTGCATCGCACCTGAAGATGTATATGTGTAACACAGACGAGATAAGAAATTCCTCGTCGTGGCCTTTGCTTTCTATTACTGGTATAACGAACTTTCCAAATGGATAGTGTTGTCATTATTTTGAAGGTGGAAAGGAAGTACCTCTCCTTATCAAGTTTCTTCACCGCTTCTCGAAGTTCTTCGGTGCGTTCTTCAGCCAAGAAATGTGCTGAATATCGGGACAGCCGCTGCTCGTCGGAAGAGAGAAAACCTCATCTTTGCCCTGTGGCTTACTATCGTTCACATGCAGCCATGAATCCGCTACCATTATGCTGATTAAAGTACCCAGACCGTCTTCATATACCTTCTTTCGCTACACATGGATAAATAATCTTTTACATACATTCATTCAATAGATATTGTTGTTATAGAATTTTGCACTGCATATCTGACATCGCAATACATTGTATAACTTCCGGAAGTTTATCATAAGATCGTGACATGTTGTAGACCCTCTTGCATCCCAGATCTGTGCGGCACCTCTGACAGACACATGGACCTACAACTATGAGGTCTGACGTCACGAAGCCTAGGGTTTGGCGGTGATTTCTACTTCTGGACTTCATACAGCACCGGATAGCGCCCGTACCCGATCTTAATTGCAAATGCCATCACAGTTCGACGTCAAATGATCATTGTCAGTCATTGCGAACGGCTTTGGCGAATGAAGACAAAGACAAAGATGTAACGAGACAAGCTGGCATAGGACATTTCAACATAGGACATGGATTCAGCTACACATTTATTGGCAGGTGAATACAACGATGACAGCTAGTGCATTGACAACAGTCATTCTGGTCGTCAAGAAATAGGGATATACAGATATCAAAGAAAGCATTAAGCATTGCAAAGACCGGGCCTCAGGGCACACCATAATGGCTGGAGAGCGATCGCCGCCACACCACGTTGGTTGAAGCGGAAACCGATATCGTGAAGTCTAGGAAGTGCGTCAGTGCCATTCCGCCCAGGACCACTCCAGAACAGCTCCGCAGATGCTGCCGCTCGAGGCCAGACAATCGGATCCAGATTCGACGGTGAGGATTGCTCTGTCCAAAGGAGGTGCTGACCACCCAACACCAGCTGACTTTGCTCATCTGTCAGGTTGGCCGTAGGATCAAATGAATACGCCTAATATGAACAAATGGTAAGGTCTGGGGCATACGACGGAGATGCGGTGAGCATACCTTTTGCCACGTCTTGAAAGGATCACACCAGCTGTTCCCAGAGACATCATTGCCAAGCCACTCGCCGGCACCACAGTCGAGGTAGAAGTAATCAGATGCTGCGTGCACGAGCTTGTATCCTTTCTCCGCAACAGCCGCGACGTCGTCGGATGAGATCCATACCATCACAATGGTATCATTCCCAAGGCTCGTAACATTGTAATCAAGAAGCATTTCTTCCCATACTACAGGAGTTTTACCTGCAGCGCGCAAGGCTTCATGGGTAGATTGTGTAAAAGAGGACAAAGCTTCCGTGAACGTTTTTCCACTTGCTGACAAGTCAGCTTGCGTCGCAGCATCGTCCGCGTAGCAGTTGGCATTGATTTCGTCACCACCAGTAGAGAAATACTTGGAGGTGAACATGGAGGAAATGGCAGAGACGAGAGACGTAGTGAAATTGACGGTGGCATTGGACGCGATACGGAGCTGACCGGCGGGAGGTTCTAAACAAATGTCGATTTTCATCAAGAACAGAAGTAAGAGTGAAGCACACCATTTGCATAGGTCTCCCACGGAGTAGCCTCTGCACATGCGATGTGTTCAGGATACGCCTGTGAAATGATGGCAGTATGTCCGGGGGTGTCAAATTCGGCCAAAACGTCGATACCACGCTAGGTAACCATCAGAGGCCGGAGAGTAAAATATATTGGTTGATACGTACGGCAGCAGCATACGCAACGATATCTTTTATATCCGAAGTACTGTAAACGAACGAAGAAGAGTATGCCCCTTTGGCCGATAGATCGGGGAACTCGGCAACTTGGAGAGGGAAGCTCTGGCTGTCTACAACATGCCAGTGGAACGTATTCATTTTGACCCAGCTCATGGCGTCCAGCGTGCGCTTGATGTCGGAGATAGGGAAGCTGATAAAGGAATGGTCAATACTAAATGAGAATTAAACAAGTATCTGAGCGCACAAGTTTCTTGCAGTGTCAAGCATGAAACCTCGGTATGGCTGAGATTATTTGGAAGTTAAAGATTGTTAACCAGAAAAATCAGCACCCACATAAGCCGGAGAATCGAGGATATCAACTGGTGCTTCGGGGGTGTATGTAGTGCCCTCCCAGTCATACCATAGCTGGCTGAACGTCGTGAGACCGCGGAAAAGTCCTAGTGTCGAATTTGCCGTGACGGTGGCGTCTTGGCCGTTGGCAGGAACTGTGAGAGTATAGCTGTCCACGCGACTTTCAAGTTCCGCGACCGCTTCCTCCGAAATAGTCAACGCGTTCTCTCCTTGGAAGACAAGAGTGAGCTTCGTGAGATGTTGGGCGCTCCTGATAGCATCTGCGTCGGAGGCCCCACGTCCTTCTACCAAACGCTGGAGCTTATCGTTGAATAGATATTGTTTTGTTCGCGATATAGCATCCGTAAGGTCACCAGGCGGAGTCTCGATGCCGCTTAGCGTGATATCGAATGAAGGGGAAAGTTGTAGCTGGGTAGAACCCGTTGAGATACTCTGTGGTATTGGCCATAGAGCTGACACGTGTGAGGCAGCAAATACAAGTAACGAGAGACGATAGGACATGGCGGACAGAAGTGAAGATGGAGCAGCGACTCTTCTAGAATTATTTATGGCCGCCAGCGACGAAAGGATCCACCGTTGTTCGAATTTTTCCGTGATCCGGTCCAGCCTCCATCGGATAGGCTTGCTGAGCTGTCTCAGCCAGGTTTTCGCTTTGCGTAACGTGGATCGGTTTGAGCGGCTCTAAGCCCTGCCGTTTCCGGATTATCTCTTTTTAGTTCATGGAAGTACTTTGAGAGCTGTACATACCGCATTAAAGCCAGACAATCTGCGTAATGGAGATTATATGGCGTGGATACTTCGTGTAGAGACGTTGGACCGATTGCTGGGGCCGCATTTGAGATGGAGGCTGTTGGTTGCTGTCTTTCACCGGCACATATATTTTGTGCTTAGTACATACCAACTTTCATAGACAAGGTCAGACCAACATTTATGAGGGGAGGATAATGCTGGAAGATGTGCATCCCAGAAAACTAAAATCAGATGTGCACCCCCCAGTTCCATAGTTGAGGTTGATCATGAATCATGATTATTCCATCGAAAGTATCATGATCTTCGAACAGCTCAGCAACCTTAATTGGCAAAGCACTCTTCTTGTACTTAAGGTAGAAATGGTGATGGCATTTAAATGGAAGTTGAAGAAAGACAAAAAGAGGTGTGTTCGTTCGAACTGAGATGCCAGTCTCGTGACTCTACGACCACCTCCTGTCGAGGGCCACCGTTCGATCGAGGATAGGAACCTGAGCGAATCTGACAAGGTGCCGTGGAGGAATCAAGGGAAGAACGCCCGAACATGTGGTTAAACTTCGGGAATATCGTGATAACGATCCCGGAATCACTTCCCTACCGTTGTATGAATACAAGTAATACAAACTAATCAAGCGGTATACAAGAACAAGACCTCCACGAGCACACAATACACACCGTCCTCTGATGGTAACATAATAATACAGGGAGCTTCTCAATCCTTCTTGCTCAGTGCTTGCATCTGCACAAACTCGTAGTAGTCTCCCTTTTGTGCAATCAGTTGGTCATGGGTCCCAGACTCGCTTACACCTCCATCTTTGATGAAATATCTGCAAAGGAAATCAGAAACTGATATAAAACAATTGACTCCTTTCGACACTCACATGCAATCAGCGTTCTGAATCGTCGACAACCGATGAGCGATGGCAATTGTTGTCCGGCCTTTGGCGGCTTGATCCAACGCAGCCTGGACGACCTTTTCTGAGCTCGAGTCAAGCGCTGACGTTGCTTCATCCAATAAAAGCACTCTTGGGTCTCGAAGAAGAGCACGAGCAATGGCGATACGTTCTTCAGAAACACTCATCAGCTGAGAACAAGTCATGAATAGTGAGCAACAAACGTTTCTGGCCTCCTGAAAGCTGAGATCCTTTACCGCCAACCTCAGTCTCAAATTTCCTACAGAGTATACATATCAGAAATAGATAGAAACATCGTGTAACGACGTACTGGGGAAGGCTGTCAATGAAGTCCAAAATGTTGGCTTTGCGGCAAGCTTCTTCTATCTCTTCTTCTGTAACCTCTTCCCGTGGCTTTATGGCTCCAAGGAGGACGTTGAAGCGGACCGTACCTACATAGAATTGATGAGATACTCGGAAAGGTGAACTATGAATAACCTACCAGAATACAGTGTCGGCTCTTGAGATACCAACGAAATAAGCTGTCGATACTGCGCCACATTAAGATTTGATATGTCTTTTCCATCCAGCTGGAAAAGGGAGCTAGTAAGTATATCCCCCGCTCCTCAAGATCAATGAGGGCTGCATACAGTTACTCTGCCTGCTAAGGGGTCGTAGAAACGTTCTATTAGCTGTATTCTGGAACACAGAAGAATATTAGGCATAGCGAGAACAGAAACGGTAGAGCCACACCCACGTCGTCGATTTACCACATCCACTCTGGCCGACGAGAGCCACATAAGTGCCTTGCTTGATATCAAGGTTCAAGTCCCTGAGAACCCTGACTCCGGGCCGTGTGGGGTATCTAACACGAATATCACTCAAACAAACCGACTACATAGCATCGGGGTTGCACACCTGAAATGAACGCCTTCAAAACGGATATGACCTTTAGTTTCTTCGCGCTCGACAGATTCTCCTTCAGGAGATTGTGCATCTATTTCTGGCATGCTGTCGAATATCTGAACGATTCCCTCCGAAGCCTCTTTTGCCTCACTAAAAAGATGATCAAGTCGACACACAAAATGTTATCAGGATATCACACCTCATATCAGGAGCATGCTGGAATATGTTACCAGCCTGGATAGCAGCGAAGGTTGTACTCTGTACGAGGAGCAATGCCTATGAGTATGCAAGAAGAAGATACCCTTAGGACCTACCATCAGACCAACGAAGAACTCCGTCGAGGTGATCTCCAACTCAGACACGAGCCTGGAACCAAACCAGAAGACTAGAGCAATGACCCAGAACGAAACAGACTGAGCAAATGCATACATCATGTTGCTCCAGACCGCTGTCTTGTTGGATAGCTGAAGGGGCTTTTCCAAACTCTGACTGTACATGTGAAGACAATCCTTTTCCCTTGTCAAGGAGGCAACCGTTCGAATGGCGCCCGCGGCTTCACACGCCAATTGAGCCGATTCCTCGTGTGCCTTTTTGTTGTACTTGTCCTTTACAACTACCACACGCTACATGCCAATAAGTTTTCAATGACAAGGATAACAAACCACTTAAAACTCACGAGTCGGATATACCCAGAGATAATAACTAACGGGGTGCAAGCTAGTACATGAAACGTCAGTCATGCGTCGTTTACAGAAATACCCAGCTTACCAATGCCAACGAGGCCGATCTTCCACGAGAAAGACAAACCGATGATATAACCAACAACGAGCGTCGATATAGATTGCAGGAGGCTGAATAAGAGTCAAATTAGGGCCCATATTCAATATACGTCGACGTACGTTGCGAGAATCATACCTAATGAACCAGACGCAAAACGTTAGTGCAGGAAAAAGGATGTCAGCATTGCCGTACCCGCTAGCCCGTTGACTTTCTGAGGATCGTCACTGAGGCTCGAAACGAGACTTCCGGTCTATGAATGCAGCCCAAAATCAGTAGATGATATATACTCTGAAAAAAGCATACCGACACTGTGTTCCGCCTCATCAAAGAATTTAACTAGTGACACGTCTCAGATACGAACAGATACACAGAGGATACAACGTACTGTCTTGCCTCAGGATGGAGGTGAACATGGCGAAACGTAGCCGTGCCATAAGTGTTGTTGCCGCCGCAACGAAATACCAGTTCTGGGCCATTGTGGTCATGATTGCCTGCAATAGAGTGAGGAGGACACGCATGAAAAGGCATGGAAGTACCGTACAATCAAGGATATTATGAACAACCTGGAGCGATATTGAAAACACGTTTCTGAAAAAGGCTACAAAAACGAACCATAGAGCGTTCCTATCTCCATCGTGACGTTTTACATGGTCATCTGGCTGAGAGAATCCGCTGATGGCATAGGCTGAAAAAATGTCAAACGTGTTCATGTATACATACGGTAAGCTCACCGAATACAATGCCATAACTTGGGTAAATAGCTCCACTCACTACACAATGTAAAATTTCATTAGGTATAGAAGGGAGAAATCGAACATACTGATTGCAGCAACAGCACCGATGATCATTCTGTCCCAGCTCTCTCTATCGCGAAAGTTCAGCTACACTGCACGAGTAACGAAAGAGTGCAACTCACCTATTAAGAAGGAGCATCCGCATGAAGAGTTGGTATATTGAATATTTTCTTTTGCGGGTCTCTTGTTGTTCCCTCATCTGCTGCTCGAGAGCTTGACTGGCAACGGACTGGTGAGTCTTAACTCTGTCGAGGGGGACAAAATCGTCTGGCTCCTTCTCGTCCACCGTCTTACTGTCGGACACATCGGCTTCAGTAGTAGCAATCTCTTCACCTTCCCTTATCTTCTGTGCCTGAACCAGCTTATAGTATGCGCTATCCGAGTTACTCAAGAGTGAATTGTGATTTCCCTCTAGACATATATGCTAGTGAGTTTGCCTGCCTATTAAACATATATATGGTACTTGCCTTCAATAACAAGCTGGGACGAAAAAAAATGACGTTAGACAGTCAGTTAAAGATTGGGAAAAAAGTAAGAGAAGACGGACCCCGTCACCCATAACGTATATAGTGTCTGCATCTTTAATCGTGCTTAAACGGTGAGCGACAGTAATAGTTGTCCGTCCTGCCGCAACTTTGTACAATGCATCTTGAACGATACCTTCGCTTTGTGTATCGAGAGCACTAGTGGCTTTAACAAAACAAAACCATCGAATCAATAATAAACATCAGCAAGGACGCAAAAGCATGTACCTTCGTCGAGGAGCAATATCTTAGGGTCAGAGACAATCGCGCGAGCAATAGCAATACGCTGCTTCTGACCACCAGAGAGAAGGATTGCCCGTTCTCCTACAACCGTCTCATAGCCATCAGGAAGTTTAGAGATAAAAGAGTCAGCATTGGACATAATGCAAGCCTCCTTGATTATCTTCATTTTCTCTTCCTTTGAAAGATCCTCATATTTCGTGTTAATCAAACCGTGGGCGACATTTTCCTGCTGTAGGTTAGGCCGTGCAACGATGAATCAAAGACCGACGACTAACCCATATAGTAGCATCGAATAACGTGGGCTCTTGAGACACTAAGCCAATCTGAGAACGAAGCCACTTTATATTGAGGTCCTTCACGTTTCGTCCGTCCAGTTTTATGACCCCGCTAGACGGATCATAAAACCGTTCCACCAGAGCTATAAGGGTCGACTTTCCAGAGCCAGAAGATCCGACCAATGCCGTGGTTTTTCCGGCATTGAAGTGTAGATTTATGCCTTTCAGAACCGGAACTGTCGGCCTAGACGGATAATTGAAACGGATGCCTTCGAGATCGAGTTGTCCCACGACAGTCTCCGGCCTTAATCCTTCTTCGCTGTACGCGTCAATGGGAGGTACACGGTCGATGGTAGCGTAGAGCTTGGCAGCAGCTCCGCAAGCCTCTTCGATGGCTAACAGTAACGAGGTATGTCAGACGAATAAGAAAAGATCCGCCTCAAATGAGTACCTACCTTGTAATTGCGGGGACAAGATGGCGAGAGAAAAGGAGCCAATCAGGATAGCGAAAATTACGTTCACGATGGTTCCTACGTCTCGTAAGCCTCGGATCTGAATCCCCACTGCGGAAACGTACCTGCATTCAAATCCCCGGAGATTAAAAGGGTTGTTCCAAAGTAGAATGCTTCCATTACAAAGTCATCAGTAGGAACTTTCGTGAGAGCATGAATACTACTCACCTAACGCGTAGGCAGCATAAACAGTAAAGAGAAGGATAGCAATGCATACACCAATCCACATGGCCGTGTTCATCCCAATGGCGCGAGACTTGAGTAAGTAACTGTTGTATACTTGTGCGAGAGCACCCTGAACACCAAACGCGTGGACCGTCCTGACGGAGGATATGACTTCCTCGGCGACCGACCCTGTTATACGAGTGACCATGAATGACTGCGTGCAATCCAATCATACCGGAATGCTAGTTACCTCCTTCTGCAATCAAACGAAGTATTTTTCTACCATCAACGTTCTTCAGAATGGAGCCAGATATTAAAAGGGAGTAAAGTTACGAGATATTCCGTGATAGACGAGTGTTCATGGCGGCGCCAGCGGCGGCCTGCTTCGGTATGAGTGCTTGTTAGACAGAGGAAGCGACAACGTACGATAACGGGGATGATAGAGGTCATCGCGAGGGCCAATTTCCAACTTCGCACGTACGCGAGAACGAAACCTAGACAAACAATTAGCGAGCCTTCACAACGACGTGAAACATGCCATACCACAGATAAATGCGGCGACGCAACTGACAGCGATCGGAACCTTCTCGCCGAGTCCCTTCTGAGCAAGGTCTGATGGCACATTTATTACCAAGAAAAATGTTCAACAACACAGGACTCGCCTGTGTCGGTCTGGATACGTGTAGCAATCTCTCCCGCTCCAACATTATCAAAATAGGCGATGTCCTGACGTAGGGTGGCTTCCAAATAGTATTCTCGTATGCGTTTAGCAATGACTTCAGCTGTGTACACCCAAGTCATCATGTACACGTAAGTACAGGCGAACATCCCAATCCCTAGACACGTGTTAGACTCCACTGATTTTCGTATCAGGTACCTCACCAATATAGGCAAGGTAGCTTGCATTGGCACTCGCCGCGGCCCGGAAGGAGGCAGCGACAGAGTCAAAACGAGCTGCTGCATCTTCATCGCCTGCTTCGATCTGAAAGAGCGTTGTTGCAAAGTCCGTAAAGTCTTGGACAAGCCTTCCGAACAGAAGCGTCATTAGAGGCTAACGCGCCATGAGAAGACTCCCTAGTTCAGAAGGAAAGGAAAAACTCACCTGGGCTGCACCTGAAGCTGCGGCTGCGAAGATACCAAGGACATTGAGCAACTTCTCGGGAATAGTAGCATATCTGGGTAATTCAGTAAGACGACATCTATGGCCCGTCTCAAACACGCACCGAAACAATTCAACGAAGGATATGGGGACAATTTCCTGGTCGAAGACTCTTGGAACTATTGCAGTATCTTTCTCGTCAATGATATCCTTTTCAGGTGTTGCTCTCTTGCGGCGAAGGAAAGAAAAAAAGGACGATTTGGGAGGCTCATGCTGCTTCAGATGATTCTCGTCGCTGTCGTTGACCGTGCCGGAACTGCTGGGCCTAGTAAGTGGCATGGCCACTGTAAGGAGTGGTTAGTACCTAAGATTCGATGGCTGTAACAAAAGACCCACGGAAGGTGTTGGTTGAATGAAGGAAAGGAAGCCAGTGGGAACGGACGTTATTTCAATGAACGAGCCCATGCCCTAACGGAATACGGCTGTGCTGACTGTTGTAAATTGCACCGATAGGGCATAGGCCGGAGAAGCCAAAAGCGTGGTCTGTGTCTGTGGGAATGGCCTGGAAAATGAGATAGACCTTTTTCCGGGCCGGTGGCACTCTTTGAGTATTATTGCCTATTTTCGGTAAGATATGGAAAGAGAGCCTAGTAAAGTTATTTGCACCTATCGTCAAACACATAAGTTCAAAATTTAGTATTCAAGCGAACGAACAGGTGCAAATGTTTATGCGGTTAACCAAGTTAAACGAAGAAGACACATTCTCTCCGGAGGGCCAATTCTACAACCAAAATGCATAATGATTAGACTTTCTTGGAAGACGACATGTCGGAGATTTTAATACATAGTACGATTGGCAGTGATAGTGCGATGTATTCCGGCCGTACTGGTTCGGATGCTTAGCTGTGACACAATGTTACCAACCACCTCGTCATACAATAACATCCCCTCCCCCTTCCTCGAGTGCGGTGATTTTGCTGGATTGAATTACGGAGGTGGCAAATTGAGAGGGTACGGGAACTCGGAGATGAGAGGCAGAATCTATTGTGATTGAGTTATAGTGATTTCAAAGATCTCCATGATTATCCAACAAGGCAGTTTTAAAGAGAGAAGAGAAACCTCCCAATTATTAACACCGAAATCATAGTAGCAAATCATCCACACCACCATTGGATGCACTGTTGGCGGGAGTCGTAGCGGGACCGAAGGACCCAAAAGATTGAGCGCCTATTGGTGGTTTAGATGTAGCACCACCCCACAAGCCGGCGCTAGCCTTCTCTTTTTCGAGATCTTTCATCGATTTCCCACCACCTACAGCAATCGGCGTGACTGGTTTGGTTACCAAGCCGCCTCCCAAGGACATCGACCACAAGTCGTCAAAGTTGGCACTTGGGGCAGGCTTTGGTGCTGTCGACGAGACTGACGTTGTGGATGAGACGGATGGAGGCGTAGGTCGCATGGGGACCGCAGAGAAAGACGAGGTGGTTGTCATAGGATTCATGACGGTCGACCCTCCGAAAAGGTTGGTGTTAGGTTGCTGAGGTTGCAGTGGCGGAGATACAGAAGCAGACAGTGACGGAGAAGGCCTGTGTCCACTTCCGCTCATACCCATTTTAAAATTTGACCCTATCCCCATCCCTATAGGTTGTGGCTGCACTGAAGTCTGCATGAAGTCTGTGCTAGTCGGACGTGCTGTTTGTGCAGAGCTTGTCGGAGAAGAGTTAAGCATTTCCATGAGGTTGAGCTTGGCGTTCATAGGAGCGACGGTTGGAGATGTCGTTACGGTGGGAGCTGGCGAAGAAGGCGCTGCTTGGAAATCCGCAAATTCATCGTCTTTAGGATGACTTCATGAGGATCGCAAATACGATGAAAGCTAGATACGCACCATCTATACTAATATTAGGTTGAGAGACGGCTGGTAACGCCTTATCCGTAGCGAATACACTGGTCGCCTTAGTCTGTGGTGCGGGGGCTGAGGCAAAGGCATCATCATCTAAGCCACCGAGAAGATCTACTTCTGGTACTGGCACTGTGGCGGGAAGGGGTGCAGTTGGCTTTCGAGTAGGAGGGACACGCGTAGACCCCATACTGCTAGACCGATCTGGAGTAGTAGTTATAGTCTCGTCGTCACCGGCATTATACTCTTCGTATCCACGACGAGAGTCATCCCGAAACCCAGAACTGCTTGAGCCGTTGTATGAGCCATTATAGTCTACCGAATGGTTTAGATCTACAATCACGAAACAATGGCGCCACGTACCATTTCCAAAACTCGCGCTACCGCTGTAACTGCCGCCGCCCGGTGAGTCACTACCAAAGCCACCATACCGACTGCCTCCACTAGAGAAGCTGAGCCCGTCATTCCCTGTGCCGACGTATTTGTGTTTGTTCGCCTTCGCTTTTCGCCGTTCTGCCCTTATCTTTTCCACGTCGGAAAGAAGCTCTACGATTTCCTTCGAACGATTCCGAACTGTAATCCTGATGTCAAAACACCTCGAGGATATACACAAAGAACGCGTACCATTGATGCCTTCATCCTTACCCTTGTCATCAATGTAGTGGAAATTCCTTAACATTTTGATCGTAGAAATATGAGCGCGCGCATCATCCACGACACGTTCTGAGCCGTGCTTGATGAGGTATTCTAAGAGTTGAAGAGCCTGCATCCCTGTAAGTGCATCAGCTTTAAAATCAAGCTCGTGACGCGCCTTATAAATCTGCCTCCATTGCCTGGCTTCCTTCTCCATGTACCTCGAGTATATGCTGGGCATTATTTCATTAAAATCTGGACTATTTGACGAGCTCAGGAGGTTTCGGAAGTAAGGCGAATATCACTGACTAGTTGAAGGTTCTATGAATCGCCTCAGGTCAGATGAAAAAGTGGAAATTATGACGATACGAACCTGTTAGCAATATCTTGCATCAGCGTAGAACTTGCGCCCCTTATAACAGGAAAAGGGTATCAGGATATATTGTTTGGGCTGCGGCAAAGCCGAGATGCATGTCCATATCGGACCGGCCACTCACCAAGGATCATCATTGGTAGCCTCCCTGACCTTTGCCTCTATCTCGCTGACGTTTAACACGACATTTTTGGCCTGAAAACATTCACAAGGAGGGCAGATGTCAACAGGTGGCCGCGGCGCCAACGAAAAAGACACGAACCTGATTATACATGGTCTTGATGTCGTACATCGTAATCTGGGAGAGCGTGTTCCCCAAAGATTCCAGTCGGTCCATCGTGAGCAATGGTGTCGTCGAGCAAGGTTAAAGTCAGTTTGTGGGCGAATAGCCTGTAAGGAGGGCAAGGAGTCACAACTGTGACATGCCACGCAAACCATTCCGGCAATTCGCGAGCCTGAAGTCGTCGCAGGATTCACGTCCTGTTCAGTATAGAGAGGGCTAAACGAACCACAAACCTGGGGCTTCAAGTTCTTGCTGAACCGCTTCAAAGAGACGGTAACGACTCAGTGTTGAACTTTTTTAGGGCCCGATACTCACAGCGTCCATGTTTGTTATTGTGCTCTAGTTGCCACATTATCATTTGAATTGACTCTCTCCAAATAAGCGGCGTGATCAGGCAAATCTCATAGCATCTCTGACCATATTCCAGAGCCTGTAATAAACCTGCGTCGAAATAGTGACTTTTTAATAGTGTAGCACCATTGAAATAAGGCAACTTCTTTCGAATCTGACAGATACAGCCATAATTTTTTCTCTGTTACGTCCCCAAGAAGACCCCGGTTAATAGAACGCATGAAAAACTTCCACGTGGAGCTGTCTGAAGCAGCTGTTCTGGAAACAAGAGATAATCAAGAGATCAATATGCCCGCCTTGGGTAGTTTTTCGCTGAACAGAATCTCCCGTAGAGATTAATGAACATGATATGTATTCTATGGAGACGAATGAAAAATTGTCATTAGTAACTATTATGACGCACATATGAAGGAAAACAACAAGAACAAATATTACGGCGGACAGCATCACAAAGCAGATCGACAAAACAAAAGAACACTAATAATAAGGTGCTTGAACTTGAGCTCTATCAAAACAGCTATGAAGGACGCTCAGTGAAATCAAAGCTATCCATACCACTTTGACAAGGGCTCCGGCACGCCACATGGATGACATCACGACGTATGTTCATCGGGGATGATGCAGTGGCAAGGGCAACTGAAGTCGTTCCGCCGCCCTGCCAAAACCCGTTGGTGGATGCCATCGAGCAATATAGAGAACAGCATCTCGGAGAAAATGATGTGCCGATGGCAAGGCATACGCACTAGGGCGCAGAGGCTCACGGGTCGTCGTCGTGGTCGGACGACGGTTCACAAAAAAATGGAGAGATATCAACAAGGATATGAAAAGTACTGCAAATGTCAGCATACAGTAGAAGTGATTGGGAGAAAGACTTACTCCCGATAAAGAGGGCTGCGGCAACTATTTGTGCAACTGGCTTTTCCTCATGTAACAAGGAGTAGAATTCATTACCGGCCATGAGCGCTGAGCAGGAGTGGCGTAGTGCTCTCGGTACTGGAGGCGTAGCCATTTTATTCTGAATCCTCAACCGCACATAGGCTGACTTTTCCCGTTTCCTTTCTCCGTTAGTCTCAATATGGCCTATGTAGGACTGGCTGTGTCAGTTTCCGTTACAATTCTGTTATCTGTAGATGTGAGCCTGTAGCAGGATCTGTCGACGGATAATTATGGTCCCAAAATAAACTTGAACCTAATAACGCGCTTATTATGATGACGATGACAATCAGAAAGGCGGTACAATGTTGCTGTTGCCGGTCCACTTGGCGGGATAAAAAGAAGTGCTCGATCGGGGCTGCCCAATCTCGATTTGCTTCCGCGGCTCCGGGATTGATGGATCCTACCAATGAACGTTTGAACATTCGCAACGCCGACCAGGCCAGCTCAGTATTAGGTATTTGGTTTTAGTTCCTATCCCATAGCTGAGTGTAGTGGAGAATCGCATATATACAGTAAAATAAGGGATATTCTAGAATCTAGACCTATTAAGGTAATTGTAACTACTTACTATACTAGTTAACTCAAAAGTTGACTACTAGAAAGGATCCAGATTCCAAAAGGCGCATTTCATACAAAGAGAGCTCGCCATATCACAAATAAAATTCAAGGGACCCCTCATTTGCTAGTATCTAGACGTATTAGTATTTTTCATACAATGAAGCAGTAGGTGCATATGTGCGACAAATTGGAGGTTTCCTCCAGGCTCTCGGCCGCTCGAATTGGATGAATCTACTCATTAACCCTGCTGTTTGTAGCTCAACAGCCATGACACAGCTCTGTGCAAAGGCTGTTTTCCTGACTGTCTCTCAGTGTTCTCAGTTACACTCGTTCTTAGGTTCTGTCAAAATCGTAGAAATTTTTTTTACAAAAGCGCTGAGTGCGTTCCAAAAACGGTGATCTCAGCTCATGGGACACAGCGTGGGACCGGAGGATATTCGCAAATTTAAAAAACCAACAGCTGATACGATGACCTTCTGTGAATGGCTCTCGATTGGTTCAAACTGTTCAGATAGTCCGTCGGAGGTCGTATGGTGCGGTATGTATGACTTCGACGACTTAGCTAATGGCGCTATGTGCGGCTTGGACTTCAAAAGCATGCTGCTGTATTAAACCTGGCTCTTTCGAGTGGCGAGGTATTGACAGAAGAATATATGTGAGTATCTCAGTCGGGCACAACGTGGGTGAAGCGACTGTATTGAGTCTACTGTACCTATTGACAGAAGAATATA